AGGTGAGATGAACCACCCAGCTGAGCCTTTCCCAAATTCCTGACCCACAAAACCACGAGCAAAATCAAATGGTTGTTTTAAGCTGTTAAGTTTTGGGATTTTTTTTTTTTTTTGCGTAGCCACAGATTACTGCAACACAGTCTCCTTCTGACTCCTTGCTGCTAGACCCATAGCTCAGCTCAGTCCTGGGTCCCTGCCACATGGTGGGTGGGGCATCACCCCAACCTTGGTCCCACCTCCCTGGGTACTGTGTCTGGTGCTGGCCCCCCCTGTCCACCCAGGGTTATGGACCCAAACTACAGAGCCAGCCGCTCTCACAGGAAATGTAACACCACCAATGTTGTCCTTTCTGGCATTTGGAGGCAGAGGAAAGGTCCCATCTGAAGGCTCCCCACCTCATTACCCTGCCTCGTTCTCCTTTCCAGAATGTTCTGGATTTCCAAATTCTCCCTGAAGCTCCCACAGAGAAATCCAGCCCTCCCCACCCTGCCCAACCATGAACAAAAAATGGAACAAGACCAGACCAAGCAAGACAAAGAGGTGAGCCCTCCACTCACAGGACCTGATGTCCCCTGATGCCCCGGGGTGATGTGGAGAGCCACCTCTCTCCCTAGCAGTGGTGGGAGAAATCTGCCCCAAGAGGTGGTCTCTAGGGCTTGGGTTTTGTGCAGGGGTAGGAGGTTTTTCTTTACACCAGTGGAGAGAGGAGGCCAGGCGTGCAGAAGTGCAGACTCAAAATCCTGTCCAATGGGGACAAGGAGAAAAGACCCGAGTGTGAAATAAGGAAAAAGAAAAAAAAAAAACTTGCACGGAAAGAGGCCAGTCTAAGAGCCAGAGACACCCTGGCTATTTGGCTAGTACTGGACATCATGCCTCAGTTTCCCCACCTGAAAAGTGCCTCTTCCTCCCTCTTTGGGACACTCAGACGCCCCCTCCCTGCCCACACATGAAGAGGTGGGAGTTCTCCATTCCCACTGGGTCCTTATCCCCTGCCCCCTCCCTTGCTCTAGGGTGGGGGTCCCAGTGACCCTGCCCCGATGTCCCCCACAGCTGCAGAGTGTGTTAGCCCAGGTGGCTGTCGGGGCACAGGACACCGTTCATGGAAGGGCACCAGCGAAGGGCAAAGGCCCCGCAGACAGGAGGATTGTATCAATGTGGACACCCCAGCTATTACATTGTAGCAGAGTCTTGCAAAATGTTATCCTTGGGGGAAATCTGGGCAAACTGTTACTTCTTAGAACTGCTGCCTCGATGACTGTTGCAGCAAACATTTCAGTTACAAAATATCTTAATGCCAGAGAAGTGGGGAATAGGGAAAGATTCACAATAAAAAATAGACAACCAGACAAAGTATCTTGATGCAGGAGGTTTTGGAAACGCCCTGTCCCCTTATATTTTGCACCCAGGTTTGGGCGGTCGTGAGCGGGGTTTGTCACCACCCAGGACCATGTCGAAGGGACAGAGTCATCCCTGGACACAGGGGCAGAAGTGAGGACAGGGATCCACGGGGTCCGTCAACTCTGCCAATGACCCCAGCTTGGAACCACAACTGCTGTGTGGCCTCCTGCACCTGGAGGCGGGGGACACTTTTGACTTGCAGACACAATCCCTGCGTGTCCATCTGTGAATGACTGTTCCGGGGACATGCTGGCCCCAGACAGGACACTCTGCTCCCAGGGTCGTTGGAAGGGGCATCCAGGGCCTTGGAAGCCACAGGTGCAGGGGCTCGGCGAGCACCACCCCCTCCCCCTGGTTGGTGTCCAAGCCTTCTGCCATCTCACGAAAAGTGCTTGCCAAAGGGAAACTGAGGCAGCAGAGAGTGGAGCTGTTGCCCTCACATTCCACATGGGGAAATTGAGTCTCCATGGACGGAGGGGGGGTTGGGGGGGAATGAGCGTGACACCTACTTGGCAGAGGAAGGAACACAGCCCAGAGAGGGGTCATGGAGGGCTGCCACCGCCAGCAGACGCCCAACCTCACCCAGGCGCTCTGACCAGGGATTCTGGCAGGTCCTCCCTGCCCTCCTCACCCACGCTCACGCCACCAGTCTTTGACCAACAGGGTAAGTCCTTCCTCAAGTCTGACCTGATTCCATCGCACTTCACTTCAAACCAGTTTCTCCTCCTCCAGGGTGAACCAAAGACCAGGACAGGACACAGGGCTTTCCTGTGGGCACGGGACAATTAAAGACCAGAGAAGCCGGGCGCGGTGGCTCACGCCTGTAATCCTAGCACTCTGGGAGGCTGAGGTGGGCAGGTGGCTCAAGGTCAGGAGTTCGAAAACCAGCCTGAGCAAGAGCAAGACCCCATCTCTACTAAAATTAGAAAGAAATTAATTGGCCAACTGATATATATAGAAAAAATTAGCCGGGCATGGTGGCGCATGCCTGTAGTCCCAGCTACTTGGGAGGCTGAGGCAGGAGGATTGCTTGAGCCCAGGAGTCTGAGGTTGCTGTGAGCTAGGCCAACGCCACGGCACTCACTGTAGCCTGGGCAACAAAATGAGACTCTGTCTCAAAAACAAAACAAAACAAAAAAAAAAACCACCAGACAGAGACATGGGAGGCTCAGCTTAATAAGCGGTGACAATTATAGGGACTATTAATATAATAAAGTGTGAGTCCCTTTGCACTGGGGAGGGAGAGCTCCTGCTTGCCTCCTCTCCACCCCCAGGGTGACAGGTCCAGTCCTTAATGCAGTTATTGAGCATTTACTGTGTACCAGACCCTTCGCAGACTTGGTCCTATTGGCTCTTTTTTTTTTTTTTTTTTTTTTAAGACAGAGTCTCGCTTTGTTGCCCAGGCTAGAGTGAGTGCCGTGGCGTCAGCCTAGCTCACAGCAACCTCAGACTCCTGGGCTCAAGGGATCCTCCTGCCTCAGCCTCCCGAGTAGCTGGGACTACAGGCATGCGCCACCATGCCCAGCTAATTTTTTCTATATATATTAGTTGGCCAATTAATTTCTTTCTATTTATAATAGAGACGGGGTCTTGCTCTTGCTCAGGCTGGTTTTGATCTCCTGACCTCGAGCAATCCGCCCGCCTTGGCCTCCCAGAGTGCTAGGATTACAGGCGTGAGCCACCGCGCCCGGCCTCTCACTGTATATTTCTTAATAAAAATTATTTTTTAAGAACAGTTTTAGGTTTGCAGAAAAATCGTGAAGCTCACAGAGTTTCCGCGCACCCACACTCAGTTTCTCCCATGAGCAGCATGTCCCCTTATAATATCTTTTCCAAGGACCCCCGAATTGCAGATGCGACAAAGACGGCGTTTCGAGGTGGCAGACCCAGTTTGCTCGTGCCCTTACCAGGCTGGGACACGGAGCCCAACCCCAGTGGGGCGTCTGGCGAGTCCCGAGCTGGCAGCTCCCTTTACCACGGTGGAGCCTGGGCCCCGGAGGCCGGGGGCGGCCCAGGTGACACCGCCTGAGAAAGAAAGGCTGCTGGCTTCTCCTGTTCCGGAATTTTCCTGCCACTCACTCTGCAAGGAGAGAGGCGTGGACGAGGGCGGGAGTAGCAGAGAGGAAACCACAAAAACAAAATCTAGAGCAGCAGCTCAGAGGACAAGCTGTTCCTGGCAGGCAGCAGGGGGCAGGGAGGGGTCAGCGGGAGGCCTGGCAGGGCCCGCCGGGCGGGGCTGGTGCCACTGGGGCAGGAGGGTGGCGACTTGGCTCGTGGAACTCCCCACGCCCCTACGGGTGCGCACACACACATGCCAGGCCAGGCAAGTGGGCCAGGGAGCCCCAAGGGTGGCCGGGAGGGACTGGGCAGAGCCCTCTTGTTCTTCCTGCATTCATTCATTCCTTCACTCATTCCTTCAGAGCCTGCTGAGCAAACGCCGTGGGCAAGATCACATCCCATGCCGAGGAGGCGCTGCGCTCAGGCAGCCTTTGGGTTGGGTAGCTGAGCCACCCCAGAGCCAGAAATGTTCCTAGTCGGGCGGTGGGCCGGAGTAGGGGGACACCTAGGGCGGTGACCCCTGAACTTGGGGGCTCAAGGATGCAGAGGAGAGACCAAGTGCAGGGGTGGGAGGTGGGGGGAGCTCTGAGCAAGTGCCAAGGCCGAGCATGCAGAGGGAGCTGGGCCAGAGAATTTGAGAGGATGGCTCAAAGGCTCAAAGGGGAGGCACACTGTCTTGGTGCTATGGGCAATGTGGAGCCATGGGAGGTGTTAGAGTAGGGGAGGGGACATGGTTGCTTTTAGGTCTTTAGGAGAAAGGAGGTAGAGGAGGGTGGAGGCTGGGGTCCAAGCCTAGTGGGGCAAGAGAGGGGATGACTTTGAGAGGGAGACTGGGGTGCAAATGGGCTGTGTGTGAAGGAGGAGAGGGCAGGAGACAGCAGAGCAGATCATAGCTGGGAAGGGGAGAGGCTCTGGCCAGGGTGAGAGTGGAGAGCCCACGAGGCCTGACAGGGTGAAGGGGCTGGAAGGAGGATCGCTTTGTTCTCCAGATGGGGAAACTGAGGCCCAGGGGTGGCCAGCCCTTGCCCTGCTGCCCCCTTCCACTCACGCCTCCAGGATCTGAAGTCAGCCCTGGGCTGTCCAGCACATCTCCTAGGCCACTGGCCCTAGCACAGAGTCCTGCATACAGCAAAGGCTTCATTATGGCTGAGGGGATGGACCCCAGAGTGAGCAGAAGGTTGGCCATGCAGAGGTGGTTCAAATTGCCAGGGCTTGTGAGGTTGCATTGCTTAAAGGCAGCCGCGACGTCTCCCGCTCCCTTTCCCAGGGAGTTCAGAGCCGGGAATCAGCGGCCATGTTGTGAGGAAGCCCAAGCCATGCAGGGAGGCTCCTTGCAGCTGGGCAGGCACCAGTGTGCTGTTGAGCCCTGTCTGGGAGTCACCCCAGCTGAGGATCCACACGTCCCGGAGGAAAAACCAACACCATTGTGCCCCCCCTCCGCATTCCTGACTTGAAGCATCATGGCAACAACATGGTTTCTGTACTGGCAGGTCTGGGCCGGCTTTGTACAAAGCAACAGAAAACCAGAACTCTGGGCACACCCGACCGCTTTTTATGACTTTTATTAAATCCTTACAAAACAGAATACAAAATTCCGGCTTTTGACAGTTGGTGGAAAGGAAAACTTTGAGCTCGATCAGTTCACCTGGTACAATGGAATTAAAGTGCTTGGATGTTTTTCCCCCACTTTAAAAAATTTCTGAGGTTTTTTTTTTGTTTGTTTGAACATCTTGACAGTGATGTACGGCCATTCCCCCAGCGCCCAGGCCGCTCCAGATCTTCCGCTCATTCACAGTTAACGGTTACCAGTCCTCCAGGCCACCAGGAGACAGGGTGGGGGGAGAGAGGAAGTGACTGTCCCACCTTCGGAAAAACAGAAGCTGCAGCCACCAAGCTTTCCAGGTAAGATGGCTGCTGGCACCTGCAGCGTTTGTTCTTTTATACAAAAAGGCAGAAAATCCCCAGTTGCAAAACGTGGAATCGCTGCTGGGTGAGAGATGATGTGGGGGCAGGAGGCCCCCCCACCCCACGAGGGGTCTTTGGAAAGGCCAGTCCACAGATACAGGCGGGCGGGGGACCGGGGAGGGTGCACCACCCCCACCGGCCACCAGACTGTGACAATCGTAGGAGACTTGGGAGGGGGAAGGGGGACTGGGCAGACGGTGTCCGAGCCCCCACCCAGAGGCCCCTCCGACATTCAAGTATTCTTCAAGAACAGGGAAGCGAAGTCAACTGATGTTTTCTTTAAAAAACTAACTAAACATGACGAAAATCCCCGACCGCGGTCTAGAGGCCGGAGGGGCTGCCCTGGCAGACACCTGAGCGCACCCCGGGCTGGGCTGGCCAGGAAGCGACACCCCAGCTGCCGCCCCGACCAGCAGAGCACATGTGCACGTAGAAAAATGGGAACTCGTATTGCATAGTACTTCACCACCGAGCGGGGTGGGGGACCAAGCAGACCCTTCCCCGCCATTCCTGGGTGCCCGAAGAGAGGCCGGGGCCAGGGCCGTGGAAGCGGCGGCCGTTTTCCTGAAGGTGGGCAGAACAAAAACGCTGCCCTCGCAGGTGGGGGAGTCAGCGGACCCCCTGGTCTGGCCCCAGCCATGGAGAGGGGGAGGGGGCCAACAGCTTCCATGCCAGACCCCAGTGGGGGCAGGGCAGGACGTGGCCGTAGTCAGACTTAGCCCTGAGAAGGGGCACTCAGGTGCCCCGAGGGGGTGTTGGGGACCCCCAGGTTGGCTGACGGCCGCCTGTCCAGCCCCTCCCACCCGCCGTGGGCTGGCAGATGCCCCTGGCTCCTGCTGCTTCAGTCCCTGGTGGGGTGGGGAGGAGGCAGTGGGTGTGTCCCCAACATCAGCTGCAGTTTAAGGTCAAGGTCAGAGGTGGAGTCCCACCATCAGGGGCCTAGACAGCTGGACTCGGAAGAAGCCCCAACTATCAACTCTCATGGGGACAGGGCGCTCGCAGGAGGGTCTGGGGGGGGGTCGGAGGGTGGGCTGCCCTCTCCCCTACATACCTGCACCCAGGCCCCCCCTCTGGAGACAGGGTGCCCCCTGCCCATCAAGCCACCAGGGTGTCTGGAGTGAGGAATTCAGGAGCTGCTGTTCCTGTGACACGAGGAGAGGGGGCCGTCCCTGAAAGTCCTGAGGGCTGGGGAGGCAGACACAGGGAGGGGACGTCCTGTGCCCCCAGCCCTGGGAGATGGCAGCCAGCGGAACGCAGGCTCCCAAGTCACCGTGCAGGCGACTGGGGCAAGGAGGTGGTGGCGGGCTGCAGTGACCTTGGCAGTCCAGGCGAGCTTGGGGACAGGAGAAACCCAGCCACAGCACCCTCCACTCTCCACCCCATCAGAAGGAAAAAACAAAAGAAATGAGGAGGGGGAACAGGAAAAAAACCCCAAAGCAAAAACCTTCTATAAAAAACCAGCCCCTCCGCTGAGCTTAACGCCAGGGAATGCAGCCAGAGGGGGCGGCCCGCGGAACGCGGACTCGCCATAGCTTAAAAAAAAGTTTAGACCTGGGGGGCACCTATGTACAGAGGGAAGGCGGGAGGGCATCAGGCGCGGTCTCCCACGAGGACCACGGGGGCCGCGGACAGGCTGGCTCTCTGCCGCCGCTGGGCCAGCTTGGACTCGGAGGGCGGGGACAGCTGCAGGCAGCGTGAGGTAGCTCGGACAAGGACGGGCTGGCCCTGCCCCGCGGCCTCCTCCTCCGCCAAGTCCTCTTCGCGCTGGGCCAGCTGCCGGTTCATGGCGATGGCCTCGGCCGCAAAGGACGTGAGGTCTTTGGCACAGCTGTTCCTGGGAGGGCAAAGCAGGGGACAGTTGCTGAGGTTGCACCCCTTCCCACTTCGCTGGGGGACCCTTGGGGTCTGCGTAGTGCCCTCTCCGGGCACCAGGACCCCACTGGCGGCTCTAGCAAGTCACCCGGTATGAGGACATCCAAGACTTGGGTCTTTTCCCCACCTAAAAGGTTTTTTGCATCTTTTTGAAATATCTGAACATTTAACCCGCCCCCCTACCAGCTTAGGTGGCCCGAGATCCCCCCAGGGCCTCACCTCTGCAGGACCATGGGCGTGGGCAGGGTGTTCTCTGGGGCGCACTGCAACGAGACAGGAGGTGGTGGCTAGAGCAGGCCCGGCCCACCCTGAGGGTGCCCTGCTGGCTCTGGTGGCACCAGAGGAGACCCCGAGTACACCCTCATCACTGGGACCCGCCTGGAGACATGGGCGCAACTGGTGCCCATGAGCCGAGGCTGCACATGCACCTGCCCAGGGACCCTGAGCCAGGTGGGAGACAGGACGCTGTGTGGCCCCAGGCTCCAAAGCCACACCCGTCCTGGGGGTTTTTAGCCCGAGCCCACCCTCACGCGCATAGGTCTCCGAGGCTCCGGAAGGGTTTGGAGCCCTCCCTTGCTGTGGAAAACAGAGTGTCCCAAGCTTCTATTTTTAGTAAAGCCCGCTGCCCTGGTGGCCTCACTCCCCTGGGGCGGCAGCTTGGCTCAGATGACCCCTGGCCAGGAGCAACATGGGGGTGGGGGTGGGACAGAGCCCTGGGCTGACACTGGCAGTCTCAGGCATGAGGCCTCTGCCCTGCCACTATGGGGCCCAGGGCCAGGCAGGCCAGGAGGATCTTCTGAGCCACTGCTCCTGCCAGGCCCCACGTGGCCACAGCCACTCGATGGGGTTCCAGGGAAGATTTCAGTAGCACCCCCAGATGCCATCTCATCTCCAGGTCTCCACGCTGCACCCTCAGGGTGTTTCATATGCTTGCTGAGAGCCTCGTGCCCTCCCCAGCCCTGGCACCCATGCTCACCCCCTGCACCCAGGGGTGCTGCAGGACTTGGGCGGCGCTCAGCCGCTGCTTGGCGTCGCGGACGAGCAGCTTGGAGATGAGGTCTTTGGCGGAGAGGGAGATGTGGGCCCAGTCCTTGTCGGGGAACTCGTACTTGCCCTCCTGAATGCTCTCAAATAGCATGTTCTAGGGAACATGGCAGGGCAGGGGTTCAGCTACCACTGGCAAGGTTGGCCAAGCCCCTGCCACCCAGACGGCAAATTGGAATAGGTGGCCTCTGGGATGGGCAGAGGGCTGCAGGGCCCAGGGTCCTGTGACCCGTGGGCAGGGCTGGGGGATCTGGAGGGTGTCACAGGAAGGGGAGGGGACATAGGGGAGGTGGCTGGGAGGCTGGGCCAACAGGGTGGTTAAGTGGTGTTTGATTTACTAAGACTGCTCCAGGGGGCACCAGGCAGGGCTTGCTGAGCCGCCAGCCCTGGGCAGGAGGCCCAGACCCGATCACCCCAGCCACAGCTCTCGCTCACCTCTTTGCTACCAGACCCCTGTCCCTGTCTGACTCCCTTAGGCCAGGAAACCCCAAAGCTTTCAAAACCCTGGAGAATGGGTGGCCACTGCCCTATGGATGGTGTCAGTGCTTGGTGTTCAGGGGACAGGTCCCTAACGTAAGAGAAGGGGTGCACTACGCAGGTCCACAGGAGAGGAGGGGTGCATGGGGCAGGTCCCCAAGAGGAGGAGGAGGAGGAGGAGGGGGAGGGGTGCCCAGGGCAGGTCTTGGGCGTGGGGGCGCAGGGTAGCAGGGGTGCACGGGGTGGGGGTGTCCCAGGGCGCACCTGGCAGGCCGGGCAGGCCTCGCCACGGTCCCAGCCGCAGTCGCTGCCGCAGTGGCCCACGAAGGGCGGGTAGCCGCTGAGCAGGATGTACAGGATGACACCCAGGCTCCACAGGTCGCAGCGCTTGTCGTAGATGCTGGCCTCCTCACTGAAGGCCTCCACCACCTCAGGAGCCATGTACTCTGCCGAGCCGCACTGCAGGGGGCGGCGAGTCACGTGGGCGCTGGAGCCGGGCAACTGCTGCCACCAGAGCCCGCCCACTCGGCCCCACCCCACCGAGCTAGGCCCAGCCAATCAGCGGCTGCTGGGAGCCCGTCCCGCCCAATCAGCAGGTGCTGGGACTGCTCTGCCTGGCCAATCAGCGGCAGTGCTAGACCGTCCCACCCACCCCCCGCCCAGCCAATCAGAGGCTGTTGCTAGGCGGAAGCAGAACTCCGTGACCTGAGCCGCCGGCCAGCCCGGGCGGGTGAGGTTACGCAACTTTCTTGCCCTGAGCCCCATGCCCTGCCCCGCACCCCTCTGGGCACCCTGGCTGCCGGGGCTCACCGGGGTGAGCAGCTCTGGGGTGGAGATGGGGGAGCAGTCTCCGTTGAGCTTGATGCCACTGCCCAGGTCGAAGTCGCAGATCTTCACGGGGGACACCTGGGTGGGGTTGGGGGAGCGTGAGCACTGGGGTGCCTCACCTGGCCAGGTTGCCCCACCAGGCTGGGGTGCCTCACCTGGTTGGGGTGCTCGCAGAGGATGTTTTCTGGCTTCAGATCCCTGTGGGCAATGCCTGCAGGGAAGCAACACAAGGGCATTGGGGTGGGAGTGTGTCCAGCAGTCCTGGGCAAGTGGACGGGGCCTCTGCTGGAGACTCACCTTTGTTGTGCAGGAAGTCCAGGGCACTGGCCACGTCCTGCACCACCACGCTGGCCTCCAGCTCGTTAAAGTGCCGCCGCTTGTGGATGTGACTCAGAATGGAACCTGCAGTGGGGCCAAGGCAGAGAGAGAACAGGTGGGGTCACTTCCCAAGGCCCTGGGGCCCATGCACCACACCTACACTGGCTCCCTTGGACCCAGAGTCCTGGACCCTGAGCCACATGTACACAGGATGCTCAGACTCCACAAGACCTCTCCCGTGTGTAGGACCCTCTGAAAGGTCATTCCTGCTGGCTCTAAGGGGGAATATCCCATAAGGGGGGCTGAAAATATCTCCCGGCTCCTTCCCTCCCCACGACTAGGAGCCGCCACGTACCACCCCGCATCTTCTCAAACACCAGGTAGAAGCGGTCCTCCTCCTCGAAGAATTCAATCAGTTCTAGGACGTTCCTGGGGGAGGGGGCAGGAGAGGAGCTGAGGCACTCTGAGGCCCCTGGGCACCCACTACCCAGCCTAGGAGGGGCCCCCGCTCTCTGTGCCCACCTGCCCACTGGGGGCTTCAGCCACACTGCCACTGGGTCCACTCACATACCCAGCCTGGTAAACAGTGGGTGCTCAATAAATGCTTGCTAGGGGTGATGTGGCACTTAGGCCCATTCAGCTACTGAAAGATGGCTCGGGGCCTGGTGCTGTGGGGAAAGCAGGTCACCTTACCTGTGTCCCTGGCACTGATACAGCATCTCCACCTCCCGGAAAACCCTGCTCCGAATGTGGCCCGGTTGCTTCTCAATGATCTGCAACAGGGAAGGGACACGCGCCTGGGTCAGCCAGACCCGCCATAGCTGGAGAGGGGCAGGTGAGGCCCCGCCAGACACTGCTGTGCCGCGTCTGAAATTCCATCAGAGCTCTGGAAGGCAGGGCTCTCTCCTGAATTTGCCAGAAGTCAAAACTTGGGAGTCAGCAGGGGGCATCGCGAAGTGGACCAGGAAAGAAAAGCTGACAGAAGACAAGCGGTTGGGGCAGCCCTGCACCCCTACTCTGACGGGCCTTGGGGGTGTACTAGGGATTGGGGGCCTCCGCAAAATACCCCCACGCACAGTGTCAGGGTCCCTTGGACTGGCGGCCACCCCTCTCTGACCAGGAGACCAGCCAGCTATACTTCTTGGCTCCCACAGGACCAGTGGAACAAGGGAAGCTTCAAGGAGCCTGGCTGCCAGCCTGGGTAGTCCCCACGCGCCACATAGCCACAGCACCAAATCCTGACTCCACCCCAACCTGGGGAGGTGCCTCCCTGGGGCCCATCAGCCTGTGTCTGTTTCAGACCAGCCCCGAGTGTCTATCCCAGACAGGGGGCCCAGAGTCCGGGAAGCCGGCCTGAGCCCTACCCCACTGCCCTCTGGCCTCTAGTAGCTTCTAAGGACTAGAGGGTTTTGCCCCCATCAGATGACCCCAGCCACTTTCACTGGCAGAGATGGGGTCAAAAGGTGGGGCCAGCTCTCCCAGGTACCTGCCGGGCACCTCCTCCCAGGCTGGACACCCTGGCCCCCTCTCACTGGGCAGGTGGGTGGAGGGTGACCACGTGTGCCCAGGGCAGGTCTGATGGGGGACAGGGGATGTGTTTCTCCACCCTTGAGCCCCCGGCTACCACCTATACACTGTTGCTCATGTCTAGCGACAGATACACCAGCCCTAGCGAGGGGCAACAGAACCACCTGATTTGGGGGTCTCTAGAGACGTCACCACCCCCCAGGCTGAAACCGGACCTCACCCTGTTCCTTGGAAAGCCGGCTAGGATGGCAAAGTCCCTCCTGGCAGGGGAGCGGCCTTCTCTGAAGTCCTAGCTGGGGCTCCGCGGCCCTGGAGCCCCTTACCCGCAGGCCCAGGCCACACTCCTCAAACCCAAAGGTTACTGCTCTGCCCTAGGGCCCAGCTGCTTTTTGTCCCCTCCGCCCACGACACCCCACTCCTGCCACTGCCCCTGGCTGGGCCAGCTCCTCCGCAACTTCAGTGGTCCTCAAGACACCCCCACCAGGAAGGCCCCCAGATACCAGCACTGATCACACCAGGTCATGGTGTCAAGGCGACCAAGGAGCCAGCCCCAAGACAGCAGCAAGAAGCCTCGGTGAGGCCACGTGGTACAACTCAGGCTATCTCACGCCTCTGAGCCTCAGTTTCCCTATCTGTCAAATGAGGACACGAAGCCAGGCTGCCTGGCAGCACCATTGGGAGGACCGTGCTCAGAAGGATGCCCGCTGTGCAAAAGTGCTCTGTGAGTGTCCCAGTCCCCAGCACCTTCACCCTGCCCCACCTGTGAGCTCCCAGGGAGCCGGGACCACAACTGCATCTGTCACCACCTGTGGCGGCCATGACCCCAGCACCTGGCCAACAGCCTCCCCTGACTTGGAAAGGTGAGGCTCCCTCCTCCCTGCGCCATGGGCTGGGCGCTCCCGTCCCTCTCTCCTCTAACACAGCTCTGGTGTGGCCTGGCCTCCCACCAGGGTCCGCAGGCGCTGGCCAGCCCTGCCTGCCAGGGAGCAGCTGGCCTCCTCCCTGGGCAGCTGGCCCTCCCATGACCCCAGCCAGCCCGGGAGCCGGATATGGGGTCACGAGGGAAGCCTGGACAGTTTCTTGGAACACAAGACCCAACTGCGTGCCCTGCAAGGTCACAAGGCCACTGCCAGGGCCTCAGCAGCCTCAGGCTCCCAGACCACTGGCTGCGTGGGGCTGGCTGCAGGGGAAGCTCCCAGGGGCCACACTGGGTTTCCCCAAATGCAGAGCCCCCTCAAACACCCCCTGGGAGGGCTCAGAGGTGGGGGACCTGCCTGAGAGACTCAGCGGGCAAGTGTCGCCTTGGACCAAAGCCCCCAGCTCTGGGCAGCCACTCTGGACAGGTTCTCTGGACACAGGGTGGGCAGGGGCTGCCCTCACTGCCACTCCTGTCTGGACTTGGGGGCTTAGCAGGGATGACCTGATTTCCCAGAAGTGGCCTGAGTCACCAGGCCTGGGGACCATTTTTAGATACTGGTTTTCCCTGGCTGTCAGCCTAGGAGCTCGAATGCCACCCCCTTCCTCCTGTCACCCCGGGCCAGTGCCAGATCCCAGGCCTGCCGGGAAGGGCCAGGGAGCAGCTCCAGCCGCCGGAGCTCACCTTGACGGCGTACTCCTGGTTAGTGATGAGGTTGACACAGGTCTGCACGCGGGCGTGGGCGCCTTCCCCGAGCACGTCCTCCTGCAGCTGGTAGACGTCTGAGGAGCAGCGGGGTTGGGGTCAGAGGACCCGCAGCTGGCGCCTCCTCACCACTGGCGGCCTCCCCGCCGCCCCCCACCTGCCACCCTCTCACCTTCGAACCTGCCCGAGAAGCTGTCGGTGGCTCGGCTGCGCTTCTTCTTCTTGCTCCTCTTCTTGGCGTCCGGGATGTCGATGGGCTGACTGGTGGGCATGTCTGCGCGGAGGGACACCCGCCAGGGCTTAGGAGGGGGCCCTACTCGGCCTGCACCCCCTGCTGAGGGGGGGGGTCGGTGGGTGCCACGTGCCCCCACCCCTTGGGCCTCTCACCAGGGCGGGCCCCGCGCTGCAGGCTGAAGTCTGGGTCCTCAGAGTCCCCGTGGTGGGCCTGGTCTAGGGAGAAGGCCAGCTCGAAAGGGTTCTGCCCCTGCAGGACAGGACAGGACAGGAGAGTGCTCAGGCCCTGTCCTGCCACGCACGGCCCCAGCACCAAGAACGGTCCCCGCTGAACGTCCATAGGCCAAGGCTGAGAAGCCCCCAGTTAGTTACCCAGAGACAAATTCAGTCTGACCCGGCTTACACTGGACACCAGAATAAACTCCCAACAGGGCCGACGGACAGACCAGGTGACCCGCACACAGCTCCTGGGACTCCTCGCCTCCCTCCCCACTCAGGTGTGGATTTAACCATGTGCAGCCTGCTAAGACCTCAGCAGGGCAGGGGACCGTGGGACGCAGAGTCTCTTGGGTGTCAGTGGAATCCCTTAATCCAGTGGTTCTCACCTAGGGGGTATTCCAACCCTATGGGACAATGCTGGGACATTCATGGTTGTCATAATTGGGGCTGCTCCTGGCATAGAGCGGGTGGAGGCAGGGACGCTGCTCAGCACCTGCAGTGGCCAGGACGGTCCCTCCCCAAAGAACGACCTGGCCCCAAATACTGACAGTGTCAAAGTGGAGAACCCTTGTTCTCCCCCAGGGGAAACCTGACCCTCTGCCCCCGGGCCAGGCCCCTGGGTGCCCCAGGGAGGGGGTGCAGTGTGGGGGAGGGGCAGATGCAGGCAGAAGCTGCCTGGGGGCCCTGCTTGATGCCAGGGCTGAGTCACCACAGGGCCCAAGCCACATCTCGTGCCTCAGTTTACTTGTGTGCAGAATGGGGCCTGCGTGGCTGACCTCTGGGATCAAAGGCAGTGGGGCAGCGCAAGGAGGTGACTCACTGGGCAGGGCTCCCAGACTGGCAGCCAGGTCTGCTTTCCCACGGCCTGCTGGGCTGTCTCAGCCCGGCTCGGCCCTGCCTGGGCCTCAGTTTCCCCCCTTCTTCCTTATCTTGCCTGTAGAGGGGGTGGGGGATGAATCCAGTCCCTGTCACTGCACTGCCTGCCCTGCAGTCTCAGGCCACCTGCACATCTGTGTGCCAGGCCCTGAGGCTGCCCAGAACACCTCCCCAACCCCAGCTCTGTGTATCCAAACCCTACGTATCCTCTGAGCATCACAGTCCCCCACTGAAGTGAGAGACTCGGTGCTCGTGGCACCACAACTGCTGGTGGCCAGGGTCCAGCTGGGTCCCTGCCTGGCCCCCAGAGGCTCATGGGAGAGATGCCCACAAGTGTGCCAGGCCCTGCCAGGCCACAGCCTGCGTGGTCCCGTTTCAGTGTCAGACAACCCTGGAGGGACCCCCCTCGCAGGCCCTGGTACCCAGCTAAGCTCACCCCTCTAAGGGAGGGGCTGTAGCAGGCGGGATTTGCATTCGGGCCTGTGGCACTTGACAGGCTGGAGCTTGGGCAAGACAATGGGGAGTGTGTGACACCCTGACCCAGGGTGGGAGGACGCTGGGGGCCTGACGGACCTTTTCCTAGCCCCAGACACAGGAGGGCTGGAAGGACTGTTTCTGCAGAGTGGGTGTGATCCAGTTGGGGATGGAGAGTCCCTCATGGAGGGGGCGGGGCCTGGCTCCCATGCAGCTGAGCTCTACGCTCTAAGTCAGCGTCCCCAGCCAGGGGGGCCTTGGCAAGCAGGGGGCCTACAGATGCGGGGGCAGGTCCTAGTCCCAGCAAGGATGCTGGGTGGCCTGGGCTGAGTAGCTGCCCCTCTCTGAGCCCCTAGACAAGTGGGGCACGGCCCTGACAGGGGGGACATCTGGCAAAGAAGCCACTCCAGGAGAGCCCAGTGCAGAGGGGCCAGGCCAGACACCTCGCTTGGCACAGAGGGGCAGGTGGCGGCCAGATAGCGGGAGTGTCTGAGAACCAGGCCGTTGTCCCTGCCTCCCGCCCACCCTGCCCTGGGCAGATAGTTGCTAAGAGGCCTTGCAGGGGAGGGGAGCGGGGGGCACTCCAGCCGCCCCACAGGGCGCCAGGCACACCCAGCTCTGATAAGGTATCCCATCCAGAGGGCCTGGTGGCCACCTGGGGCCACCACAAAAAGGGGGTGACTAGAGTCAAAAGCCAGGCACAGCTTTCACTTGCTTTCTGACCTTGACCTAGTGACCACCTTAGGCCTATCAGAGGGACAGGAGGCAGGTGCCTGCAACTCGTTGGCCCTGGAAAGGGTGAAAGGACTTGGGGCTGCAGGGCCTAGTTTGAGCCTGGCTTTATCTGGTCACCGTCCCCACAAGCCCATCATGGCCTCCAACTCAGAAAAGCAGAGACAGATGGGCAGGCCAGAGCCACTATGGGGATGGGACAGATCTGCTGTCGCCAGGGGCTGGGTACTGTCATTCCTGTGTCCTCGAGCAGGAGGGCCCCAGGCAGATGCCTACTGTCTGGGAACCTTCACCTTCCCAACACGCCTGCACACGTCCTCCCGGCTGAGGGCATCTCAGGAGAGGTGGCCCCACCCCAAGGGAGCAGGTGGGATGATGGGAGGGGATTCCTAGCATGACCAGACCCTAGGACCTGGAGGAGTACTTCCTGGGAACCCCCCGCCTAGGTCCCAACTATGAGTGGGGCAGTCCGGTGGCCATGCACAGAGACCAGCCCAGTCCCGAGCAGCATGGGCGGTCCTGGCCCAACCCGCCCTGGGTCTGGCTGCAGGATGCGAGTCAGCAGTCCTTGGCAGGAGGCAGCTGGAACCATCCGGAAAGTTCGAGTTTGCTTTGGCTGCCTCGCTGGCCCCATGCGTTGACCTGGTCTCAGCTCATGCCCAGCCCCAGGAGGGAAAGCCCACGGTCGGAGATGTCTCAGGTCCAGCCCCATCCCGCCCAGCCCTGGACACTCTCAGGACAGCCACTGCCCTGGGAGAAAATGCAGGTGACAGGCATGCAGCAAGGGTTGGGGAGCTGGCCCGGGACACTGGCTGGACAGGCCTGGGAATTGCTCCGAGCAGCCTTTGCTTGCTCCTCCCACCCTGGTGCAGGCGTGTGTACACACCACACACATAGTCCTGCCTTCCACCGGGCAACAGGTCCCTGCCCAAGGAAGCTGGGGAGGCCATTACATAACCCGGCCTGTGGGGTGGGGCAGCAGGCTGACATCATTGCGTCCCCTGGGCCAGGCCCTGTGGGGCCCCTGCCCAGCACCTGCCCTCCCGCCCCACCCCCCCAGATCGCTCAGCCGAGATCAGGGTTTAGTTGCCCGCCACCAGGCTGCTGCAAATTTCTCGCTCCAACAGGAAGCAGCACTTGGGCCTGGGTGTCTGGGAGGTGCAGGGCAGAGGGAACATGCAACCCACTCTCCCCTTTCACAGGCCACCTTGGCGTGGGTGTGAGAGGCGCCCGACCTGGCCTAGGAGCCTGGAGCAAGGTCCCAACAAGCCACGCCGGGGTGAGGACGGGGTTGTGGCCTGCTGAACCCCTCCCCCAGTGCACAACAACTGGGCTGGCAGGGGACACCCAGGCCTGCCTGCAGTACTGGACTAGGGACCCCACAGGCCACATGCAGGGCTTGGGACAGGACTGCGGTCTGCAGACCCCTGCCCCACCACAACACAGCCCACGGGGGCTTGCAGGGGACACACAGCCAAGGACCCCCCTGAGGCACGGACAGCTCAGCCCCCCTGGGGTTCCCACGGGCCACAGCTCGGGAGGGGCCTGTGGCCTGCGGACACCCCGACGGCGCACCCCCGGCTAGGACAGCCAAGGCACAGGGCGGGGGCCTGCGCCAGCCTACCCCCGAGGCAGGCTCCGTGCCCTCCCACCGGCCGCTTGGGGGCCAGCCCGGAGCGCCCCGAACCGACCCGGGCCTCACCTTGAACGAACGGTGGAAGCCCTGAAGTTCGGCTGTTTTCTTCTGCACCATCTTCCGTCCGGGCCCCGCCAGCGGGGGAGGGGACAGCGGGCCGGGGGGCGGCCCCGAGGGCGGGCGGCCGGGCGGGGGGCGGCCAGGGACGGGCCCCTGCGGGCGGGAGCAGACAAAGGGAACGCGGTGAGCGGCGGCGGCGGCCGGAGTGCGGCCCGGGCGGGGGCGGCGAGGGCGCCGCGGGGCCGGTTCCCCGCGCCGGGCCGAGGACCCAGGGGCCGCCCGGGACTCGCACTCACCGGGGTCGGGCTCGGGTCGGGGCCGCAGTGCCGCCGCCGCCCGACGTCGCGAAGCCCGGACCCCGCTCCGCGGACCGCGCGGGGAACAGCGCCGCCGCCGCCGCCGCCGCCACCGCGGACTCCTCCGCCTGGGCCGCCGCCGCCGAGAGGAGCCGAGCGCGCCGCCGCTGCCTTCGCCTTTATAGGCCCGGCCCGCCCAGGCCCCGCCCTCAACGCAGGCCCCGCCTCGGACACGCCCCCCGCGCGCCGGGGGCGGAGCGTCGTGGAGCGAGGAAGGCACTCCGGGCTTCGAATGCGGCTGCGCGCTCCGAGAGGGGGCGTGTCCGCGCCGCCGCGCTCGTGCCTGCGCGGTGCGGCGCTCGGGCTCCTGGCGCGGCAGCCTCTCAGCGTCCAACTTCTCTCCCGCCGCCTGCGGCTCGGGGTTCCTGGGGCCCTGCGGGGCCTGGCACTGAGCCGAGGCCTGCCGTATGCCCCACGCAGGGCACCTCCCCCAGCCTGCCAGTCGAAGCCCAGCATACACTGCTCGATGCCCCTGCTCTAGAACCTGCCATGCCTCCCGCTTGCAGCTCCCCATGCTTGCCCTCGCCCGGCCCCTCTCACACCACCAACGCGCTTCGAGGCCCAAACGCTCCCTCCTCCTCACGCTGGGGAACCGGCCGCCACCACCTGCTTCCTGCCCCAGCGGGGCCGCCTTGGCTTGAGGAGCAGGGAGTGCAGGCGCTTGGCAGGGCCCAAAGTGGCGGGTGGGAACTGAGATCTGTGAAAGACCCTTCCTCAGTTATGGGACAGTGTTTTGGGGAGAACTCTGGGGCCCCAGACAGCTCAGGAGCCCAGGGGGTGGATGGAGACTAGGGCAGGAGGTGAAACTCAATCCCACGCTGCCTGGGCCCCCAAACCAGACTTGGACAGGCTCAGAGAGTCTGCCCCTCTTGAGCCAGGCCAGCTCCCCGTCCCACCTCACCTGTTCAGCATCCTCACCAGGGCCCATGCCTTGGGCTTCTCCTGCTGGATGGAATGCCATTTCTCTTCTCCTGGCCCCAGCTTGGTCTTCCAGAAGCTTCCAACAGGCCATCCCCACTGTCCCCCAAGCAGGCCCTGAGCTCGGAGAGGCTGGAGCCCACTGACCTGAAGCCAGACGGGGCCTTTTCCCGGTGGGGCAGCCTCTGTCTACCTGCTGCCGCCAGGTCTCAGGCCACAGGGGAGGGCCTCAGCCACTCCCAGGACGCTGGGGGAAGCCTGCGGGGAACTCCCTGCGTCTTGGCCATAGAGGGAAGACAACCTTGAGCCCCCAGCCTCCCCCTTTTTGCATGCACAAACGTGCGTGTGTGTGTGTGTGTGTGTGTGTGTGTGTAGACACACGTTGGCTCCAGCTGCCTGGGGTGGGGCCACTACACTTGCCTGCCCAGGTGAGTGACCTCAGGTTTCCTCTCCTCACCCCCACTGGCCTCACCTGCCCGTCCCTCCCCACTGCCTGTGTGCAAGTGGTCACTTGCGAGTCTGTTGTGCCAGGTGCAGGCTCTGCTCTAACGTGCCTGCGCTTCTCTGTGTGGAGGGCAGGAGCAGAGAGGGCTCTGCCCCAGCCCAGAACTTCGGCTCCGGGAGAGCTCAGATCTGTCCGCCATGTGCACAGCGGTGCTGACCGCCTGACCACCGGTGTTTGAAAGAAAGACGTGTGTGAGCACGTGTGTGCCTCTGTGCACGGCATGCAGGGGTGGCGTGAGTGCAGGAGCTTCCTGGGGCCACTGTAACAAAGGGCCACAAACGGAGAGCTCCAAACAGTGGAGACTTATGTTCTCAAAGTCCTGGGGGGCAAAGGTCTGAAACCGAGGTGTGGACAGGACCGCGCTCCCTCTGGAGGCTCCCACGGTGGATCCTTCCTGCCTCTCCCTGCTCTGGGGACTCTAGGCACACCTTGGGAGGAAGGCCCCACCTGCCTGCTGGAGGCAGGAAGCCTGGTCCTTCCTTCATCCTTCCGGAAGTGTGGTTTGGGGTTGTGAAGGTGACAGACAGGCATGGGGGAGTGTGGGGGACGAGGGGGGGGCAGGGGGCCTGACCAGGAAGGACCCAGGGCCAGCACAGCCCCCTAGTGCTTCCAGGGGAGGTGGCCAGCCTGGGAGGGGAGCTCAGGAGTGCCCTAGGGGAGGTGGAGGCTGGCCTGAGGCCACCAGGAGAAGCACAGGCCCTGGGAGGCCTGGCCCCCAAAAGAGACAAACAGGAAGTGCGGCGGCAGCAGGCCGGGCCGGCGCCCACATCAGACAGGGCTGTTCCCTCCTCTGCAATGCACCCACCGCCCCTACTCCTGCAGGCAGCTCCCGGCTAGCAAATCCACACCTGAAATGCACAGGCTCCCAGCGACAAGGACCGTGGCCCCGGCCCCTAGTGATCTGACATCTGCCCCCACACTCCATGGGTTCCCTGTTCCTGCTATGGCCACCAAGTGCTCCTGTATAGGGGTGTGGCCAGGAGTGGGGGCTCCCTTGGGCTCTTCCCTCAGCCTACCCAGGTGCACCTGACCTAAGCTGTGGGGGAGCCCCGCCCCCACCCCACTGGGCACCTGCAGGCATCTTCACCTGGGCAAGTGGGAGCCAACCCAGCAGCTCTGTGACACCCCCCAGGACCTGTTTTGCGGTATGCTGGGGCCCAATGGGGCTCAGAGAGACAGGGACAGTGGGAGAGGGTGGACAGGTGGATGGGCCCTGGGACCCTCCCAGCCCCAGGACTCACCCTTTGGCTGGGACGTCTCTGCCATGGTCTCTGCCTCTGCCAGTGTGCACCTGCTGTCCCTCACCAGAGACCTCAGTGGCCATGTAGGTGGGGCCCACCCTGTGTCCCTTCTTCCCTGGGAGACTCCCAGCAAGTGGGCCCAGCCTCTGCTCTGGGCTGGCCTGCCACAGGTCCCACCTCCAGAGGGTTCCAGGGGCCCTGGCAGAGTGGCCTGGGGCCCACACAATGCACAGGGATGAGCCTGTGTTTCATGTGGGCCACCCCCACACCACCCACCACCCTCCTGGCCACCTGCCCAGGGTCCCACAGCCGGGAGGGGATTCCCTGCCCACTGGGTGGCATGGCCTCCCCTCTGGGATGGTGGCAGGGTCCTGCTTGCCGAGAGGGAGACAGGTGGGTGGTGACAGGCCCAACAGGTGAGGCCCCCTCCCACCCTGAGACTCCACAGGGATGGAAGCCCAGAAAGCTCGGCCTGCTGGGACCCTGCAGCTCCCCAGAGGCCCCTCATGAACCCAGCCTTGGAGGGGGCTCAGCCAACCTGAGCCAAAAACTGCAGACCACCTGCTTTCTAGAGGAAGGGGTCCTGTTGGCCTCTGACCAGTCCCCAAGAAGCCCCTTGCTTCTGCAGGGTGATTTCAGCCTGTGTGATACTTAGGGTCTCCCCGAAACCCTAGACGAAGTGTCTGGGCATGTCCTGGACTTGCTGGCTGGGGCCTTGGCTTCCCTTGTCCTTGGTTGAACCAGGGGGAGGCAGGCTGGACAGGCGATGGCCTCTGTGACCTCCCCCCTCTGGGCCTGGGGTGTCTGTTATCCAGAGTCCACCTCCTTAGCCACATAGCAGAGCTCAGGGTCTTTGCAGGCTATAGGCACGGCCACCAGATCCAGCAAACGTTAATAAAAATACAGGGCACCCAGTTCACTTCGCATTTCAGACAGTGAATAACTTTTCAGATGTCCCAGCCCTGAGTGAGCCCAGCTGTCAGTAGACAGATGATCATTGCTCGTTCAGCTAGAATTCCAAGGTAGCCCAGGGTCCTGTATTTTACCAGACAACCATACAGCGGAGTCACAGTAAAAGATCTTTACCCCCAACATAAAAAGAAAGAAAAATATGGTGTGGGTTGTGCGAGTGTGAGCAGATCGGGCATGTCTGGGTGTGCCTGAGAGGCACCCCGCCCAGGTCTACGTGGGGCCAGCATGTGCACCTGTGGGAGTGGAGTGGGGACGCGGGGTGTCAGGCTGGGCACATCTGCCCGTGTGTGTGCACGCATTGGAGAGTGCGGTCGGTGCCCATGGGGGCGCACCTCCTGGTTCCCACCTGTCTGGGCGTCCAGGGACAATAACTGCAGCCTGGGAGCAGGGGTCCCAGCTACCTTAGAGGCCTGGGCAGCGTCATCCCAGGTCCCACGACCCTGCTGGCTGGGACCTCTGGCCATGCGGCAGGAACGTCTGATGCAAGTGGCTGCAAGCGTCCCTTCCTGCTGGCTGACTCACCCTCGCCTCATTCCAGTGGCTCAGCAGTCCTGGGGATAGAGCCAGGGCCTGCTGTCCTCCACTGGGGGCTGGGAGCAGGCAGGGCAGGTGTGGCCAGGAGCTCGGGGCTGCCCATCTGCCCAGGCTGGCCGTAGGACCTGTCCACCCTGCCGTGATGCTGGGAGGGTAGCACTGTGTCTGTCCCACCCTGCTGAGGTCAGTCCCTGCACAGTTCCCAAGGGAAGTGTGGGGGTAGGGTCAGGTGGCTGGGCAGGGCTGGCCCAGGAGACAGCCAAAGGCCACCGCCCTGCCCCAGTGACCGTGGAAGAAAGAAGCCCTTGGCTGGGAGGCTGGTCACCTGGTTTCCTCTCCTTCTCCTCCTCCTCCAAGGATGTTATTACCCTCCTTGGAGCCCAGACAACACCCAGGTGGTTCTCACTGGGAGCCTGGTGTCCTGCTCCCAACAGGGACCTGGGCATCACATACAAAGGATCCTAGTTTTGAGAGGGTTGTTTTGGGGTACATGTGCAGATCCTGGGAGGGCATGGCCACAGCACCTTTCATAGCAAAAGGGACTCTGCAGATGGGATTGAGGTCCCTGAGATGGGAGGTCACCCAGGATGACCCCGGGCGGGGGGAGTGTCAGCACAGGGTCCTCCCAGGAGGAGGCAAGAGGGTCGAGGCAGAAAGACTGGAAGACGTTGAGCTGCTGGCTCCGAAGGTGGAGGAAGGGGCCCTCTAGACGCTGGGAAACGGGGTGGTCCCTAGGCTGGAATCTGGCCTGAGGCGCGGTGAGAGCCCCTGCCTTGGCGGCGACCTTCGACAGCCACACCGGGGACTCCTGCGGCACCTCGGAGGCACCGGGGTCCCCGTGCTGCAGAAGCAGGGAGGGAGGCCGACGCGGCCAGGCGGGCAGGGGGCCGCCCTGGGCTTCCTGGCCGAGACCCCCGACGGTCACAGGCCACGCAGGGCTGGGGACACGCGGTGCGTCCCGGCGGGCAGGGCCTGGCCACCAGGCTCCCCGGCGGGGCCGGGCACCCGCTCCTCGCAGGTGCAGTGCAGGGTCGCCCGGATGCCGACGCCCCGCAGGCGCCCCCCAGGCGAGTCCCCAGACCGTGGCCCCACCGCTGCCCGGGGATGACGGGGGCGTGGTGACACTACGAGTGCGCCCGGCCCCGCGCGCCTGCGCACTAGCTGGCCAGGGTGCCAGGGCCCCTTTGCCCCGCGGGGCAGGCGGCGGTTGCCGGGCAACGCGTTTGCGTCATCCAACCTGGCGCGGCGCCCGGGACTCCGAGGGCGAAGGAGGCGGGGCTCTGGCTCTTGACCAATAGGACTCCAGAGGCCGAGCGTGAGGGGCGGTGGCCAGAGCTTGCTCTCAAGCCAATGGAATTGTTGTTGTCGGGGCCGGGCGAGCAGGGCCGCCTCCCTCTTAAAGGGTCTGCGCGCGTTGCTGCACGCCTCTCTTGCCTGTGGGTTCTGGGCAGCAGCTTGGGGTTAGGGGTTGGGGGTCAGCGGACCAGGCCAAGCTCCAACCCCTCCTCTGCCACGCTGTGTGACTCCGGGTCAGGCCTCGGCCTCCAAAGCCTCAGTTTCCCCAGGGGCGCAGAAGGGGGTGGCGCATCCAGAGCCGGCTGCTCCCCTGGCGGGCTCCCCTGACGGGCGCCCCTGTATTTATGCGGCGCCAATGGTGTGCACTTGGGCCTCCTGCAGTGGCCGGCTGGCCCCTCCACGGGGCACATGGAGCGCCCCCCAATCCCTAGAGGGGAGGCCAGGTTGGAGAACTGGGATGTGACCCCAGGCTTCAGAACCCAGTGCCTGGGCCCTGTCCACTGGCCCAAAGCACCCGGGCAGGTGGTCCGGACTGGGGGGCAGTGGCTTTAGCCACAGTGTCCACCCACCCCAGGCGGGCCCTATTGTCAGTCTCATAGATGAATCAGAAATCAGGGGTGTGAAAGGACATGGCCCACCTGCAGAAGTGACCCACCAGCCCCCTCTCCTGGCACCCTCTGTGTCCCCAGCCTCTAGTGACTCCAGGTGGACCTCAGGGACTGCACATTCTGGAGGCCTGGCACCCTGGCCAAGCATGGCCCCAGCAGTGGGGGTGGTCCCTCTTGCCACAGGAGGTGGCACACTCCTGGCCATGTGGATGTCTGTGGGGGCTGTTATTCAGCAGCCCGGTGTCTGGGGCTCCCCCCAACACCCTGAACCTGGTTGTCACCATGGGCCTTCCTCCTGCCAGGACCTCGGGGTTCCCTGTCCACTGCCAACCCAGGACCCCATGTTTTCTCTTTCCTGCTTCCTGCGACATACCTCAAGAGAGACTGTTTAAATGTCTGCATTTTTCTATGACTTTGATGTTTTTTATGATCATTTTTTTTATTACAGAGACTTTCATTATCAAGCCCCTGACTGTGTCTGAACTTGCTCCCTGCAGGGACCCCAAACTCAGACCATCTCTGAGCTGTCTCTCCTCCCTCCTCCCCTCTCCTTCCATCTGGTTTTAAGCCACATCCTCAGGGACATCCCGTCTGGACCCAGACAGACCACAGGGACTCCTGCCAGCAAGGGTACCCCCTCACCTTTCTGCAACATCTGCGTCCCTCCTTCCCTTTTACCTACGGGGGGAGGGGTTGTCACCTGCCACCTGCACCCGACCCAGCTCTTCCTCGGGGGCCTTGGTCTGGCCAGAGACTCATTTCTTGCCCCTCACTCACTGCTTGGCCCCCCAGGTCCTGCCCTCCACGGCTCCCTTGTCTGGAGGAGGGTCTACACCCCCACATGCATTCCTCAGACATCCCTCCCCGACATGGCCCCCACCGAGGGGACCTCCAACCTTTCCTATTAAAACACTCCCAGGTGCCCACAACCCTGCCTGCCCCATGTCCTGCGGCCGCCTCCATGCACTTTAGGTCCTGGAGCCCCTGGTGCCGGCCCAGACACAAATTTCTTCTTACCCCAGAATGGACCAGTCTGGACTCTCAGATCCGTATCTAGTTTGGAGAACGACTAAAAGCCTGGTGCTGCCCCTGAGGTGACCTGTGACATCCGGGCAGCTGGTGTTTTGGAGCCCGGGCTCGTGCCCAAACCCAAACTCAGCATCTTGGCCGCAGCAGGGACTGCTACCTGCACCCAGAGGGTTCCAGATTGTCGAGCTCCAGTCCCAGCACCAGACCTGGGGCATCTGCTGCCTCCTACCCTCCAGGTAGGGTCCCTGGCGCACCTGTGCCGGCTGTGTGGCCACCTCAGGAAACCCAGACAACACTGCCCCTCCCGATGCAGATGCAGGCCAGGGTGACAGGTTCCTGTGGCTGCTTTGGCAAATTGCCGGCCGGCTGTCCAGTGTCTTCTGGTGGCTGGGCTGATGAGTCCTGCCTCTCCCGGGACTGTCACAGGTGTCACACCTAGGCCTGGGCCACCAGCAGTTTCGTTACTGCCTGTTCTTTCTGCCCTGAGCCTTGATTTCTGCTGCTCATTTTCATGCCACAGCCAACCAGGATGACTTCTTTTCTTTTCTTTTCTTTCTCTCCTATGCCAGGTTCACAGCAGCAGGATTCACGGGAGCTAAAAGGCAGAAACAACCTGAGTGCCCGTGGACAGACGGATGGGCAAACACGTGGTCCACCCACACGCTGGAATATCACACAGTCGTGAAAAGGGACAAGACTCTGACACAGGCCACAGCAGGAGGGACCTTGAGGACATTGTGCTCAGTGAGAGACGCCAGACACAGAAGGACACGTCCTTTGTGGTTCCACTCACAGGAGGTCCCTAGAGGTGTCAGATCCACAGAGACAGGAAGTAGGGTGGTGGGTACCAGGGGCTGAGGAGGGGGTGGGGACTGAGTGTTTCATGGGGACAGAGCATCAGTTTGGGAAGGTGGTGACAGCTGCAGCACCATGTGTGTGTACTCAACGTGTAACCAACATGAGAAGTACTGCTGAGCTGTGCACTTAAGAATGGTTAAGATGATAAATTTCGGCCAGGCGCGGTGGCTCACGCCTGTAATCCTAGCACTCTGGGAGGCCGAGGCGGGCGGATTGCTCAAGGTCAGGAGTTCAAAACCAGCCTGAGCAAGAGCAAGACCCTATCTCTGCTATAAATAGAAAGAAATTAATAGGCCAACTAATATATATAGAAAAAATTAGCCAGGCATGGTGGCACATGCCTGTAGTGCCAGCTACTCGGGAGGCTGAGGCAGGAGGATCGCTTGAGCTCAGGAGTTTGAGGTTTCTGTGAGCTAGGCTGATGCCACGGCACTCTAGCCTGGGCAACAGAGTGAGACTCTGTCTCAAAAAAAAAAAAAAGATGATAAATTTCATATTGTGTGTATATTATTAAATACCATAATTAAAAATGTTATAAAAAGGGAAGTCATGTTCATCATACATAGAAAAACAAACCTGTCACCTTTTTGCTATCCTCACCCCCCCCCCAGAAGAAGCTGGGGCTTCAGGAACAGTGTGGCACCTGCAGTTCCAGATGATTCCTTCCACTTGCACAGTCGCAGGAGGGTTTGTAGCAGCTGTGTTGGAAAAGGCAAAAATAAACACAAACTCTGGAGCCATCCCCAGAGTCCGGTCATGGGGGAATCTGCGGACACACGGCAGTCTGTTCCCACAACGGAATACTAAGCAGCGACAGGCACCCGGAGGGGCAGACGCCAGATGTCGCCAGACAGCAGCTGCAGGAAGAGCCAGGAGCACAGCGCAGGTCAGCAGAGGCGTGGCTCGGCACGCACGTGGGAGACTCGCGTGGCACACAGTCCCCGTGTTAGGGTGAATAGTGCAGGGGCATTAAGTGCACTCACACCACTGTGCAGCCACCACTTCTAATTCCAGAACATTCCATCACCCCACAGAAAGCCCCGTCCCCATCAGGAGTCCCCCCTCCAGCCCCTGGCAACCACGAATCCCTGTCCCGTCTCTGTGGCTCTGCCTGTCCTGGACATTTCATATAAATGGAGTCTCACACTGTGTGTCCTTCTGTGTCTGGCGTCTCTCACTGAGCACGATGTCCTCAAGGTCCCTCCACGCTGTGGCCTGCGTCAGAGCCTCGTCCCTGTTCATGGCTGAGCAGTACTCCAGTGTGTGGATGGACCAGGTTGGGCTTATGTATTCCTTTGTGGCCGGACACTTCTTGGGCTGTGTCCACGTTGGGGCTGTCGGGGATCATGCTGATGTGAACATTTGTGTACAACCTCAAACTTCTGGTCTCAAGCGATCCTCCTGCCTCAGCCTCCCAAGTAGCTGGGACTACAGGCATGCATCACCGTGCCTGGCTAATTTTTTCTGTATATTTTTAGTTGGCCAGCTAATTTCTTTCTATTTTTAGTAGAGATGGGGTCTCGCTCTTGCTCAGGCTGGTCTCGAATGCCTGACCTCAAGCGATCCTCCCACCTTGGCCTCCCAGAGTGCTAAGATTACAGGCGTGAGCCACCACACCTGGCCTGAAACTAATTTTAGTAATACGTTTAATCTAACCTAATGGAGCCAAAATATTGTTTTAATGTTAACCAACATGAGAACCATTCATGAGATCGTTTTTATGTGTTTTTTTCCCAGCTATGTTTTTGAAATCTGGCATGTATATCATGCTTCCAGCCTGTCAGCTGAGTAAAAACACAAAAGCGATGAAGCTGCATTTAACACGAATACATCGCACGCCGATTCCATTTTAAAGTTTATATTATAATTAATTAAAGTTTAAATTTGTTCCTCGGTCTCACTGGCCACGTTTCAAGTGCCAAATATCCACGTGGGGTGGTGGCAGTTTATTAAACAGCAAGGCTATTGTGTGAGACTGTTTTTATAAAGCCCACAAAAAGACAAAATTAAACATATAGGCCGGGCACAGTGGCTCACGCCTGTAATCCTAGCACTCTGGGAGGCCGAGGCGGGCGGATTGCTCAAGGTCAGGAGTTTGAAACCAGCCTGAGCAAGAGCGAGACCTCGTCTCTACTATAAATAGAAAGAAATTAATTGGCCAACTGATATATATAGAAAAAATTAGCCGGGCATGGTGGCGCATGCCCGTAGTCCCAGCTACTCAGGAGGCTGAGGCAGGAGGATTGCTTGAGCCCAGGAGTTTGAGGCTACTGTGAGCTAGGCTGCCACCACGGCACTCACTCTAGCCTGGGCAACAAAGTGAGACTCTGTCTCAAAAAACAAAACAAAAAACATATATTATTTAGGGATAGACACATATGAGGTAAAAGTATACAGAAAAACATGAAAAAGATTTTTTTTTTAATTGAAGATTTGGCTGGAAGCGGTGGCTCACGCCTATAATCCTAGCACTCTGGGAGGCCGAGGCAGGCGGATCGTTCAAGGTCAAGAGTTCGAGACCAGCCTGAGCTAGAGCGAGACCCCGTCTCTACTAAAAATAGAAAAATTACCCAGCATGGTGGTGCCCACCTTGGAGATCCTGGGAGGTGGGCCGGAGGTTGGGGGAACGGCAGGGCCAAGCCTCGGCAGGACACCTGAAGCCACCCCAGGCTGGCGTCCACCTCCCAGCCAGTGTGACCTTCCATAGACCTTGCCATGGGGTTTCAGCCAGCCTGCGTCCGTCATATGCTACAGCTGGTGCCTGGCAAGGCAGAGAAGTTTCTGGCAACTTGGTGGATCAGGGCTGGGGGCCTGGGGTGTGGGGATCTGGAGCGACCACACTGGACCCCAGGTTCTACTTTCCAATAAAGTGTTGGGAACGGCTGAGGGTCCCAGCCGGGAAAGGCAGGTGCACCCTCTGCCCATGATCAGAGCTCAGATGCCCAGGCTGGCAGCAGGCAGAGCCACGGGGACGCTGGCCTGGCGGGCGGGGACAGCCCAGGAGCTGCTCTCCAGGACAGACAGACAGAGCTGTTTCCAGGCCGGGCTTCCCGGGAGCAGAGCCCCATCCAGTCGCAGGAGGCCCACGGTGGGGCGGGGCAGCTGCTTTTGTTTTTCATCCACTTCTCTGGCTTGGACAGAAGGGCGGGCAGCTCCAGAAATATCTAGGAACGTGGGCCACGCCTCCGGGGTGGCCGCCCGGCAGTGGCACCAGAAGGTCAGCAGGAGTGCGGTGTAAACAACGGCTGCAAAACACCAGCCCCGGACTCGAGCCCTGTGGGCAGGTGGGCACAGCGCGTGACCCGCCACAGCCACGGGGCGGAGACGGCCCGCGTGGTTAAGCCAGCAGGGAACAGAGACACAACGTGGCCCGTCCTGGAATGTGATTCAGTTAATAAAAGCGCCGAGGCTCTGACACAGGCTGCAACGTGGAGGGGCCTTGAGGACATCGTGCTCAGGGAGAGACGCCAGACACAGAAGGACACAGTGTGTGACTCCTTTTCTATGAAATGTCCAGAACAGGCAGATCCGCAGAGACGGGACATGGATTCGTGGGTGCCAGGGCCTGGGAAGGGGATGGGGGCTGACTGCTGATGGGGCCGGGGCTTCCTTGTAGAATGTTCTGGAATTAGAGACAGGTGGTCGCACACATTGTGAGTGCACTAAAAACCACTGGACCGTACACCTTCGGTGAGCCAACTGCATGGTGTATGGATTATATCTTATTTTTGTTTTGGATTATATCTTGATAAAGATATTTTAATGGCAGCCAAACCCCAGCCAGCACCTGGGCGGTTATGACCTTGCTCTTGGAGAAGCAAACACGCCCAAGCCCCGATGCCCAGTGGGTGTCCTGGCCCCTGACGGTCCTTGAAGGGGAGAATCTCTGAACAATGCCCAGGACAGGGTGGGCAGCCCCCACATCAGAGCTCAGTGGTGAAGACCCTGCTCCTCAAAAAATATTGACAGCAGGGAAACATCTGCTTTACTTTCCTTTTTTATTTTTTTGAGACAGAGTCTCACTTTGTCGCCAGGTCTAGAGTGCCATGGCATCAGCAGGAGATCCTCCTGCCTCAGCCTCCCGAGTAGTTGGGACTACAGGCATGCGCCACCATGCCCGGCTAATTTTTTCTATATATATGTTAGCTGGCCAATTAATTTCTTTCTATTTATAGTAGAGACGGGGTCTCGCTCTTGCTCAGGCTGGTTTCAAACTCCTGACCTTGAGCAATCCGCCCACCTTGGCCTCCCAGAGTGCTAGGATTATAGGCGTGAGCCACCGTGCCCGGCCTCTATTGCCTTTCTTTTTCTTTTTTTTCTTTTTATTTTTTGAGATAGAGTCCCACTCTGTCGCCCAGGCTGGAGTGCAGTGGCGTCATCATAGCTCACTGCAGCCTCCAACTCCTGGGCTCAAGCGATCCTCCCACCTCGGCCTCCCAAGATGTTAGGATTACAAGTGTGAGCCATGGGGCCCGGCCCGGCCGAACACCTGCTTTTCAATCATAGGACATCTCTGGGGAAAGAACTGTGCAGGGAGACGGAACAGGAGGAAAAGTAACACCATGGTGCTGGGGAGGGTTCGGGCTCAGCAGTAGCTGCTGGGTCTTGTCTGGTGATGAGACAGGCACAGACGTCCGGCGCCAGGAATTCGGCTCAGAGTGGGGCTCACCCGGGGGTGATCCCGCCCCCAGGGGACACTAGGCAGTGTCTGGGGCCCCTGGGGTTGTCAGGACTGGGTTAGGGGGAGCTCCTGACATGGGGTGGGTGGGGGCAGGGATGCTGCTCTGTGCCCTGCAGTGCCCAGACAGCCCCACCCCAGAGAACGCCCCAACCCCACTGTCCACACTCCGTGGGGGAAATTCTGGTCTAGAGAGCTTCTCAGCAAGATGAGAACATTAAGAATGATCCCAAAGCACTGTGTCTAGAAAGCAAGAGTTCCAACCTCTGGCCAGGCGCAGTGGCTCACGCCTGTGATCCCAGCACTTTGGGAGGCCGAGGTAGGAGGATCACCTGAGGCCAGGAATTCGAGACCAGTGTGGCCAACATAGTGAGACCCCTATCACTACAGAAATAGAAAAATTAACCGGCATGATGGTGCACACGTGTAGTCCCAGCTACTCAGGAGGCTGAGGCAGGAGGATCACTTGAGCCCAGGAGTTGGAGTACAGTGATGATGTCACTGTACCCCAGCCTAGGTGACAGAGCAAGACTTTGTCTCAAAATAAATAAATATAATAAAAATAAATACATGTGTGTATATACATATATATATTTCAGCCTCGTGGAGCACATGGTCTGTGTCAAAATTACTCAATTCTTCAGCCACAGAAGATATGTAAATGAATGAGCATGGCTGCGTGCCAATGAAACTTAATTTCCAAAAACAGTCAACCCCTGATCCGTAAGTGATCCAGATGGCTTTACTTGTACTAATCTTTTTCTGCTTTAAAAACATGTCTTTGCTGTTTTACTTATTTAGCACCTTGTGTTATCACAGACAATGTTGTTCCAGTCTTTTGCCCCCTCTAGTTTAATCTAAAGGCACACATGTATTGTTTTAAATTTTCCTAATGCTTAACTATATGTTGTTTTTAAGAACCATAGTGAATTCAATTTTGCCAATTATCATCCATGCAACAGAATATACTGATTCCGGCCATAGCACGATGAATATACTTAATTATCGTCATCTGCAAATGTGAATTCCTGCCGAGAAAATGCCAGCAAAATTAAGTTAAAATTCAGAAAAGAAACCAGTTTCTAAATCAATTCCAAAATCATGAGATGTTCTATATATACCAGACTTAACCATTTAAGAAGTGCAACGGAAAAAAAGACGTCATGGAAAAATATCTCATTCGTATTAACATCCAGAAATAACTTCGTATATATACCATTTAAAAGAAACGTGCAGGCCGGGTGCGGTGGCTCACGCCTGTAATCCTAGCACTCTGGGAGGCCGAGGCAGGCGGATTGCTCGAGGTCAGGAGTTCAAAACCAGCCTGAGCAAGAGCGAGACCCCGTCTCTACTATAAATAGAAAGAAATTAATTGGCCAACTACTATATATAGAAAAAATCAGCCAGGCATGGTGTCGCATGCCTGTAGTCCCAGCTACTCGGGAGGCTGAGGCAGGAGGATTGCTTGAGCCCAGGACTTTGAGGTTGCTGTGAGGTAGGCTGACGCCATGGAACTCATTCTAGCCTGGACAACAAAGTGAGACTCTGTCTAAAATAAATAAATAAATAAATAAAAATAAAAGAAATGTGCAGATAAAAGATGCCCTATAAAAAATAGAAAAATTAGCCGGGTGTGGTGGTGCATGTCTGTAGTCCCAGCTACTCAGGAGGTTGAGGTGGGAGGATAACTTGAGCCCAGGAGTTGGAGGCTGCAGTGAGCTGTGATGATGCCACTGCACTCCAGCCTAGGTGACAGAGCGAGAGTCTGTCTCAAAAAAAAATTTTTTTTTTGCAAAAACTGCATGAGTTTCCTATAGCTGCTGTAACAAGTAACCACAGTTAGTTGCTTAAATGAAACAAACTCATTCTCTCAGAGTTCTGGGGTCAGAAGTCCAGCATGGGCCACACTGGGGTAAAATCAAGGTGTGGCGGGGCCGGTCCCTCCTGGGGGCTTCAGGGGAGAACCGTCTCCCGCCTTTGCCAGCGGCCCAGGGCCCTCCGCTCGGGCCCTTCCTCCCCCTCCAGAGCCAGCAGCGAGCGGCTTCCGGTCTCTCCGCCCCCCCTCCCGGGAGGCCCCTGTGCTGACACTGGGCCATCCAGGACAACCAGGACAAGCTCCCATCTGGAGGTCCTTATCCCTTTTGCCACATGAGGTGACACCCACAGGCCCCAGGATTAGAATGGGGACATCTTTGGCGGCTGTAGTTAAGCTGACCAGAAAATGATGATTTATAAGTCCTGTAAGCTCCAAAATTCTTAAACTGGCCCAGGAAGTAGCTGAGGTGTGCTGCAAAACCAAAGTCACAAGGCAGCGTAGGGAACAGGCACGTGTGGAAGGCGTTTCTGAGGCATCTGCACTTGGCAGGAGAAAGACCGTCCCTTCCCGGAGCCGCTGCGCCCTCTAGAGGAGGGACGCTGTGCACGGCGGCTGTGGGCCGCGGGGCCGAGGTCTCCCGTGGCCCGTTGCCTCCGCCTAGCCCTTCCCTGCAGCCTGAGCTGCAACACACCGAATCCGCGAGGCCAAGCTGCTCTCCTGTCAGCCCCTCGAACGACGTTTCACATAGAAAGGGACCCCTGAGACTGTCACCGGGACCCCACGTATTTCACGTATATGAGGAAAAAGGTTTGTGGCAAAGCCTAAGGCCGCGGAGCTGGTTAGCAGCGGGTCCCCTCCGAGTCTATTCTTTGGCGCGTGGTTAAAAGTTTTCTGCCGATTCAAAAAAAAAAAAAAAAAAGTTTTCTGCCGAGTTTTCTTTTTTGAGGCAAACAGGGCAGAGAGTTAAAGTCAAAACCAAAAGTTGACGTGGGCCCCTTCGCACGCCAGCTTTTCCCAATCTCTATTTTCCAGACGTTTCTGTCCCAGAGGTCCTGACCTCCAACCCTGTGAAATTTAAACGCAGCGACACACTGTGTCTTTATGTATTTGGGGCCCTTGTGATATCTAAGACATTCTCGGGGCCCAAGAACCGAAACTCGGCCCCTGGGCACAGGCACCCCATTGACAATGGCAGGAAAACACAACTGACCACCAGCAGCCGTGGGCACCAAATGACACAATTTATTCTGAGGTTCACATCTGGCTTGGGAGGGCAGCCAGAACTGGGACCCTCCCTGCCACCCCTGCCCCATGTGGGAAGCTGCCCGGCCAGGTCACTGGGGACACACTGCATCCTCGGGGACATGGTGGTGCCGAGGTTTGGGCATCGTCTTGCAGGGACAAGGAGGTACATTCAAACAGTTCCCGGTTTCCAGAAGTCCTGTGTGGGTGGGCTGGGCTGGGCTGTGAGGTCTGTTTCCTGGGTGCTCTAAGAGCTGGACCCCAGACTCAGGTGGTTTCTGCAAGGACCAGGGCATGTACCTGGAGCTCTGGACTTAGGCAGTGATGGTGGCTAATTGCACTTGTTCCATTTCCCAGCAGACACCGGGAGAGACAGGTGGATGGTGCAATCATCCCGAACACCCGGAGGTAACCCGAGGTCTGAGTGTTCTGGGACGGTGCGGCGGCCAGGTGGGAAGGGCAGCGGCTGACAAAGGCCACTGATTGCTCTGGTGGGGGCGGGGATAGAAGGGGCTTGCAGGGGCAGAACGTGGCCTCCTTTGGCCACGGGTGCTGATCAGCCAAGCCCTCAGGGTGAGCAGACAGTGCTGATGGATTTTGCTCCCGAAGCCCCTGGGGCCACGTATCCAAGGGTTGCCTAGCAGCGAGCAGACATCCCAAGTAAGGCTCCTTCCTGCAGACGCCAGGACACCACCGCAGGGAGAAAAGTCCCCCGGGGGCAGATTCACTCCTGGATCAGTTGCAGGGAATAGGGTGCTGTTCCGGTGCAGGGTGCTGATGAACTTCTGGTGAAAACAGCTCTTTTAAAAAGATATCTTGTAGGGCGTGGTGGGTGGCTCATGCCTGTGACCCCAGCACTCTGGGAGGCCGAGGTGAGAGGATCCCTTGAGCCCAGGAGATTGAGACCAGCCTGGGAAACAGAGTGAGACCCTGTCTCAAAATAAAACTCAAGGCGGTCATCAATGAAACCATATAAAAGTTAGGATCCTTTATGACACACAGAGGGGCGCGCTTAGGAACTGACTCAAATGTAGGACGCAGGACCTGGAGTCCCGGCGTCCAGGGAACCCCAGAGAGCGAGTGGCACACTCGGGGGGGACTGTGGCGACGGGAGTGGTGAGGAAAAGCAGGGCGAGCAGCCACGTCGTACCTTTGTGTGGGCTCAGCAGCGGCTCTAGTGGGCGCTGAGAGGAGCCGGGGCTCCGAGGCCGGGCAGAGGCGGATTCCGCCCTCCGCTGGCCGGGGAGTGCCATCCTCTCCCCTCCAGGCAGGGCCAAGGCCATGCCTACCCGGCACCCAGCGGGGGCCAGGCAGGTTGGGGTGGGGGCCAGAGTGGGGACGGAATTTCTCGGGAGGCTGGAGGCCACCTAGGGCTGGGGCAGCTCAGGACGCCCTCCAGTTCACTGAGAAATGCAAGTGGTTTAAAAACACAGGGTTTTCCGGTTGCTGACAACACACAGAATTAGAGTTCAGGTTCAATCCTACTTCACAGGCGGGAGATAGGCTCAGAGAGGCGGGCGCTGGGCCTGCCGGCCCTCTGTGGCCAGGCTCGAGAGTGGGGGGAAGGAACCCGCCGTCCAGGGCTGGGGTCTCCTGGTGACACCCCGACAGCGGCAGGAGCACAGGTTCGAGGGATGAAAAGCTCCCGAGGTGCTCGGGTCGGAGAGAGACGCTGCTGTCCCCAGGCGTCCTCCTCCAAGTCTCTGCAGCCTGGGGGGGAGGGTTCAGGTGCTGAGGCGCCCTCGGGGGTCTTAGTGGCACATCCGAGCGGTCATTTCTTTCTGTCAAGAGCAAGCAGGATGAGAGATAGGGCAGCCAATCACAAAAGGGGCAGTGTGTATAGTAGAAATTCATGGGAATCCAGGTAGGGGGGCACCTGTGGGCTTCCCTGAACCCCAAATGGACAACAGATGCCCTAGACCAGGTGGCCACAAACTATTTCAGAGCCAGAGAGTCAGCATTGTTGGATTTGCGGGCTGTGTGGTCCCCATCGCTATGATTCAACCCTATTGTGTAGCTCACGAGCTGCCAAAGACAACTGGTGACCTGATGCGGTGGCCCATGTGCCGATAAAACTTAATTTACAAAAACAGTAGCCAGCCCCAAAGGGCAGCAGTTTTCGGAGCCTTGTATGGTTTTTGGGACACTGAAAGGAAAGTTCTGGAAGGCAGCCTGGAGATAAAAACGAAGCTCTTAGACTCATCGAGCATGTGTGCTATCAATTTTAAATACAGCACAACTTTCATTGGCAGACAAAGTGGGCAAGGGAATATATGAAAATGAAGAAGTTGTGTGAAAATGTTTTGAACCACTTTTAGAAGTTGTGAAGAACAGACTTCCAGAGATCTGAGTAAACAAGGGCGTCTCCAGCCAAAGCTGGACCCCTGGATCCCGAGAGGAAATGCAGCCAGCACACTCACGGAGCCAAGACCTTGACCTTCCCTGAGGAACAAACCCATGAGCCCTCCTCCCGCCACCTGTTTCCAGCCGGAGACGCCCCTCAGCCCTGTGACTGTGACTGCCCTAAAGTCGCTGCTAAAAGAGGCTCTGGACCCCTGAGTCTACCAAGCTCCTGGGCAGGTTGACCCCCTTCTGGGAAGGCTGTGGGTCCACACTGGGGGATCCACATCCCTACGATGCCCCGGGGGCAGGTCCCAGGTGCCAGATCCTACAACGCCCTTTCAAATCTTCCTGCCCAGAATTGGGGGTGGCCACTGCAGTGCGGGTCCCTGTCACTTCATCATAAACAAGGGCCCCGATCTCCAGAAAGGGCACCCGGCTTCAAGAGCTCTGGTTTAGTGCATGAACCCTGAGAGTGAGAACAGCGTCCCTGCATCCGTCTCCGGATAAAACCTGCAAATGGACAGGCCAGGCAGGCGCCAGAGGCAGGAACCCCCTCGAGCTGGCCTGTGTGTCCCTGTTGTAAGTGACACTTAGAGGATGTTTTCTGGACAACTCTGAGTTCAGGACTGTGAGGTGGAAAGAACCAGAGCTGCGGGTCTCGTGGAGGCTGGTGAGGAGCCTGTGCTCGTCTGGATCTTTTCCGGGGCACCCAGGATCCCTCCTGCCATCCCGCCTCCTGCCCCATCAGGGAAGTCCCCAGGGCTGCGACCCGGGGAAGGAGGGGCCGAGAGCTCACCAGCGGCTCCAGCTCCTTGGTGTCGATGAGGCCGAACTCCCTGACGAAGTAGTAGAAGTGCTTGTAGCAGGTGTTCACGTGCGCCTCGGAGCCCATCTGCGCGATGCGGTCGAAGTGGTGGATGTAGACGTGCACGAACACGCGGAACAGCCGAGACAGGATCTTCCGCACGGCCTGCAAGAAGTTCCTGGGGAACGGTGTGCCTGCGGACGGGCGAGAGGGGAGAGGGAGAGGTCAGGATTGATCCTCAGCCGCCTGGAGCGCTGGGATCACAGGCTGAGCCGCCGGCCGGCCCCACCAGGCGCTTGGGCGCATCTACCTCCACTCTGCACGTGTTCCCAGGGAGGGGAGAACTCATTTGTAGACATTTCTCTACATGGTGTCACAAACGAGTGTGCAGATACATGTTGGAGGAAGGCCCTGGCAGCAGTGTCTGCAGGTCCCTGGGAAGGGCCAGTCCCAACAGTGGGATCAATTATCGGGTACGACATGGCTCTCGCCCCAGGGAAGGATCTGAATGGATTGGGAGAAGGTGGCAGAGGGAACAACAGGCATTCTCAGGGCTCCCGCCAGCCGGGCCAGGCACTGACCCGGGGCCTTCCCCAGTGAACTTCACCATGAACGTTCCTGTTTCCACTCAGCTCTTCTCTCTGTTTGGGAGAAATTAATCCCCGAAGCTGTGCCCTTCCCTATGGAGAACTGCACGGCCTCAAGCACATCGGTGCCTGTGTTTTGTCACCTTTAGGCTTCTGTGTGTGTCCGTGACACAGGCACAGGCCCTGGGAGAACAACTGGGGAAGGTGCATTCCCCATCCACGAGGACCCGGGGTTTCCTTCTTTGTCGCTGTGACAGGAGGAAAGGACCAAACACGAGGCATTGCTCTACTCTTGAGATGCACCCTAACAATCGTCCACAAACCGACATTTATGGGGTGTCCCTGAAAACCTCTGAAAGCCACAAGGTGCGTCGCAAACACTGAGCAGGGTAGGGAGTCCTGCTCAGGGGTGGTAATCCTGATGGACCACTGGGTCCATGACAGTGGTGACAAAGCTGACAGCACCCAGCACCAGATCTGCAAGGGACTCTGGGCTTGATGCGGACACCCCCCTTCTCCCTTAGGATGGGGGTGAGGGGGATGGGAGTCCCTAGGAGTGAGCCAGGGTGAAGAACGAACTCATTTTGTTTTTCCTGACTAGGTCTCGCTCTGTGGCCCAGGCTGCAGTGCAGTGGTGTCATCACAGCTCACTGCAGCCTCCAACTCCTGGTTTCATGCGATCCTCCGGCCTCAGCCTTCCAGAGTGCTGGGATCACAGGCATGTGCTGGCCAAGGAAGAGCTATGGAAATCACCCAGCTTAGGCGAAGGATTCTTTGAGGGCTTCGCTGCCCACACCTGTGATGATGCCCTCACACAGGGGTGCAGACTGCAGCTGGAGGGCCAACCCCGGCCTGTTGTATAAAGTTTTATTGGCACAGGCGTGCCCTTGTTCACACACTGTCCACACCCATGGTTGCTGCTGAGGTTATCCTCTACTCTTCTTGGTACCACGACAAGAACTGGCTTTCCATGAGTGGGGAGCTGACTAGAGGTGCTCAGGTCCTTCCTGCTCTGAAGTTCTAGGATTTGGACTCCTCAAGAGCTGGGTGGGACATCACGGGGTCCCAGCAAGTCTAAGGTCAGAACCCCAGGGATTGTGGACACACAGACCCTACCCAGACCGGATCTTGGGGGTGGGGGACCCAGGAATCCCTATTTTGGGAAAAGCCAATTCTGGGACACCCGGTTTCCAGATGGGCGTCCGAGAGCCCCGTCAGCGTCTGGCCCCAGCCACCAGGCAGACACGGGTGAGGCCACAGCGGCGAGAACCCAGCCTGGGGTGCACAGCTGTCAGAGTCCACAGGCCGGGACCCCAGGGCCCCGAGTGCGTCTGGGATGCTTCCACCCTGTAGGCTCCTGGGGCCGCCATGCGGACTCCGACAGTAATAATGAGAGACCCCCGAACACACCCTGTGTCTGCCGTCACAACCATCACAAACGCAGGGGCTTAAACAGCACATATGTGTGCTCCCTGTTCTAGGGGCCGGGAGTCCACACCCCGCCCAGGTGTGGGCAGCGCCAGGCCTCCCGGAGGCTCCGGGCAGAGCCTCGAGTGACTCACCGACGTTGGTGGGGAACAGGTCCTCGTTGTTGATCTGCACCTCGATCCAGTCCATGAGCAGGTCCATGTACCGTGGCGCGGACAGCGCCGTGGGCTTGCGGAACCTGTGCTCGTCCTGCCAGCGGTACTCGTACTTGGGGCCCCCTGACATGACTGGGCAGGACTCCTCCGTGCAGCCGTCGCTGATGGTGCCGTAGATGAGGTTGACGCGGTTGAAGAAGTCCACCACGTGCACGGCCACCCAGTCGTTGAGGTCCTCGCCCGGGGGCAGCTGCACTGCCAGCCTCAGGTCCAGACCCGCATTCAGCGACGCCTGCGCCTTCTTGTGCAGCTCGAAGCGCTGGGTGCCTGGCTCGAACTTGCGCTTCGGGCGGAATGTCTTGTCCTTGTTGAAGACTTGCTTGAGAAAGGGGTTGGACATCCTGGCGGCTGCCTCACGAGGCTTCCTGGGAGAGGTCCTGGTGGGCTGGTTCGCAAGAGGCTCCCCCTGGAGATCTGAAACAAGAGAGGGAATAACTGTGACCTGCCCCAGCGACAGGGTTCCCTGGAAACTATGTTCTGGAGGCAACAATGGGCTGGATTTGGAACAATCCCCAGGACTTTAGGTTTCAAAGCATTTCACCAGAAGGTGTCAGTTTCTCAGAGGATAAAACCTCCATGTGGATGCCCCGGAGAGGAAGGTGCCAACAGCCGGTGCCCAAGTGACCCAGAGTAGCCGTGTCTTTCCCCTGAGCCTGGCCCAGATGCTCTGAGCATGCTGGGATACCACAGTGGTCACAGGTGAGCACAGCAGCTGAACCGTGCCCTCCACAAAGGGACGTCCCTGTCCTGATGCCTAGAACCTGCACATGTGGCCTGAGGTTGAAAAGGAGTCTTGAGATGAGGCCACCCTCGCTTATGTGCGTGGGCCTAAGGCCAGTGACGAGTGTCCTCACGGGGACAGAAGAGGACAGACACGCACAGGGGATATGGAGGCAGGGATCTGGGTGAAGTGTCTGGAAGCCATGGACACCCAGGATGGCAGCAACCCCTAAAGCTGGGAGATGCCTGGGCAGACCCTCTCCCTCAGGGCCTCAGGGGAGCCAGCCCTGCCCACGGCTTCCAGCCTCCAGATCTGGGCGAGAGTGAAGTGCTGTTGCCTCTGTGTCCTGCCCATGTGACCATGGGCAAACCCCAGGCACTGGGTCAGGGCCCCTAAGCCACTGTGACCTCGTCTTCACCTAGTTACATCTGCAAAGACCCTACTTCCAAACAAGGTCACTCAGTGGGTTCCAGGTGGACGTGAATCTCAGGGGAATACTATTCACCTTGGTGCACCATCTAAATGAAGAAACCAGTATGCATGGTGGTGACACCTGTAGTCTCAGCTACTCGGGAGGCTGAGGTGGGAGGGTCGTTTGAGGGGAGTTGGAGGCTGCAGTGAGCTATGATGATGCCACTGCACTCCAGTTTGGGTGACAGATCGAGACTCTGTCTCTAAAAAAAAAAAAACAAAGGAAAAAACCCCAAACGAACAACTAACAAAAATAAACCTCCCCAAGCGACTCTAAGTCTTGTCCTCGCCTGCGCGGTAGCTTGGGAGCTGCCCGCTGCTGCCCTGGACGGGCCCTCGCTCTCCCGCCCGCTCCCCTGAGACTCCTGTGGGCTGAGCGGGGACGGTGACTGATTCCAGCGTACACTGAGAGGTGAGGGGACAACAGAATCCCACATTGCACGGGTGACTGGCTCACACTTACAACTGGTCCCTGTGTCACCACCCCCTCATAACTGTCACTGCTAGGATGCCGGCCCAGTGGCCCTGTGCCTCGTCCTCGGTTCGCAGGGGAGCAGGCCATGCCCTCCCACGACATGCACCTGGCCGTGACAGGGCGAGGCCCGTGTGGGGCCTGGAAGAGGAAGTGCAGAAAGGGGAAGTGTCACAGAGCAGGGTGGGGGAGGCGGGAGCCACAGTGGCCGCGCCCGCCCCAACTGGCAGTGCTGAGGTGCTGGGCTCCATGTCACCCACCCCAAGCGTAACAATAACCGTTCACAATGTAATAATAAACCACACCACTTTTTATTGTTTGCTTTTTGCTTAAACTGCTGCAGTCAGTTTCTCTACTTGCGGCCATAAGTCTTGTCCTGTGCCCTTGTCTCCAGACCTAGAGCTGGGTCGGAGGAGTCCCCTGTGGCTGCTGTGACAAACTCACAAACTAGGGGCTTAAAGCAACACAAATTTATCATTTCAAAGGAGGCAGAGAGCCTGGAAGATGCTGTGCTGCTGGCTCTGGACGGGGAGGAAGGGCCCCAAGCTGAGGGATTCTGGAGGCTTCTATGCTAGAAAACTCAGGAGACAGATTCTCCCGGGGAGCCCCCAGGAGGGACCAGCCCTGCCACGCCTTGATGTCAGCCCATGAGGCCGTGTCAGATTTCTGACCCCAGAGCTGTGAGATGACACATGTTGTCTTAAGCCCGGTACACCGCGGCATCGCCAGGAGACGCACGCCAGAGCAAACGTAAGAGGCTAAGTCTGATATTCACGAGATCAGCAGTCAGAACAAAGCGCAGGTAGGTCCCTTGCCACTGTCTCTGGCTTCACCTGGGGGGTTAGCCCTCCTGCCCTCCGCCAGGCCCCGGCCGTGGGCATGGAGGGCAGACCCCGGGCAGCACAAACGCGGACAGGGCGGCCGGGCAGCGGAGCCGGGAGAGCAGCCGTGCACAACAGGGCAGAGGAACGGGAGACGCCACGTGAGAGGAGGGGACCTCTTCACCCGCACTAGGACAGTGATGACCCAGAAGGGTGGTGATCACAGCGTGCGTGAGGATGTGCAGACACGGGTCCCTCCCACGCGGCTGGCGGGAACGTCATGTGGTACAGATGCTGCGGCAAGTTCCTCAGGGCTTGATCAGAGACGCCTCCTGCCCCAGCAGTCCCCCCAGACCTGCAGATCCACGTCCACAGCAGCCGGACAGGAAAACAGCCCAAGTGTCCCTGACAGATGGATGGACAAGGACAATGTGGTCCCTTCACACACAGAATATCACGCAGCCATGAAGAGGGATGAGGCTCTGACGCAGGCCACAGCGTGGAGGGACCTTAAGGACATTGTGCTCAGTGGAGACGCCAGACACAGAAGGACACATACTGTGTGATTCCATTTATAGGAAACGTCCCAAAAAGGCAGATCCACAGAGATGGGATGTGAATTTGTGGGTGCCAGGGGCTACAAAGTGACTGCTGATGGGGATAGGTATCTTTTGGGGCAATGAAAGTTCTAAAATAGAATGCAGTGGTGGTTGCACAACTCTTTGAATGTTCTAGAAACACTGAATGGTACACTTTAAGTAGGTGCGTTACACAGCACGTGATTTATATCCTAGCAAAGCGAGTGTATAAAAACGTGGTGCTCACACACCAGAAAGCACTAAAGCTGCTATCTCAGGCTCAAACTTAGTCAAGGACCATCTTATCTGCTGTGAAATGTGAGCACACCACAGAAAAGTCTACGTCGTAGCGGCGCAGGTTGGTGGTTTATCACAGAGGGAGCCGCGGGGAAGGACCCCAGGAAAGCGGCTCGGGCAACCCCTGCTCAGGAAGGACATGGGTCCTCCCCACTGTGCGCTGACCAGAAAGGCCTGCGCTTCCCCAGAGCCACCGAGGGCCCAGGGCACCGTCCCTACTTCCTGCCACCTGGGTGAACACCCGATAAGTGCTTCTCGCTGTCCTGCAAGAAAAAGGCTGTCTCCACGTCACAGCAGAAAGACTGGGGCCCAGACAGGTCTCACTTCACCAAAGAGACAGAGCGGGGTGTGCAGCCCCCGGGCCCCTGGCGGGGCAGAGCTGGACCTGGGCCAGGCCCCGGGCCTCGCCTACTTCCCACTTCACTTCTGGGCCCCTTCACGATCCTGTCACTGACTTTCTAACACAACGGAAGTCACAACACAAAGAAAAACACCACCTGCCACCGCCCAGCTGCTGATCTGGGGATCCTTCCAGTGCCAGGGCTGGGGGCTGGCCCCAACGATGCCATCTGCTCAGGGCAGTAGGGAAGGTTTGCCAGGGGCCTCCGAGGCCTCTGCTGACAGGGCCACCCTGGGCAGACTGCAGCCTTAGGAGGAGACCCCTGCCTGGGCTGAGCCTCGCAGGAGTGTGGGTGTCCCCATGGCCTTAGCTTGTGTCTTTCTATGTCCTTATGCCCATCTACCACACGCCCACGAGGACTGTTCCAGAAAATGGGGCCAGGGTGGCCGAAGGGGCTTACAAAGGTCCTGCTTGTGTTTCTGTCTCCTCTTGCAAAGTGGGAAGATTGTTAATTTTAAGTTGAAGTAATTATTTTCCAAAAAACTTCCTGGACAGGCAGAGTTCCTGCCACAAGCAGACAGTTTTTTATCAGAAACACGGGGGGCAGCCCCCAGCTGACACCCTCCCATGGCTGTCCCCTATGCCCTACTCACCGTGCCCGGGGCTCCGTTCTCTCTGCTCCCGTCAGAGCCGTCCAGCGTCTGTGTGGGGACGATGCCGCCACGAGCTTCTCAGAATCCAATGCCACGCCTTGCGGTTCCCCTGGTCTTCCCACGGAGGAGATGCCAATGGCCCTTAGAAACTTCTAGAGGGACAGAAGGTAAGATAAATTCCCCCTGCCCCGACTCACACTTTTTTTTCTGAAAACACAACACGACACAGCATAGTTCCTCTAAACGATCAACTGGGCTGACCCCTCCCTGGGCGAGGTACAGCAGCAGCTCGGGGCCCACAGTCACCCACTTCCTTCCGGAGGCTTCCACATCCTGCCACCGCCTCAGGGTCCGCTACCCCAGAGCGCAAGACAGACAAGCCGTGAGCTCAGAAGTCGGCCTGTTTGTTCTAGATCAGTGTGCAACACTGTCTCCCCTCCTGGCAGCCCCAATATTTATTTGGTTGGAAGATGCTCAAAGTCCAAAATCTGTCCTGTGACAAAAGGCATAGGCCAGGCGCAGTGGCTCACACCTGTAATCCCAGCACTTTGAAAGGCCGAGGTGGGAGGATCACTTGAGCTCAGGAGTTCGAGACCATCCTGAACAAGAGCGAGACCACATCTCTACTAAAAATACAAAAATTAGCCCGGTGTGGTGGTGGCATCTGTAGTCCCAGCTATTCGGGAGGCTGAGGCAGGAATGCTTGAGCCCAGGAGTTGGAGGCTGCAGTGAGCTATGATGACACCACTGCACTCCACCCTGGGTGACAGAGTGAGATCCTATCTCAAAAAGAAAGAAAAATGACCATGCCCAGAGCTGTCTTCCATAACCTAAATGCTTATTTTCAAACATCACAACTGATCCTGGTGTTGGAAGGCCACCCTCAGCCCTGCAGGACCTGCAGGAGGACAGCTAAGGCCTCCCCAAACCCCACGTGAGTGTCCTGTTGTTTTGTGTGCCCGTCTTTCTTTACTGGGTGAAGTTCTCCGATGTCTCGGTACGAGGGCAGACAGGTGGGAAGTGAGGCACCAGGCCAGGGGCTGCTGAGGGGTCAGCATGGTTTTCTAGCCCCCCTGCTAATCTTTTCTTTTCTTTTTTTTTAATTGAGATACAATTCACATACTGCAAATTTCAACCTTTTAAAGTATATAATTAAGTGGGTCTTACTATATTTAGAGTTATGCATCTACTACCTTTATCTAAACCCACAATGTTGTCATCACCCCAAAAAAGAAACCCCGACCCCACCAGCAGTCATTTCCCAAGTCCCCTGTGAGTTGAACTGTGTTCCCCAAAGACATAGCTTCTAGTGCTAAGCCCTGGACTTGTGAATGGGAATTTCTTTGGAAAAAGGGCCCTTGCAGGGCCGGGCGCGGTGGCTCACGCCTATAATCCTAGCACTCTGGGAGGCCAAGGTGGGGGGATTGCTCGAGGTCAGGAGTTCAAAACCAGCCTGAGCAAGAGTGAGACCCCGTCTCTACTATAAATAGAAAGAATTTAATTGGCCAACTAATATATATAGAAAAAATGAGCCAGGCATGGTGGCACATGCCTGTAGTCCCAGCTACTCGGGAAGCTGAGGCAGCAGGATTGTTTGAGCCCAGGAGTTTGAGGTTGCTGTGAGCTAGGCTGACGCCACGGCACTCACTCTAGCCTGGGCAACAAAGTGAGACTCTGTCTCCAAGAAAAGAAAAAAAGAAAAGGGCCCTTGCAGACGTCATTAGTGAAGACGGGGTGCTAACTAGACCTGGAGCAAGGGGGCCTGGTCCAGTGGCTGGTGTCCTTATAAGGTGACAGAAATGTGGACACAGACACACAGAGAGGACGGCCCAGAGAAGATGCGGACAGAGACTGGAGTGACATGGCCACAAGCCAAGGGACGCCTGGAGCCCCCAGAAGCTGGGAGAGGCAGGAAGGGCCCTCCCTGGTGCCTTTGAGAGCTCAGCGTGAAGAGGAGGATGTGCACTTGGACCCAAGCTCCCCACCACTGACGACCTGATCCACCCGGACAGAGAAAGAGGAGTTGGGTGTGGACAGGCTGGGGTGTTCGTTCCGCACCTCACAGGACTGTCTCCCCTGGCCTCAGTCTGCCTCAGGGGCAGGTGCAGACACATCCTCTGACAAGATCTAGTCAGCTGGGGGACGGTTACAGAGAAATGTGAGATGCCATCAAAGCCTTAGGTGCCCCTAAAGGGTTTCCAGAGACACCAGGGAGACTGAACTCAGCACAAGGCCCGAGTGTCAAAGACAGGAAGACACAAGGAGGGGCACCCCCACACCTGTCCTTATGCTGCACCGCAGTCCTCGCTGAGGACCCAGGGGTCTGGGCTTGACCTCACGCTGCCCTCTCAGCCCCAGACCCTTCCTGTCTGAAAGCGGAAGGGGTGTGGGGGGAGGAACCACCGCTGTGAGTCCATCCAGGGGAAGCCAGGTGGCCCACTCGGGGTCTCACTTCACTTGGGTTGCTGCAAAGAGCTCTCAGCGACACTGTGGGTTTCACGGGGATGATTCGGTGACACTGGGTCATGTCTGAGGACATCTGTGGTTATCACAACTGGGGGTGCTCCTGGCATGGAGTGGGTGGAGGCAGGGACGCTGCTCAGCACCTGCAGTGTCCAGAATGACCCCACCCCAGAGAGGGACCCAGGTCCAACCCAGACCCACTGTCCTCAGGGCTGAGGACAACTTGCAAAAGCTTGTCCTGCAAGTAGCAGAGCAGGCCCAGGCCCAAGCGCTTTGGTCTCTTTGCCTCCTTTCCCTCTTTAATGAGTAATATTTTAAATTGCCACCCTTGTTACTAGCTAGTCGGCAGTGACCGCGGCTGTCAGAGGTGCTGACACATTCTTGTCTCTTCCCGTATCTGCTCCTGCAGCTCACTGCGAAGCCACCAAGCTACTCATCAGAAACGACGCCAGGCAGGGCGCACCCTCCGGTCTGGAGAGCTGCCTGAGGGTGGACAGGGACTCTTGTTCCTGCTAAATAAGGTGACAACTCCTGACTCTCAGCCTGGAGTGGCTGCTTGCAGAGCTTTCGCTGTTATTAATAAACAGACCTAACGTGTGCAGGGCCCTGGCGGGAAAGCTCAGGAACTCATCATTTCTGGGAAGGCGGGAGGGACTGGCTCATCCTGCACACCAGGAAGTGGTCCGCTGCCTCATCTAAGGGCAGGAATGACCCGGCCCAGTGTCCACAGTGCTGGGGGACCCTGGCCCAGAGCCCCGCCCAGGAATTAACAGCTCCCTACTCCTCAATGAAATGTGACATGAAAACACAGCAACAATAAAAACACGTGGGTGATTTTAACATACGTTTTAAACTAAAAAACAAAATATAAGCTCTGCATCAAGAAGAGCACAAGCCGGGCGCGGTGGCTCACGCCTGTAATCCTAGCTCTTGGGAGGCTGAGGCGGGCGGATTGCTCAAGGTCAGGAGTTCAAAACCAGCCTGAGCAAGAGCGAGACCCCGTCTCTACTATAAATACAAAGAAATTAATTGGCCAACTGATATATATATAAAAAAATTAGCCGGGCATGGTGGCGCATGCCTGTAGTCCCAGCTACTTGGGAGGCTGAGGCAGAAGGATCGCTCGAGCCCAGGAGTTTGAGGTTGCTGTGAGCTAGGCTGACGCCACGGCACTCACTCTAGCCTGGGCAACAAAGTGAGACTCTGTCTCAAAAAAAAAAAAAAGAAAGAAAGAAAGAAGAAGAGCACAGAGTAAAAAGCCACAACTGGCGGGTGACAAAAGGGAGAGAAATCCAAGTGAGACTGACCCTAAGTGGCAAGAAGGCTGAAAACCCCAGACCAGGGCGTATGGCTTCTTACAAAGTCATCCCACCCATCTGGCGGGAGGGAGAAGTCTTCCTGAGCCAAGACCTCGCAACCAGGTGGCGCTCTCTCTATCCTCGAGTAACCGAGGCCTGGGCACCCTCGCAGCCTCAACAAGACAGAGGAGATCATGTCCAAGGAGGGACATCCAGTATACACTACGTGGAAAAGTAAGTAGCCAAACAATGTGCACATCAGGCTTCTGTTGTTTAATAATGATGAACAAAATTGTTTCCCGTGGAAGGTGAAATGCCCTTTGTAAACCTTTATGAGAAGTGTACGCCAAGTTTTCTAGTCTGGGTATATAAGAAAAATATAATAGTCAATTTGATAGAATCAAAAGAGAAAGGGAAGAAGTTGGGTGTGGCCCCCAGAAGGCATTGTGTGAAAGTCCCCAAGAAAACAGAAGTGTCACCTTTCCTGGTGGGCAGCGGGGCACACAACGCACCACTGTCACCCGGTTCTGAAGCTGGAGTCACCTTTTCTGGTTAAGCCATTTGAGCTTCTAAATTCCAGGAAACAGGAATAGAGCCTCTCCGCTGGGGAATGTCTAAAACTTCCCAAAGTAAAAACCCCACTTCCCAGTCAGGGGCCTGGGAAATTCTCCTGAATCTCCAATCTAAATTCTCCTGAATCTTCAATCTAAATTCTCCTGAATCTCCAACTGTGCCCTCAAGGTGGGACACAGCTCACTGGAACATGATTAATGGCTGAGTTTGCAAAGAACTCGGTGGCCTAGGACGTTTTTACATATAGGTGAACAACAGGCCTTGTTCACCTTGTTTATGGAACATGAAAGATTTACAAAGCTCGGGAACTAAAATGGCCCTTTCGCGGACCTCCTGACAGACTAAAATAACCCCTGATGCTTTTGTGGGGTGAGAAAGAGAGGGGAACTCAGGAGCCAATTTGCCAAAAACAGCCTTAAAAAAACATTCAGTTTGTCACAGTTACTTTGGAGTCACCTGCTATGTGGACACTGTGGCAGGCTTTTCGAGACATGTGAAGGTATTAAAACACAGTCCCTTCTGACAGGGAGGTTTACACAGGCTGTGCGTGTGCGGACAGGGTGGGGGTCATGAGAGCTCTCTGCTCCTTATGTTAATTTTGCTAAGAATCTAAAACTGCTCTTAAAAACACACTATTTAGGCTGAGCACGGTGGCTCACGCCTGTGATCCCAGCACTCTGGGAGGCCAAGGTGGGTGGATCGCTCAAGGTCAGGAGTTCGAAACCAGCCTGAGCAAGAATGAGACCCCCGTCTCTATTAAAAATAGAAAAAAATTAGCTGGACAACTAAAAACACATAGAAAAAATGAACCAAGAATGGTGGCGCATGCCTATAGTCCCAGCTACTCGGGAGGCTGAGGCAGGAGGATCACTTGAGCCCAGGAGTTTGAGGTTGCTGTGAGCTAGGCTGATGCTATAGCACTCTAGTCCAAGCAACAGAGCAAGATTCTGTCTCAAAAAAAAAACAAAAAAAACCAAAAAAAACTCTATTTAAAAACTGTAGCTGACACTAATTCATCCATCACCAAACACCAAGCATTTGGCCAAACCCTTTGAGAAATTTATCCCATTTAAGAAATAACTAAACACGAAGACAGAACTCAATGCATCCCACATGTGTTTACTGAAAGCATAAATGCCCTGGCAACGCTGGCGTGCGCTGGGAGCTGCATAGGTACTGTGTGTAATTCTAAATTCTCTGGTAGCCACATCACAAAGCAAAAAAAAAGAAAGAAAGAAAGAAAAAGAAAGGCAGGAAAAGAACCAGGTGAAATGACATGAAGGAGAGGCTCTGCAGTCCCGGGTCCGGTGTGTGTTTGCACTTAGAGCAAAACCCAGCTACTGTGGGGGCCGGCTCAGCTCTAGAGAGTTAAAGAGAAACACCAACCTGCAGAAGGAGGGGACGCTGGGAAGGCTGCGATGGGACAGGTGTCCTTTCGCGGTGGGCGCCTGAGTCGGACAGACACCTGGCAACACACGGGGAGCACCGGAAGGTTTCAGAGTGGCAACTGTGACAGGCTGGGGCTCCTGCCGCTTTCCACTCCCTCTGTAGGTGTGGGCCTGGGCAGTAAGGTTTGAGGGTCCTCCCCAGTGTTGCCTCGCTAAATCTCCTCCACTTCTGAAGCAAACTACCAGAGGGCCAGATAACAAACAAACAAACATCTGCCTCTCTACGCTAGAGCCAGAGCTGACCTGAAGAAGTAAATCCAGGAGAACAGAAAAGGAAAGAGACTTTTATCTCACAGGTCAAAACCCAGATCACCCCCCACACTAGGAGATCACTACTCGGTCCTTGAGACATCACTGGCGGCTCCAGGGCTCCAGCCTCACGGAGGCCGCAGCAGCCACTTAGCTGAGCCACTCAGCTGAGCTCCTCTGTAAAATGGGGCTGCTCAAGCCAGGTGTCAGACCTTAATCCCAGCACTTAGGGAGGCCAATGCAAGAGGATCACTTGAGGCCAGGATTTTGAGACCAGCCTGACAGCATAGCAAGACCCCATCTCTACAAAAAATAAAAAAATTATCAGGGTGTGGTGGTGTGCACCTGTAGTCCCAGCTGCTCAGGAGGCTGAGGTGGGAGGATAGCTTGAGCCCAGGAGTTGGAGGCTGCAGTGAGCTATGATGACACCACTGCATTCCAGCCTGGGCAACAGAACAAAACTGTGTCTCTATAAAATAAAATAAGGCCGCTCAGAGCCCTGGTGAACTCAAGATGTGCAGGAAGGAGGAAGCAGCTGGCGATTCTGGGGTTATCTAGGTACTGCCCACGGCCTGTGCAGGAAGCAAGTCCCAGACCAGAAAGTCCAGGTAGGCAGTGGCATGCGAGATGTGCACAAAATGCACGTGTGGCATCTCAGCATCTCCCCAACTGTCCACTTGGCATATGAGGGGTTTACTGTATGTCAATTAAACATAGACGCAACTGTTAAAGAAAGAAAGACGCAAAGAGGGAAACGCAACGTGCACAGAGACCAGAGTCCTTCCCCCTGAATGGCCAGTCCCGCCCTGGGACAGTATGTCCTGGTCTCCCCTCCCTTGACCGTATGAATCACATGGTGGTTTAACGCCATCTCGAGCCCGACAGCGGCAGGAAGAGGGGCTTCTCTGGCCAGGGAGCTGGGCGGGGTCGTCCTCAGCCGCCCTCACCCTGGCCTGCCATGTGCTCGGGAGACGCTGTGGGGACCCGACTCCGCGTGGGTTTAGGGGACAGGAAAAGGATTTTATCCAAACCAGGAGGCTCGGGACCCACGAGAGGTTGATCAGCGGACCGAGTTGGCCCCAAACTGGCATTTGTACCCACAGCCCGACCCGGCCCAGGGACACGGCCACCCCGCTGGCCCCCGTGGCCCGCCTCGTCCCCCTGGGGACCCACCCAGCCTCCCCTCGCCGCCCGCCTCGTCCCCCGGGGACCCACCCAACCTTCCCCCGCCGCCCGCCTCGTCCCCCCAGGGACCCACCTGGCCTCCCTCGTCGCCCACCTCGTTCCCGCGGGGACCCACCCGACCTCCCTCGTCGCCCACCTCGTCCCCCCGGGACCCACCTGACTGCGCTCGCCGCTGCCTCAGCGCCCGCGGAGGGACACAGCGCGGAGGGACACAGCCCGCTCGCCCCGCCCGGCCACACCCGCGGGAGCTGGGCCTACTTCCCTTAAAGGGCCGGGGCCTCGCGGGGAAGCGGCATGCGGGAATCCCCGGGTCTGTCCCGCGGGCTTTTCGCCCCGAGTCTTGTCCGGGAGCCAGCCGTGGAGGTCGGATGCCCAGATGGGGCCGCCGGGCACGTTCTCGGTTGCTTAGCAACCGGGGGCCGGCCGGGGACGCCATTAGCGGGAGTCCCCGGCACGCGGCCTGAGGGCGGAGCTTGCGCGGCTGTTGAGGAGCAGGGCGGGACCTCAGGGGGAGGTGGCCAAGGAGGAGGAGTTGGCGCTGGCGTTGGAGCATGCGTGGGCGAGACTGGGATGGAGGGGCCAATCGGAAGCGGAGTCTTCTCTGAGTGGCAGCTTGTGGGCGGGGCCCAGAGGCGGAATTTGCAGTCTCAGTAGTCCGTTGAGGACGGGTGGGCGGGACCGGGTATGGGGCGGGGCTTGAGGTGGGGGCGAGGACGGAGGTGCGGCCCAGAGCCGGAGCGGCGCTGTTGGTTGGTGCGCGGCCGAGGGGCGTGGCACGGGAGGCGCCGTTGGTTGGTGCGCGGCCAAGGGGCGTGGCGCGGGAGGGAGGCACCGTTGGTTGGTGCACAGCCAAGAGGCGTGGCAGGGGGCGCCGTTGGTTGGCCGGCGGCGGGCGGGCGGGGGCGGGGGCGGGTCATGGCCCTGCTGTTGTGCCTGGGCATGACGGCGGCGCTGGCCCGCGGCTGCCTGCACTGCCACAACAACTTCTCAGACAGGTTTTCCTTCTACCGCCACCACGTGAACCTCAAGTCCTGGTGGGTGGGTGACATCCCCGTGTCGGGAGCGCTGCTCACCGAGTGGAGCCAGGATACGATGAGGGAGCTGCACCTGGCCATCCCCGCGGAGATCAGTGAGCGCTGAGCCCAGCCCGGGGCGCCTGGCACCGGCCAGACCCTGGGCCAGCCGCTCACCTGGCTCCTCCCCGCCCGCAGCCCGGGAGAAGCTGGAGCAAGTGGCGAGAATCGTGTACCAGAAGATGGATCAGCTGTACCAGGGGAAGATGTATTTCCCGGGTAAGGGGAGGGAAACTGAGGCAGGGACCGCCCACCCAGGACACCCTCACCTCCGCCCGCCGCCTGCGCCTGACCTGACCTCCGTTCTCCCGCCTCCCCCCATCAGGGTATTTCCCCAATGAGCTGCGAGCCATCTTCCGGGAGCAGGTGCACCTCATCCAGAACGCTATCATCGAAAGTGAGCGAGGGGTCCGCGGGGACGACATGCACCAAGGGTGCCTCCAGTCCCCATAGGGCTTGAGCTCCTTCAAGGCTGGGGCCCCAGAAGCAGGGCTTGCCCGGTGCTGGAGTGATGTGAACAGATCACCTGGATAGAGCAGCCCCCAGGGAGGGACCCCTGTCATCTCATGATCACCAGCACAGCCCAAAGGATACATGACACCACCTCCTTGGCACCTCCCCAAACTAGTTCCCTGGAGGTGCCAGGAGTGTTGCTGCCACCTTCCCCAGGTGTGCGCCATCGCATGCTGGGAGCCACCCTGGGGACCCCTTCCCTCTGGGTCATGGACACACACACACATGAAACCAGGCAGCTGAGGGCCAGGGGACCAGACTAGGCCTGGTAAAACCACACTGTCCTGTCCTTCCACAGGCCGCATCGACTGTCAGCGTCACTGTGGTGAGTGAGCCTCCATCCAGGCTGAGGGGCGAGGCACCGCAGCAGCAGCTCAGGGCCCCGGAGGCTGAGGGAGCCTGCAGCCGCCTCTCCTGTGTTGCAGGCATTTTCCAGTACGAGACCATCTCCTGCAACAACTGCACAGACTCGCACGTCGTCTGCTTCGGCTACAACTGCGAGTAGGGCTCAGGCACTGGCAGGGTGCCAAGGGCCCTGCTGTCCCTGGGGCCCCAGGCTCCTCTGGGACAAGGCTCTTCCACCTTCCACCTAGCTCTCATCACCTGGGGAGGGTGGGGTCTGGGGCTGGGGGACACACCACCTCCAAGCCCATGTCCCCACAGGTCCTCGGAGCAATGGGAGGCAGCGGTGCAGGGCCTTCTCAGTTACATGTGAGTTGGGGTCTCTGGGCAGCAGCAAACTTGCCACCTGGGCTTGGAGAGGGGACACCAACCCAGGCCACTTGGTCCCCTGACTCCAAACCTATTGTCGTTGTAGAAGTGACTGGCACAAGTAAGTCCCCTCCTCAAACCCAACACGCTTTACCTGAGGCGGTGTGCGTGTGAGCACCCAGCCGGTGAGTACGTGCGGGAAGCCGGCAGCCACGGCTCCCACCAGGCCGCAAGGAGGCAGGACCTGGACCCAGCTCTCTGAGGCAGTGCAGGGGCGGCCCCAGCCCCTCCTCCCTCAAAGGTCTCTGAACTTAGGTGGAGGAAGGGAGGATTATACTGGCTAAAGGATACCCATAGAGCCTGGTCCACGTGTGTGGCAGAAACGTGGCCAGAGTCCGGGAGGGCTCCCCACGGTGGATGGATGGGGTGCCCGCAGAGGGGCCTGACTGGGCCTCATCTTGTCTTTCAGACAGGACACGAGCATGAGGTAAGGCCGCCCCGGCCCGGCCTTCCACAGGGGAGGGAGAGGAAAAGGAGGGAGGGGAGAGGTGCTGTGGGTCCTTTGGTTCAGCAGGCACAGTGGGCACAGCTCTCTGTGCCTGGGACGTGCCAACGTCACCTCTGCAACCATGCCTATGTGTCATTTCATGAACAAACCATGCACTGCTGCTCCTCCTCCGGGCCTGGGACATACAGAACCACCCCAGCCTTGTGAGTGAGCCAGGGAAGGGGGACCTCCGGGGTCGGGGTACACATAAACCAGGGATTAAAGCCCACCTGTCAACGTGCCACAGGCCCCCCCAACACCCTTTCGCAGTCCCAGTCACGCGAGTGACCCACCCTGAGAGCAGGCAGGGCGTCTGCTATGCACAGGACCACCCCACATCCCAGCTGGGAGGAGACCAGGGCTGCCCAGGCAAGACCCACTGGGAAGGTGGAGGGAGGCACAAGGGGGGCTGAGACATCCCTGTCTCCCCACAGCCTGGTATCACCGAGCTTCACGTGTCTGGAGCCCCAACACCTGGCCAACCTGACCTTGGAAAATGCCTCTGAGTGCCTGACTCAGCACTGACGGCCGGCAGGCCCGCCCCAGAGCAACGGGAGGCCAGGACTCCCCTGGACTGTCCCAGCCTGTCGCCTGGAGCAGGCTGAGCTGACTGACTGCTGCCCCTGGTCCCCCTCTGACTTCCGACAGAGCCCAGCAGCCCGAGCCGGGAGGCGGGGGTGGGTTTGTACGTAGCATCAGCACCTGGCAGGACCACAGAGCTATTTGATGCGATGATTAAAATACCTGATGTTTCTCATGGAAGCCCAGTTCTTACTTGGGGGGGCTGAAGGAGCTGGCAGTGTGCTTCTGGGGTGGCCTGAAGGTCCCCAAATAACCTGACAGGCCAGCTGGTGCAGAGCCATGCTCCTGGGCCTCCGGTCCTGGGATGGAGAGATTCTACTGTGACCTACCTGGGCATACCTGGCTAGACTCGCACAGGTGTACACAATGGGAGTCCTTCATGAAAGATGAGGCTGCAGTTTGGTGACAACCAGAGCCAGATGCACCCAAGGCAAAGGGATGCAAGGCCCATGGGCTCCGCCACCTCCATCCTCCAAGGCTAGGACTACAGCTACCCACCAGCTGAGTGGTCCTTGACACAGGTGGGATGGGGAAGCGGGAACCTTGCATGTCCCTGCAACCACACAGTGGAATGGTTCTGAGAGCCTGAGCACCCTTGCGTGAGGCCTGTTTTCACTCATGTGACCTCAGCCTGCAGCCACTGTATGCACAGGAGCGTCTGTGTGCAGGTTGGGAGTGGCACTTGGGAAGGATCCAGAGCACCCTTACAGACCACCGATCGTCAGAGCCAAACATGGTGTGTTGGGGGGACTAAGGGGACATTGGGGGTCTGTCAGGAGCCTACCCCATATTTGGCTTGTTGCCAACCTTGTCCTGGCTATTACTGACACCAAGTGCTTCCTCTTGGGCCCCTCAGAGGGACACCAGCAGCTGGGGCCAGGGGAGAGGCTCACAGCCACTGTTTCCAGGGCATAACATTGCAGAGGGGACACAGGGGGTCCCCGAGCCAGGGCTGGGTCCAGGGTCTCATCTGGTTGGCACACCCCACCCTCCCACTTTGGGGTTTATACTCGAGCGGACTGTCCTGTCTACATGGTGTAAGGTGGAAGCCAGACAAATTGACACAGGCAGGGCTGGTTGCTCTCCCGCCTCTGTCCCCACCACTCTGAGCAATGCTTGGCTGTGGCCCTGTGGTGCCCTGAGGTCTCAGGAGCCTGGATGGCGGACTGGGGGCCAAGGTCACTTCAGGGGACGTGAGCCAAGGGAGGCTCAGTCCCTGTAGTGCCTGTGACCCCAGCAAGGGCAGGAGACCCCACATGGAAATGTCTGTTTTGCAGCTTTATTGGATCACCTTGACACAAAATCATTACAGCAGCGTGATACGTCTCTCTCTTCTTTATACGGGAATGTCGATAGCAAATAAATTCTTATGTAACACATCATACAATTTCAAAATTCTAGAATCACTGCACGGGATTCTGTAATAGATTATTCTACATGCTAAAGTGACAGTTTTCATCAAAAGGAAAAGTTAAAATGTCATGGTGGACCATCATCTTTGAGGAATGTCCAGTCTTGGCCCCAGCGGCTACCTGGGGAGCGGGCAGGTGAGGTCCCCTGCCCTGGGGCTGCTCTAACCAAGGTGCCAGCTGGAGGTCAGTCCCCACACACAGCCTCCATCATCCAGCCTGGACCCTCCCGGCAGCGAAGGGACAACACAGGGAGGAGCCCTGCAGTGTGCGTGGCTGGGAGCAGAGGGCACGCAGGATCGCACGCCACCACTCGCCCCAACCCAAGCCCAGAGAGACACACTTCTGTCGACAGGGAAGAAAGGAAACAGAAAGGCCCAGCCCTGTCCCCTGGGTGGTGCTGACTGCAGCCCTCCTGGACGCAGTCCCTCTCTGCCTGCAGGTTGGCCCGTGGCCCGGGGTCCTGCAGATCACGTTCCCACCACGGGTTCTGGAGAGAAGGGCCTCTGCGACAGCTGGACCGTCCTTCACCCCTGTGCAGAACCGCTGGTCAGAATGTTGGGGGACAGAAGCCGCCGGACAGGAAAAGGTGGGGGAAGACAGGAGATGGTGGGGGGCCCCATCAGACCCCTGCTGTGCATCCCTCACCCTGGTGCCCGCCAGGCCCTGGCCCAGATGGTGGGCAGGCTTGCTCCCCAGGCTGTGGCTGAGACCACACTCAAGGACCCGGCCCCCAGCGTGGGGCGGGGCGCAGAGCAGGTGGGGAGCCCCTGCTGGTCTGGGGACTGGAATGGGGCTTCTTGCCAAAGAGTGGGGAGAGTCTGGGTGACAAGGGTGGCCAATAAATCAATGCGACACACAACCTCGATGTCTAAACAGCAGACGACGGTGGAGTTAAATTAACATCAGGCTTGGGTACAGTACACACAACAGAGTAGTGGCGAGATATGTGGACCTGTGGGTCCACTGGCGCCTGCTCTGTGACGGGCTCCCGGGTGGGGCTCGCAGGCAGCTCAGCACGTGGCCAGCGTGGCCTTCATCTCCTCCAGCATGTTGCTCAGCAGGGTCGCGTCGCTGCACTTCCCGTCCACCGACACTGAGTTCTCCCCCTGTGCCAGGGAGAGAGACTGGCATTCACAAAACTGTGCACTTACGGCCTCGGGACCTCCCGTGCTGTGCTTTTAATCCTGCAAAATACTTCCTGGAGATGGATGGTGGTGGTGGCTGCACAACACCGTGAATGTACCAAATGCCACCGAACTGTGCACACTTAAAAACAGTTAAGATGGTAACTTCTGGGGCTGGGTGTGGTGGCTCACGCCTATAATCCTAGCACTCTGGGAGGCCGAGGCAGGTGGATTGCTTGAGGTCAGGAGTTCAAACCAGCCTGAGCAAGACCCCGTCTCTACTAAAAATAGCTGAGGCAATAGGATCGCTTGAGCCCAGGAGTTTGAGGTTGCTGTGAGCTAGGCTGACACCACGGCACTCACTCTAGCCTGGGCAACAAAGTGAGACTCTGTCTCAAAAAAAAAAAAAAAAAAAAAAAAAAAAAAGATGGTAACTTTTATGTGCTTTATCATAAAAAAAAAAAATCAGAATAGCTAAAAACTTCCCAAATGTTAAGTACAGACATAAACACAGGAATTCAAGAAGTTCAGCAAACTCCAAAAGGATTGAACCCAAAGAAATCCACACTCAGACTCATCAAAAATTGAAAACTAAAGACAAAGAAAAACTTTACCAACAGCCAGAGAAAAATGATGCATTCCCTGTAGAAAGAACAATTGTTCAGATGACTACAGGTTTCTCACCAGAAACCACGGATGCCGAGAGGAATCGGCACAATGCTGTTATGGTACAGAAAGAGACTTATTCAGCCAGAATTCTGTATCCAGCAAACATGGCCAGGAGGAACGAAGGCAGAGTAATAGTCTCGGGAAGGACAACTGAGAACCGGCTGCTGGGAGACCTGTTCTAAAAGAACCACTAACAAATGTTCTTCAGACAGGAGGGAATGAACCAAAAGAAAGTGGAACACCAGGAATGAAAACAAAACAGAAATGATAACTGTGTGTGCAAATACGATAGACTATGCTCTTTCCCTCTTTAGTTCTTTGAAGTTGTCTGAGGGTTGAAAGCCAAATGATCACATGTGGGATGGACTTTTTTTGGGAATGTCAACACAACTGTGTGACAGTCAGGACAGACAAGGGCAGAGGGTGAATGGCCTAATGGGTCATTAGAATTTCACATCCCACTTGAAGGGTAAATTATTAATCCAAGTAGACTATGCAAAGCTAAGTACAAACAGTAGAATCCCTGGACACCCACACAATGTACAGACAGGATCAAAAACACAAACAAAAGAGGCCCAGGCATCACTAGGACTCACCTTCTTCACCAGGAGACAGACGTGGTGGCCCTGGATGGAGCGGCTGTACATGGAGGCGCAGGAGTCCACTCGCTCCACAACTGTGACAGAGCATGCAGGTGAGGCCCTGCCCACCCCAAGCAGGGGCACCTTCCCAGGAGTGCCCTCCCTGACAGCTGTTAGAGGCCTGGCAGGGGCAGGAGGTGGCCCTGTGTGGCCTAGGCAGTCGCTAGACAGGGTCCAGGGGGAGCTACTGGCCTCTGTGGCACAGGCACCTGCCACAGCAGATCCTGGAGGGTGTGAGTCTCAGAATGAGGGCTGCAGGCCAAGATCCAAGGAGGAAGGGGCTGGCAGGGCTGGAGCCCAGCCAAGGGAGAACCGTGCATGTAAATGCTGTGCCATCCACCAGCCTCCTCACTTTCTTACCAGAAAAGTGGTGGTGAAAACAGATCTTTGTCAGAAGGTTCTGGAAGGACATACTAATGCCGTCGACTCTGATTGAGCTCATGCTCAGGTCCCCAGATTCCAGCAACTTGGCAAAGGCATCACTGTGGGAAGGACACAGGACAGGGAGGGGTGACACCAGGCAGAAGCCAGGCCCCCGGGACAGCCAGCACCAATGCAGACTGATCTGCGCCACAAACGCTATATGGCAGGACCCTCCTTTGTGTGCCTTGGACCTGAGAGGTCGCCATGGTTTTGGAAGGTGTTATTCAGATTGACAGGTCAAAGTCCCAACTCACAGAACCTCATAATGGGACTTTATTTAAAAATAAGTCTTGGCCAGGCATGGTGGCTCACGCATGTATGGGAGGCCAAAGCGGGAGGATCACTTAAGGTCAGGAGTACGAAACCAGCCTGAGCAAGACCTCATCTCTACTAAAAATAGAAAGAAATTAATTGACCAACTAAAAATATATATACAAAAAATTAGCCGGGCGTGGTGGCGCATGTCTGTAGTCCCAGCTACTTGGGAGGCTGAGGCAGTAGGATCGCTTGAGCCCAGGAGTTTGAGGTTGCTGTGAGCTAGGCCGACGCCACAGCACTCACTCTAGCCTGGGCAACAAAGTGAGACTCTGTCTCAAAAAACAAACAAACAAACAAAAAAAACAAGTCGTCTTTTTTTTTTTTGAGTTGGGGTCTCACTGTGTTGCCCAGGCTGGAGTGCAGTGACACCATCACAGCTCACTGCAGCCTCCAACTCCTGGGCTCAAGGGATCCACCTGCCTCAGCCTCACAAGTAGCTGGGACTACAGGGGTGAGGCACCGTCCAGGGCTTGGAAACATGTCTTTAGAGAAGTCATTACAGGCCGGGTCCGGTGGCTCACGCCTATAATCCTAGCACTCTGGGAGGCCAAGGCGGGTGGATCACTCAAGGTCAGGAGTTCGAAACCAGCCTGACCAAGAGCAAGACCCCATCTCTACTATAAATAGAAAGAAATTAATTAGCCAACTAATATATATAGAAAAAATTAGCCGGGCATGGTGGCACATGCCTGTAGTCTCAGCTACTCGGGAGGCTGAGGCAGGAGGATTGCTTGAACCCAGGAGTTTGAGGTTGCTGTGAGCTAGGCTGACGCCACGGCACTCACTCTAGCCTGGGCAACAAAGCAAGACTGTCTCAAAAAAAAAAGAGCTCATTACAAAAAAACTAATAAAAAATGAGAACGTTAAAAGTTACATTAGGTTATGTGGGCAGGCCCTGATCCAGGACATCTGGGGCCCCTACACAGCAGATGGGGACACATGTGAGGACACAGGGAGAAGGCGCCCACGCTGCCACACCTGACCTTGGACTTCCAGCCCTCAGGACTGTGAGGGACTAAAGCCCTGATGTCTAAGCGCCTGGTCTGTGGCCTTGGCCGCCCGAGCAGGTGCAGACACAGGTGGCTGGACCTGTCATGCCGAGGACAAGCAGTGAATGGAAACTTCGTCCTTGACTTTCACAAGTTAGGTCAAAAGATGTCTCCGAGGTAACTGCCCAGAAAGCCTCAGCGCCTGGTGCGGGTGTCTCAACTGCAAGCAGCGCACCTGTAGCAGGGCGTCGTGGTCAAGTACGAGGAGCAGCTGAAGTGCAGCTTGAAGTCCAGCTTCTCCTGGGTGGCACCTTCGTCGTCCTGCAGTAGAATGGAGACTGTTGCTAAACAGGGAGCCTCACCTGGGACACCCTGACACCCCACAGTGGGGGCGACCAGGAGCAGCAGCCAGCCTGCACCCCACGCACAGGTGTGAAGCCACACGTACCTTGGCAATGAAGGACAGGGTGCCCTTGAGCTTCTGGGCCATCACGATGCTCTGGACGGTGAACACAAACTGCGCTTCATTGGAGACACCTGGCAGGGATGGGCAAGGAGCTCACCCAGGAGCTCCAGGGCTCAGGACTAAACACAGGGGGGCTCCTGGTGTCACGTCCCAGCCACAACCTGGTCCCACTGCCACCCACAGATGGCAGACTCAGCAGCTGGGCCTGCCCTCAAGGTCCAGAGACTTGCAAAACCCTGGGGGCTTACCTGGGGGCAGCTGGAAAGGCACGGGGACGCCGTCGTGGACGGAGGAGCCCTCCGGCCGGGCCATCCTGGTATTGAGCGAGTCCAGCACGCTGAGCTCCATGCTCTTGAGGACACTGCTGCTGAGGTTCTCCAGGATGATGGACACAGTGACCTGGCTGTCCTGCAGGCTGCCCTGGACACCGTAGGTCTGCAGGAGCAAGGCCAGCTTCAGCTGCGGCAGCCAGAAGGCTTGAGCCCCTCTCCAACGGCCACAGAAACAGCAGGTCTGCACGTGCAGAGACGAGCAGGGAGAGGCGCACTTCTGACCCTGGAGCCACGGCCCAGTCTCTTCATGAACACACCATAGTCACCCTCCTGTCCCCCGGCCCACAGCAGGCCAGTATCCAACATCACCACGGCCAAGTATGGACGTGGCCCTGGGTGCGCTAAGCCTCCGGTGCCCCCAGGGGCTCACACATAATCCTTTGTGACCCCAGCTCCTAGTAATGCCCAGGGCACTCACCATTTTAATGTAAGAATTTTCAGCCAGGAGGGAGTAACTGGACATAGGCTGGGGAGAAGAAAAGACACTTAGCTCAGGGTGACAAGGACCCAGCAGCTCTATCCCTCGCAGGACTGTAGGAACCCTGGGCAAGGAGTGTCAGAGGGCGCCAGGCTAGGAGCCCCGGCTAGAGGGAGCACAGCCTCCACCACGGGGTTTGACAGCCGGTGGAGGGCACCCGCCAAGCCCCAAGGGCCCCGCCGCCCCCACGGCGGCACGGTTCCATCCAGAATCAGCTCAGTTCTCTCCCCAAATGAGGCACAGGTGCTGGAGGTACCCCAGCCTTGGCCGGCCGCCCTCTGCAGGAGGGGCTGGGCGTTGAAGTACCCCTCACCGGGAGAGGCCCCTCCTCGAGTGCGCCGTTCTGCATGGGCTCCCCCGGTGCCTCCTCGCTCCCAGGCAGCTTCTTCCTGGATCTCTTCTTGTCCTTGGGCCGTTCCTCCTTCTCCTTCTTGTGCTTTTTCTTATGTTTGGAAGGTTTCTGGGGCAGGAGAGTCCAGGGTCAGTGAGTGGCACCCCACAGGGAGCCGCCATAGCTGCTCAGAAGGCTTGGCAGCACCTGGCGCTCTCTCTGCACGAGGGTGGGGTCACCCATGTGGAGACCCAGCTGCAGCAAGGACCTCACTCCCTGGCAGTGGGAGAAGCTGGTGTGGCTCAGAGAGCAGCCTCTGCTGACTGGGGGAGCCACCCGAGAAGGACAACAAGAACCCCAGACACGATGCCCAGGGACATGCCCAACACTGAAAACACACGTCCACACAGAAGCTTGTACACACACGTTCACTGCAGCACGATTCACAACAGCCAAAAAGGGGGAACAGCCCAAGTGTCCACTGTGAATGGTCCGTCCATACACTGAATATCACTCTGCCATGACAAGGGACGAGCCTCTGACACAGGATGCTGCATGGATGGACCTTGGGGACATCATACTCAGTGAGAGACACCAGACAGAAAAGGAACACAGTGTGAGACTCCATTTATATGAAATGTTCAGAACAGGCAGATCTACGGAGACGGGATGTGGATTTGTGGGTCGCCAGGAGCTGGGGGAAGGAATGGGGAGTGACTGCTGATGAGAACAGGCGTCTTTTTGGGATGATGGAATGTTCTGGAATTAGAGATAGTGGTTGCACAACTCTGTGAAAATCAAAACACTGAATCGCACATTTAAGAAAAGTGAAATCTACGCGTTGTGAATCATATCCCAAAAAACTGTTATGAGAACATAGAACCATAACCACCACCAAAGACCACTGTGAGACTGCAGAGGTGAAGGCGGGCACTGGGCTGCCCTCCTTGCAGGATCCAGGGGCAGACCGATCGCCATGTGGGGGTACCCGGTGTGCATGGCCAGAAGCAGAAGCCCGTCCGCCCCACCCAGGGCCTGAAGGCCACCTGCCCGGGCCTCACCTTCTCTTGGTCTTGGTCTTCATCCTCCATGTCCTGGGCCTCTCTCCTGGGTTCCTCCACCTCATCTTTGTGGGCGGTGTCAGTGTTTGTGTTCGCACTGAGCGTGTCCTGCAGGAAGTCAGGATGGGGGGCTCGAGGCTGCCAGCAAGCACCCTGTGCCCACCCTCAGCCCTTGGTGAGGAGAAAATGGCCCAGGCACCCCTGGGAGTTCTGTGCCCTGGCTTCCCGAGAGGCTGGGGGCCCCTGTGAGTGGCAGAGAAGTGACAGGGTCTGTGGGTGCCAAGGCCCAGCGGGGTTCCCCTGTTTGCACCTTGCCCAGCACGGGACAGGAGTCCTCCAGCCTTGCAGGTGCACAGGTGCTGACAGGAAGGCACAGGGCCCACTAGGGGAGACCTCAGAGCTGGGGACCTGATGTGACTTCTGAAGACATGTCAGCAACAGCCAGGCTCTTACCGTGGATGGGACCGTGGCAGGAGGTGGGGTGGTGGACAGCCAGAAGTCTAAGTCCTCACCCTGAAAACACAGCAGGATGGCGGGGAGGGCTCAAGACATGGGTCCATCGAGGACAGCCCCACCCTCCCTTGCTGCTCCCCCCCAGGGCCCTGGGCCAAGTGGGATTCACAGAATATTCCCATCAAGGAGCTGAAGACCCATTAGGTGTTCAGGGCTGACTCTGGCTACATTGCTAAAGCAAGGTCCACAAACAGATTGGCATGTAGGGGTGCACTGTACCTGCAACCTACAGCCGCAGCCCACACGCCTGTCAGCGGGGAACAGGCCCCAAGTACACAAGTCTTTAAAAAACCCACTTCATTCCCTGTGTGGAAACACGTGGACACTGAGGAAAAGGTTCTGCAGCTACACAAGGGTGGCTGCCCCATCTCGCCAGGCTGCTGAGGACGCGCTCGCTCGGGGATAGCCTGGTCCTTGTGGGGCCCCTAAAGGTGAGCTCATGGACAGCCCCCTTCTGCCCCGACTGGGCTCAGAGTCACCATGTCCTGTGCGATCGCCGCTGTCCCTGACACCTGGCTCCAGAGCAAGGGCGGGGAGCAGGGATGGGGACTGGCCTGGGTGCCAACCTTACCTTCCTCTCCTTCTCCTTCTTCTTCTCTTTCTCTCTCTCCTTTTCTTTGTGTTTCTTTTCTTTTTTTTTGGGTTTCTTGCTCTTTTTTTCTACTACGGGAACGTCTTCTTTTTCAGGGGACTTGGCGTTCTCAGAGTTCCTGTGTTTCTGGACTGGCAACTTCTCGCTGTCAGCCAGGGGCCTTGTGAGGGGAGGGGCTGGAGGTCAGGAGGGAGCGCCACCCACACCTGCCACCCAGCCCCACTGTGTGGTCCACCCTAGAGACTGGTGTCCGTGCTGACTGACATCTCCACAGACGCACACCGATGGCCACAGCCTCCCCAGCACCCCAGAACCTCAGACCTCGGACCCCACGCTGGGTCAGGGCCAGTCTTGGTCAGAAGATGGCTGCCAAGCAGTGCTGCCAGCCATTGCCCAGGGAGAGCCCAGCCCACATGTCCCTGCCTGGTTACCCCACCCAAGCCCAGCCCCCAGCCCAGAGGGGAAGCCCCTCAGTCTGCACCTGGCTTCATTGGAGCCCCCCACCCCCACACCCACCAACACCATTCCTTACTTATCCAGATCAATATCCAGGGCTCTGTAGGGGTCGTTGGGGTCTTTGTCATCCTCATCGCTTGGTAGAGCATTCTGAGGGGACAAACGGGAACCTGGTGTTCATGGAGCCTACCCCGTGGCCTGGTGAGGTCCCCTATCCCTGACACAGTGGGACTGCCCGAGACAACCAGAGCTGTGGCACTAACATGGCCCCGACAGGAAGGATGCCACTCATCATCCTCACGTGCCAAGGATTACTGGGCCCCAGAAACACAGCAGATGTGTGTCTGCCCTGGGGACTGCAAGGAGGGGCTGCTGGCCTCCTGGGGTGGGATGTGGGGGGGCCTCCACTCACAGTCAGCAAGACCCCACCCCAAGGATCCCGGCCAGGACAGGCTCAACCACAAGGGGATGCAGAAAAGATGCGTCCCCCAGGGCCAGCCCTGAGGCCACCATGGTGAACCCCCAGCTGACCTCGGGCATCTCCTCGGTGACGATGTCCACCTGCTGGGCGGGGGCAATGTCCTCATCGCTCTCTGTGGGCAGCGAGCCATGGCGGCGCTTGCCCTTCTTCTCCTTGTCCCTGCGCTTCTTCCTGCGCTTGTCCTTCTCCAGCCTCTGCCGGTGCCTCCGCTCCTCCTCCAGCCGCACGTACTGGTCCGACAAGGGCAGCCCTGTGGGCGGCAGCAGGCTCAGCACAGGGCCCTGGAGCCGTGGGGGGATGGCAGCAGCCCTGGGAGCCTCAGGGCTGGCGGACACTTGCCTGGGACCTTCAGTGGGACAGAGAGGTCGATCTGCACCACGGGGATGTGCTCCACGCCTGGCGCGTCCTGGTAGCGCTGCAAAGGCAATCGCAAGGCGTTACTGGCCACTGGGCAGGGTGCGCCTCCCGGGAACACGAGCCTGGGGCCAGAATGTGTCAATGTCCCCAGGGGGGCCAGGTACCAGGGCCCTGTGCTGCAGGAGCTGCTGTGGGCACAGTTCGGCCCCTGCTGCACGTTTTCTTAACAAATAGGGCGAATTTTGTGGGTTCGAGAGAGACAGCACAGGTCTGTGTCACCGGGAGCAGCACAGTTTTCCTCAGTTTTTTCCCTCAGAATCTTTTTGCTTCAGATTAGAAAAGCAGCACAGCCTCCCAGCCAGAGTGAGGCAACATGTCATGCCCACCAGGACAGCCACGGTCAGAGTTGGATGACACCCGTGCCATCAAGGGCATGAAGAAACAAGCCACATGACCCCCAATTCCACTCCCAGGATCTAGCCGAGAAGCACCAAGGATGACCCGGGGGCCCGAAGGGCCGAGTAGGACATGCTCTGTGGGGGTGGGCAGAGGGCACAGACGCAGGATGGGCCAAGATTCCCGAGACACAGAGGCACGAGCCTGCATATGTTGCCCTCCTGCCGAGAGGCGCCGACTCCTCTGCCCCTCAGTGCAGAAGCCTGAGCTCCGGCTGCAGCCCTCCCCATCCTTCCCTTCCCCTCTGCAACAGCTGAGCACCACATGCTACTGTGCTCAGTGGCTGCCTCCTCCACATGGGTCACAGGGCTGGCACTCCTGGAGACAGGCCCCCAAGTGCTGCTGGTGGCTGGGGATCTCAGCCATGGGCACTTGCTGAGCAGCCATCATCCCTCGGATATGTGCTAGGGAACCCACCTCACCTTCTGTGGAGACGGAGAACTTTTGATATAGAATGGGTTGTTGGCCTGCTCCTGCTTCCGAGCCTCTCGACGCTGTAGGGACAGGACGCGCCGTGAACACGGGTGAGCTAGGACAGGATGCCCAGAGGCTGGGCTCCGCCACTGGCTCCCCAGCCTGGGTAGGGGAAGGCTGGATCTCTTATTTTCACTGTTGGCCTTTTACTAACAAGGAACTGAGGCCGAAGATCACATGTTGTGGAAAAGGCATTGCTCAGAGTCCAGGAGGCCGGGACACCCGCCTCCACCACACGGACCAGGGTTCAGAGGGGTCGGGTGCCCTGCCCAAAGGCTCACCAGCAGGGCACAGGAGCACAAGGGAGGGCTGCCCTCTCCCAGTGCACGAGAGCAGAGTAAGAGGGAGCTTAATGACTTCAGAAAGAGAGGGACCGATGCCAGAGTGGGGATGGGGACAAGTGCCACCTCCAGTGGGATTCTGGGGCTGCCCTCTCATCTCTGCTATTTTGGGGCCATGCAGACGCTGCACGTGTTTACAGTGTGCTATGGCAGAGCACCCTAGAGGGCCAGGCCCAGCCGAGCACCCACAGGCCCATGAGGTCAGGCTGACGGGTTCTCCTGGGGAGGCTTCCAGGATTCGGAGAATTCACTCCCCATGGCAATGAGACCCAACTTGATGTCAAGTGTCCTCTCAGGGAGCAGAGAGCCTGCCTGGGAGACCCCGGGACAGAGAGGGACAGAAGGAGACTGTGCTCCTCCCAACCCCCCCGTTCCCTTACCCGGGCCAGCTCTTCCTCGTCCACCTCGGGCAGACGGTGCTTGGCCTGCCGCTGCTCCTCCTCGTGGAACATGGCCTTGGGCTTCTCGTCTTCAGACTCGCTGTCCGAGAGCGGCTCGTTGATCCAGGCGTCCAGGTCCAGGCTGCACCAGACAGGGAGGTCACACAGCGCCCCGCCTCCCTGGTCAGCTAAGTGCTACACTGAGACAACCTCGGGCGCCCACCCTGAGCAGGGTCACTGTGTATGGCCCTGTCCTTCAGACTCGGGAGGGCCGGTGGCCCGCGAGGTCATGGCAGGGCCCACACGGGCTCGCACTGCCCCACAGGCTCACGGCAAGGGTTGGGACAGACCCACTCCCCGTGCGCAGCACCAGGCCCACATGCGGCCCACAGGAACTAGCCAGAGCCGAGTCAGTCCACACAAGAGGGTCGCCAGCCCAATGGGTGTCCCTTGCCCCCCACACCCTGCTGGCCAACGGTGGGTCCTGGGTGCAGTCAGCCTACGGTCCCTCTCAGCATTGGGGACATCAGCAGGCTCACCCTTCAGGAACTGGAACCTTCTTCTGGGCCTTGGGAGCCACCGGGTTCAGCTCCCCAGCAAACAGGGCACTCACTTCCTCTGCCACAGGCACGGCCTTGGCCTGCAGCTTCTGCACGTGCTTGACCAGCTGCAAGATGCAGGACGCCTGGGGGACACAGGTAGGTCAGAGAGAGCAGAGACGGCTATTCAACCACTCTCGGGGCTGGCGATACTCAGCCACCCCTGCTGGAGCCACATCAGCCACGGCCCAGCCCGTGAGCCACTGTCTCAGTCTCCATCAGGACAGCAAGGGCATGACAGAGGGAGCTTCGTCCCTCACGTGAAGACGCCCCACCACTGGGTGTGCACCCCAAGAAACCTGCAGCACCACCTCCCGTAGGGGCTGCCTTGGAGCTCTGGCCTCGGTGCTAGCTCCCTCAAAGGCAGAGACCACAGGCTAAGGCCACAGCCGGCCCTGCCAACACCAGCAAGTGCAGGGTCCAGGTCCACGGCCCACACGTACCTACTCAGCCAATGTCACACACCAGACTCTATCATGGGGAAACCAGGGACCTGGTGGGCAACACCGGGCACTGGTGTGTGGCCTAGTCCACAGAGAAGCCACATCACCCACAGGGCATTAGGCCCTCAAGTGTGGAAATAACGGACAATCTTGGGTACCCCCAGGGGAAGTTTCAGGCCTCAGCTGGCCCTAAAAAGATCCATGGTCTCCAAGCAGCTGGAGTCACCAGGAGTTCTGGTTCCCATGAACACTGAGACGACACCCTACTAACACACGTTTTTAAGAGGCTTTTCAGAAACCCTGACTGGATGGAAAATGCAGACACGGGAGGAACAGAGGACTGAACTCTGAGCACCATGCTGTGGTCTAAATCCCCCAGCTACGCAAGGGCCTGCAGAGGGGTAAGACAGATGCTGCAGACTCACAATTGGGGAGGGAGGGAGGGAAAGGGATAAAAAAATTACCTGGGGAGTATAAGAAAATGTATAAAAAGATTTAAGAAAGAAAAAAAAAAATCTAGAAAAACAACAAATCCCTGATGGTCCTGTCACACACACTTTAACATTCCTTTCCACTAATCCGAAAATCTCTGATCTACCTGTGCCTGCCCCCACTATCTATCTGTCTGTCTGTCTAGAGAGTTTCACTTTGTTGCCCAGGCTAGAGTGAGTGCCGTGGCGTAAGCCTAGCTCACAGCAACCTCAAACTCCTGAGCTCAAGCAATCCTCCTGCTTCAGCCTCCCGAGTAGCTGGGACTAAAGGCATGCGCCACCATGCCTGGCTAATTTTTTTCTATATATGTTAGTTGGCCAATTAATTTCTTTCTATTTATAGTAGAGACAGGGTCTTGCTCTTGCTCAGGCTGGTTTCGAACTGACCTCGAGCAATCCGCACACCTGGGCCTCCCAAAGTGCTAGGATTACAGGCGTGAGCCCGCCCGGCTTGCCCCCACTTTAGAACAGCCTTTTGTGCTGAGCGTGGTGGTTCACGCCTGTAACTCTAGCACTCTGGGAGTGCCGACGCAGGAGAATCGCTCAAGGTCAGGAGTTCGAAACCAGCCTGAGCGAGACCCGGTCTCTACTAAAAATAGAAAGAAATTAACTGACCAACTAAAATATATATATACAAAAAATTAGCCGGGCATGGTGGCGCATGCCTGTAGTTCCAGCTACCCGGGAGGCTGAGGCAGGAGGATTGCTTGAGCCCTGGAGATTGAGGTTGCTGTGAGCTACCTGGAGATTGAGGTTGCTGATGCCACGGCACTCACTCTAGCCTGGGCAACAAGACTCTGTCTCAAAAAAAAAAAAGTAGAACAGCCTTTTGGGCCAAGCCTGCCCAAAATGTCCCCACCCTAGTAAAGCCTGGCTGTGAGATATCGGGGAGCGTGGGGCTTGAGTGTTAGCAGCCCCTTCCCCTTGCATGGCGCCTTGCGATAAAACACCTCTTTCTCCTGCCGCAGCCCTTAGCGTCAGTGTCCAGCTGTCTGAGCTGGTCCCAGAGCCACAGCCACGTGCTCCCCAAAGCCTAGGCTCCCACCCAGTTGTTTGGCCACCTGCTGTGCACTACGTGGGCCAGCAGGGTCCTCACCCACCCAGCACCCCACAGAAACCTGCAGCCACCTAAGGCCACCCTCCCAGGCCAATGAACCCCCAGTCCTGGGAGGGCGGAACCGTGAAAGGGGATTGGGGAAGTTACAAAGGCACCAGGCAAACCGGCCGCCACCGGGAAGAACGAACTGTTGGCATGTCGAGGCCGCTTCCCAGGTTCAGACACTGTCATTAGAGCCCACGGAAGCCACAGCTGGTCTAACACGGGGCCCAGCATGCACACCTGGCCTTACCCGCTCCTGCACCTCCAGGTCTGCGCTCTGCACAAACTGAGGCAGCCGGTCCACCATGAGCTGGGTGACCGCCTGGGCCTCCTCCATGTCCGCCACCTGCTCCTTCTGCTGCAGAATGGACGCATACAGCTTGACAACGTTCTGCACGTACACGGCCTGGATGTGGCCAGGCAGCGTGGTGACTTTGGGCCGCAGCATGGCCTCCAGGGTGTGCTGGGGCTCCTGCAGGTGCCTGGGGACAGGGGGCCAGGGTGAGGCCTCCTCAGACACCCACCCAGCAGCTCCTCGATAGGTGAGCAGAGGCTTGAGCTTGTCACACAGGGGGTGACTCGGGGGTTCCCTTGTTCCCTGATCAAGCTGAGAGATGGGATTTGAAGGTCTCAGGGACCATAAACTGCCGCAACAGGGACACAGCAGAGACATGAGCATTGCAGAGCAGCTGGATAGAGCGAAGGCAGAGAACATGGGAGGAAGACCCTGTCAGCACCAGGGGTTGGCTCTGGAGAGGTGGAAGGGAGAAGAGGAAAAGGAAACTTGGGGAAAGACCAAGCGATCTGCGAGACCAAGGCTCTGTGGTATGGCCGACACTTGAGCTGCTGCCTGTGATCAAAAAAATGTTTATGGAAAACTCTTTTCCCAGTAAGAGGATGACAGGACACAGGCTGGTCTTCACTGAGCTACAGCATGTCCAGGGCAGGGGGCAATGATGGGATGGAGGAACAGCTGCCCTGTAGTCTCTGCTGAGGCAGGCCTGGGCCACAGGGTAGGGGCGGGGGACAGCAGCAAATCTTAGCCTTTCCAGGAGAAATCGGGAATCCAGATTTCTGTGTGACAGCTCCTGAGCTGAGGCCTTAGCAACACACCCCACTTTCAAGGGGCTGGGGGATCAAGTCTGCTTAGCAATGGCTGCCACTATCCTCTTAGGGCCAGTGCGCCCCTAGACCAGGGAGTCCGTGCAGTCTACCTAGAGTCTGGCATTGAGACCCCTGGACACCCCAGAAGGGCCTGGCAGCAGGCAGGCTAGGGCCAAGTGCCTCCCAGAGCTCCTGCCTGTAGGGCAGGCCTGGCGTGGGGGCAGGTCTCACTGTCGCCCACCTCTCCTGTCTGAGCAGAGCCAGGGCTCCCCCTGAGACTCACAGACACCAAGGGCCAGCCTCCTTCCACAGCTCCCCAGGGCCAAGGGGACCCTGTGTACCCTGCCAGCTCCTAGTCCCAGGGCCCAGAGGATCTATGGTCTCATGGTTACCACAGAGCCAGAACAGGGCAGAGCTGACAGGGCGAAGCACCCCGGCTGCATGGAACGTTAGCCAGCACACCCCGTCTCTCCAACCCATCACTGCCAGGGAGCCCAGGGAAACTGAGCCTGTGCCCACACCCACTCACTCCGAGAACTCCCCGCAGATCCATGCGGCAGCGTAGAGCACCTCGCAGATTCCATTCCGCTGGGTGCTGCTGGCCACCAAGTGGGCATTGTCAAGCAGCGCGGACATCTGGGACACAGCAAACTTGCGGATGGCCTTCACTCGGATGGCCACATCCAGCATCTGCGCGGCGATGAGGTGGCCATGGCGGGTGCCCTCCAGCCTGGTGAGCTCCACCAGGATACTGATGTACCACTCGAAGTTGGTGATGTGCTGGTAGTTGGACTGGCTGCAGATGTCGATGATCTTGGTGAGCAGCTCATCGCGGTAGGTGGTGCCCTCGGCCTTGTCCACATGGGTCATAAGCTTCTTGACAATCTCCATCAGGTTCTTCTTGGACACCTGGGGTAGGACAGGTGAGGGAGGCCCAGCTCTGAATCCATGGCTCACGGGTGAACCTGCGTTTTACAGGTCTACACCAGGGAGGCCACAGGTCCCTGTGACAGTCAGATGAGGAACACATGGCCCCCATGGTCACTCAGTGGGCCTGGCCCCAGCCCCCAAGTCCAGATGCGCCTTTGGAGCAGAGGTCAGGCCTGGTCCCCAATGCCCAGCCCCCACACACTCCTGACCCTGAACTTGAGGGTCTCCTGACACCCATGTGCTGCTCCGGGCTCTGATACCCGAAGGTTAAAGTCCCTTAAAGCCCTAAGACACAGTGGGAAGCTGGGCAGTGGGCACGTACCATTCCATACAGTAGGTCCAGGGCCCGCAGCCGGATGGACTCGTCCTTGTCGTCTAGACACTGCAGGATGAGGTCCTTGTGAGACTGCACAGACTTGGGGTGTGTTTTCAGGATCTTGGACATGGCCAACAGCCCCAGATACTTAACTGCAGAGACGGCACAGGTGATTAGCCTGGACACAAGAAGGTGCTGGCGCCACGGCAAGGCACAGAGCATATGAACCAGTCTCTGCCTCAGACAACAAAGCCGAGGAGGAGGAAGAGGAGGGGAGGAATGCTCTGTTTACTGCCTGGGCCTTCACAGGGACAGCAAGCCCAGCCCTACTCTAAAACAAATCTGGCTTCCAATGAGCATGCTAAACACAGCACCACACCTGGGGCCAGGTATCAGGCGGGTGGCCCTGAGCTGGAATCCCTCACAAGGATACTGAGGTGTCCGTGGGCAGCAGTGCTGAATCCTGTGCTACTGACCAATCAATGCCACATACCCCGCCCCAGAGACACAGAGCCTTGTACGTCAGGACACCAGGACCAGATGCTCAGTGAGCACACGTCACTGTAGCAATCCCCCTGCCTAATCCCGCTTACAGGCTTCACCACGTGTCCCTCTCCCAAGTTCCCTGTTGGGACCAAGTGGAGCTTCCTCAAGGCCCCTGCCCTGGCTGTCCGCACATGGCTCGGCACACACCAAGCCTCCTGAAAACCTTCTGGCCCGGATAGAGGGGCTACCCACCATGTGGGATGAGGGGAGTGGACATAAGCGGGCCACACGGTACTGGCGGGGGCTGTCTCTGAAGCCCGTGTTGCTCTGCCAGCACCGGGTCTGTGAGGAAGAGGACCGGGCATCGCTGACACTGTGCACGCTTTCCTCCCATGCTGGTAAGAGGCCTGACCTCACAAAGGTGTAGGAAACAGAAACGAAAGAGTGGAGTGGGAGAACGACTCACGGTTCTGATCGGAGTCTTCTATCAGAATCCTCAACTTCTGAACACAGAGCTGCAAAGAAGAAACGTAATGCTGGACTTGTCTTCTGAAACCAAGGCTGACTCCAGCTGGCCCTGGCCTAACCCTTTACCCGCCCGCCCCACAGCCCAGAGGATGGGAGGGAAGTGAGCCAGGCCCTTGCAGCGACATGGGGGGGCCGGCCTATCTGGGCCCTACACCAGGACCCCGCTTCCACCAGGGACAGCAGTAAGTCTGCAGGCACCAGCGAGAACATATGCTGCCACCCCTGCAAACACGCTGCGTGGGGACACACATCCAACTGCATGGCATGCCCTCTGGGAGGAACTGGGATCCAGGGACTTCCTTTACACATTACTCACATAATTAAAATAAACTTGAACCAAACACCAAGGAAACGACCATCCCAAAGGCTTCCAGGCCAGGCAGCTTGGGGATAGAGGAGGGCTGTCCCCAAACATGGGCAAGACAGAGACACAGCCTGGGTGGTTACCATGAGCACTCAGACAGCAGCACCAGGGCCCAGGCTTAGTGGGTGTACACACCCCACATCAAGGGACACAAAACAGAGTGGACCAGGACAGGACAGATAGCGGGACACAGGCTTCTGAGGGTCACACCCAGAGAGCAGGGGGCTCCCAGCCCTAGGAGGAGCGCAGTGGCCCGGGGAGTACCTGGATGCTGGCGCTGTGGTTGGGCATGCCGGAGGACAGCGAGATGAGCACTGAAACAGACAGCCGCCCAATCAGCACCATGCCGTGGCCACGGCACCACCCCAGTGTCCACTGTGGCTCCTGCCCCTTGCCCGGGATGAGGATGGGGTTAAGGACAGAAATGCCACCATGTGGAACTGTGCCTCCCAATGGTGCCCACACAGGACAGAGCTGCAGCACAAGATTGGGGCTATGTCCTCAGAAGGCACCAGTGAGGCTGCCCTTGGGGCGTCCAGGAACCTGGACGGCCCAACCTTGCTGACAGAAGGGCAGCTTGGCCTAAACTGTCCCTGCAAACACCATGGTTTGTGCCCAACCTTGCTGTCTTCTGAGTGTGGAATCCTGGCACAAGTCAGGCAGGGGGACCACATGACCAACCCCCACGGACACCCAGACAGGGTCACTGTGAGTGAGCTTCCTTGAGGACAACACTCTATGCATGTCATCACGGCTAGCTGCTGGTGGTGGAGTGCGTCCTGCGTTACTCCACGGCGAGAGGGTTCTGGAAGCTGGGGCTGGCCTCCCCGGCTAAGCCCGTGCCTCTCCCCTTTGCTGACTCTGCTGTGTCCCTTTGCTGTCATGAACCACGGCCACCAGGACGACCATGTGCCAAGTCCCAGGGGCCTCCCTGCACACCCTTGTGCTACCAGCTATCAGGAGGTCTGGGACCCGACTTGATGTCTGCGCCTCCAGGCCTGCACCTCCGCCCCGCCCCGCCCCTCACCAGGCCCCAGGGAGTCAGGAGGGCTGAGTCCAATCACAGCCCCAGGGTGTTGGGGCCTCACCCCATGAGCCAGCTCTTGGTACGCCACCCAAGAGCCACTGCTCCCCTGATGTGCCGTGCCTGGCCTGGAGACTCCTTACCCATACCCACTGCCTCTCCCTGCACCCCAAATTCTCCCACCCTATCACTTCTGATTCCCCTGCCCAGCTACACCCTCCTTTCTGGTGACGGTCGCCCCCTACTGTCCCAGAGCCTCAGGGACACTCACAGCCCACACAACTGTCACAGAACAGACCTGGGCTGGCTTCTCGTGGATCACTGAACATCAGGCCCCCTCACAGGTCCACAAGCAGCAACTGCTGGCACAAGAGCCGGCAAAGGGATGCACGCCCACCCCGCAGGCACAGGCAGGCAATGAGACCCCAAACCTCACACAGCCCGGCTCTAACACCAGCTCACGAGAGACGCATGAAGCCAGCAGCCAGCCAGCCCTGTCAGGAGCCATGATCCTGCTTTTCCAACAAGACAAAAGTGTGGGATGAAGGGGCAGGTGTGTCTCCGAATTCGCCAACCACAAGGAAGCGTGTCAGCCAAACGCACCCAGATAGACTGGTTCTAAAGAGACAGACTGTCCTCGACCCCTGGGGACATTGTCAGCCTGACTAGGCCTGAAGGGCGGTTTCTGATTTTGTCTTAAAAAAGTGATTTTGTTGTAAATACTAATGCTTAGTATCTCTGGTGAAACAACACGCCTTAGGTTGCTTTAAAGAATTCTCAGGCTGGGCGCGGTGGCTCACGCCTGTAATCCTAACACTCTGGGAGGCCGAGGCGGGCGGATCCTTTGAGCTCAGGAGTTCGAAACCAGCTTGAGCAAGAGCAAGACCCCTTCTCTACTATAAATAGAAAGAAATTAATTGGCCAACTAATATATATAGAAAAAATGATCCGGGCATGGTGGTGCATGCCTGTAGTCCCAGTTACTCAGGAAGATGAGGCAGCAGGATCGCTTGAGCCCAGGAGTTTGAGGTTGCTGTGAGCTAGGCTGATGCCACGGCACTCACTCTAGCCCGGGCAACAAAGTGAGACTCTGTCTCAAAAAAAAAAAAAAGATTTCTCAGAAATAGGCCAGGCGTGGTTGCTCACGCCTGTAAACCTAGCACTCTAGGAAACAGGCCTGAGCAAGAGCAAGACCCCATCTCGACTAAAAATAGAAAGAAATTAATTGGCCAACTAAAAACATATATAGAGAGGCAAGCAGCTGGGGTGAGAAGAGAACATGAAAACAGCCCAGGAACAAGGAGCCCTCATAAGGAAATGAAGACCCAAAGACACACAGTTGAATACTTAAATGCTGAATTGGACAAAGAATAGTTTCTGCTTTCGCTAAGAGGACATACATGACCCTGATGGTGTTTTCATTCAAGATCAAGTGATTTACTGCCTTTACTGGTTAACTGAACAAATTCAGCATGTAGAGTCCATGAAGCACAGGACAATAAAGCTTCCTACTCATATCACCAGAAGGATCTCTTTGAAAGATTCACTACCGGACCATAAGAGAGAATCATTTGAAGCATAATGCGTTGAAACAACAGAAGTCTATTCACCTGTGCGCTAACTAGAAACAGAGTTACAATGTTTTCAATTCTTTGAGCTCCAGGAATCCAGGAGAGTGAGTTAAAAATCTGAAAATGCGGCCATGGACAGGTTCCTGGCATTGGATTATGCTCATTCTTTTTGCCTGGGGGGCCGTGCTATTTTATATAGGTGGTCACTTGGTACGAGATAATGACCACCCTGATCACTCTAGCCGAGAACTGTCCAAGATTCTGGCAAAGCTTGAACGCTTAAAACAGCAGAATGGGCCGGGCGCGGTGGCTCACGCCTGTAATCCTAGCTCTCTGGGAGGCCGAGGCGGGCGGATCCTTTGAGTTCAGGAGTTCGAAACCAACCTGAGCAAGAGCGAGACCCCGTCTCTACTATAAATAGAAACAAATTAATTGGCCAACTAATATATATACAAAAAAATTAGCTGGGCGTGGTGGTGCATGCCTGTAGTCCCAGCTACTCGGGAGGCTGAGGCAGAAGGATCGCTTGAGCCCAGGAGTTTGAGGTTGCTGTGAGCTAGGCTGACGCCACGGCACTCACTCTAGCCTGGGCAACAAAGTGAGACTCTGTCTCAAAAAAAAAAAAAAAAAGAAACAGCAGAATGAAGACTGGAGGTGAATGGCTGAATCTCTCTGGATACCAGAAGGTCTCATTGATCAAAGACCAGCTACAGGAAGGGTACGTGTTTTAGAAGAGCAACTTGTTAAGGCCAAAGAACAGATTGAAAATTACAAGAAACAAACCAGAAATGGTCTGGAGAAGGATCATGAAATCCTCAGGAGGAGGATAGAAAATGGAGCTAAAGAGCTCTGGTTTTTCCTACAGAGTGAACTGAAGAAATTAAAGAGCCTAGAAGGAAATGAACTCCAAAGATTCGCAGATGAAGTTCTTTTGTATTTAGGACATCATGAAAGACTATGGAAATCATGTTAGACAAAACGCAAATTCAAGCGATTTTCTATTAGAGTTCAAAATGGGTTATAAAGTAGCAGAGACAACTCACAACATCAACAATGCACTTGGCCCAGGCACTGCTAATGAACTTACGGTGCAGTGGTGGTTCAAAAGGTTTTGCAAAGAAAATGAGAGCCTTGAAGATGAGGAGCAGAGTGGCCGGCCATTGGAAGTTTACAACAACCAATTGAGAACAATCATCGAAGCAGATCTCTCACAACTACATGAGAGGTTGCTGAAGAACTCAAAGTTGACCATTCTATGGTTGTTTGGCATTTGAAGCACAATGGAAAGGTGAAAAATCTCGATAAGCAGGTGCCTTGTGAGATGACCGAAAATAAAAAAAAGAAATCGTCGTTTTGAAGTGTTGTCTTCTTTTATTGTAGCACCATCAATGAACTGTTTCTCTATCAGACTGTGATGTGCGTTGAAGAGTGGATTTTATATGACAACCAGACAATGACCAGCTCAGTGGTGGAATGAGAAGAAGCTCTAAAGCCCTTCCTGAAGCCAAACTTGCACCAGAAAAAGAGCATGGTCACTGTTTGGTGGTCTGCCGCCCATCTGATCCACTACAGCTTTCTGAATCCCAGCGAAACCATTACATCTGAGAAGTATGCTCAGCAAATAGATGAGATGCCCCCAAAACTGCAACGCCTGCAGCCTGTGTTGGTCAACAGAAAGGGCCCAATTCTTCTCCATGGCAACGTCCAACCACACCTCTACAGAGTTTTGCCTCATACACCATATTCACCTGACCTCTAGCCAACCGACTACCACTTTTTCAGGCATCTCAACAACTTTTTGCATGGAAAACGCTTCCACAACCAGCAGGATGTAGAAAATGCTTTCCAAGAGTTTGTGGTATCCCAAAGCATGGATTTTTATGCTACAGTAATAAACAAACTTATTTCTCGTTGGCAAAAAAAATGAAAATAAAAACATATAGAAAAAATTAGCCGGGCATGGTGGTGCATGCCTATAGTCCCAGGTACTCGGGAGGCTGAGGCAAGAGGATCACTTGAGCCCAGGAGATTGAGGTTGCTGTGAGCTAGGCTGACGCCACGGCACTCTACCCAGGCAACAGAATGAGACTCCGTCTCAAAAAAGAATAAACAGGAATGATGACAACTTTCTTACTTTCTCCGTACTTTTTTCTAGCAGCAAAGAAAAGAAAAGAAAAATGCCAGAAATAACAGCTGTTGATGGGTCTGACAGTGGACGCAGAGCAGCAGGAGCTGACAGCTCTGGAAGGCGGGAGATGGGCAGGCAGGCTCCACCTGCAGATGCGAGATGACTCCGACGTGGCTGGGGGTTGAGCTGCTCCAGAGCCCCAAGCAACAACCCACCCCCATGGAGGGGCAGCAGGGAGCTGGGCAGAGATGCGTGACAGGGAGGCCCGGCCGGTCGCAGGGCCCGCCACCCAGCTTTCCACCTTGGCTCCAGCAGAGGCGAAGCTTGGGGACACCTTGTCCCCTCTCCCCCCACTGAGGATAGCCGCCCCTTCCAGAACACCGGTGTCAGCGCTCACCTGCAATCACAGTGTTCACACACTCGTAGAGAAGGGACATGGCAGACGTGCTACAGAGGGAGGGCAGAGAAGTGGCGTGAGGACAGGAGTCATGTCAGAGCAGGGGACAGGCCCCTGCACTGCCTGCCATGCAGGGCTGCCAGCGGCTCTGGCCCCGGAAGTCTGGTACAAGGATACATGGGGGCGCGGGCTCACCTGTGGATGAGGTTGGTGAGAGGCTCGATCAGCTTCTTGCCCAACCTCGGCTCCAAAGGCGTCAGAGCACCAAACTGTGGGGTGAGAGGGGCGGTCACCACCCAGGACAGTGCCGTGGCAGAAAGGACCGCCCACAGGGGTACCAACCAGGCCCCCCAGGCGAGGTGAGTGCGAGGGGACACATCCCATGCTACTTGCCAGCTTGATGATCTTGATGAGGACCCAGTTGTTGGTGGAGGATGTCATCAGCTTGAAGAACAGTGGGGCCAGGGACAGATAGTTCTTGGGGTTGCGTCTGGCCAGCTCACAGATGACGTTGACAGCTGCCGACTGGACCCCTGGAGAGCAAGGGGGTCCTCGTCAGCAAGAAGGGGCATCCTCACAACCAGGAGGCCTCACCAATGGGAACCCTGCAGCGTGGACCTCGATGCACTGGTATGAGAACTAATGATTGTCACCATGTACATGGCTGGCCAGGACAACTGACATAGCGTGGGCAAGTGGCAGTGTCAAAACAGATGCACACACGCACGCACACACACACACACTTTTCCTAGCTCTGTGTGCTAAGTGGGCTCAGTGGCTACATGACCCCAGCACCACGAACACACGCGGTGCCAGATCTTCAACAATGAAGAAGCAGGGTGTTCTGGCTCACGCCTGTAATCCTAGCACACTGGGAGGCCGAGGCGAGTGGATAGTTTGAGCTCAGGAGTTCAAGACCAGCTTGAGCAAAGGCAAGACCCCATATCTCTATCAAAAATAGAAAGAAATTAACTGGACAACTAAAAATATATAGAAAAAATTAGCCAGGTGGCACATGCCTGTAGGCCCAGCTACTCAGGAGGCTGAGGCAGAAGGATTGCTTGAGCCCAGGAGTTTGAGGTTGCTGTGAGCTAGGCTGATGCCTCGGCACTCAGCCCAGGCAACAAAGTGAGACTCTGCCTCAAAAAAAAAAGCAAAGAGATGCTCAAGAAATAAGGGAAGGTGGGAGGTGGGAGGTGGGCACCAGAACCCACACGAAAGGGTACCCGATGGCCAACCTGAAACAACGTAAGCAAAAACACTGACAACGAAGGTGTGGATACGGCCCGTAGAGTAAAACAGGTACCTATGAGTCCATCCTGATATAAACCAACAGGTGACAAAACAGACAGCGCCTCCTGCCCTAGGACCCCAACAAATTAACGAGGAGGAAGAGGATGGGGAAGTACTACCCGGCAAGACCAGAGCCATAACCGGTTCAGGCCAGGTCACAAAGGCCGATGTCAGTGAGACAGCCAACATCTACACTGCCACTGAGCATCCCCACGTGGCTCTGTCGCCCAGCTGTGCCTTCACTGGCTGCTCCATCCTAAAACTGTCACCCTGAGCACGATGCTTCTGAGACCTGGTCTATTGAATCAGGGGTAGCAGAAACCCCTAAATCCGCAGCCAGTGGAGCAGAGGGGTGACTGGCACGGCCAGGGCCAGATTTGTGCCGGGGAGGCTGGGAAGGGCAATCTGATCTACAGTCTGGCAGCAGTGTCCCATCAACATTCGCTTCTTTCCTTGTCTTAACTTCACTTTGATCACACCAGATAGAAAATTCTGGAAAGCTGGGTATAGGGCACATGGGAATTCTTTGTATTTTTTCTTCAAGTTTTTTATAAATCTGACATTATTTCAATACAAAAAGGTAAACTAAAAAATCTTAATGATTAAAAAAAAAAAAAACTGAGGGAGAAAAATAAGCCTGCAGGTCTCCCTGCCGATCTCCGTGGACGGAAGAAAGCCCCAGGCATAAAACCCACTCATCACCAAGGAGAAGGAGCAGGCTTGGACCATAGGCAGAACAGGAGTCCCACGGGTGCTCCCAGGAGCAGTGCGCTTCCTGCCCCCTCCACACTCAGCTCCAAAAACCCACCACAGTCCTCCCGACCAGAAAGGAGGTTCTGGTCTCTGTGGCAGCTTCTACCAGGCTGCAGGAACCCGAGCTTGTGGCACAGGCTCTGCCACCTCCTCCCAGGGAGGGGGACACCAGCCCAGGCCCAAACCGTCCAGGCAACAGGCCCAAGGCAGAGGGCTCATGGTACTATGGGAAAGCAGCAGGACCCCATGAAGCACACTGCACAGCAAAGTACGCAACGTGAGTGCAAGCAGGTGTCACCCACACTTGGGACAGCCTCAAAGGACAGTCCTCTGGCTCCATTGCTTTCCATTGAGTCAAGGAGAAAAACGGGACATGGGGTTTCTGTGTGGGGAAGGGACGACCTCCAGAAACATATGCCCGGCCGTTGGCCTGGAGGGGACCACTGGGCAAGGCTCAGGACCCAATCAGCCATCCTGATCTGACTGAGCCCAGCACCCCAAGGAGGAGCTGGCCCAGACCTGAGCTCCTGCGCAGGTCACGTTTGCTCTCTGAGACGTGGGGCCTATAGGCTACTACTGGGTGGCTTTGGTCCCATAGACCCCTGCCAAGTGCCTGCCACAAGCCAGAGGCTCTAACACATGTGGTTTCAGGCCACGCTGCCCAGTGGATGCCAGGGCCGCGGGTAACTGTTTAAACGTCAGTTAACCTCAGTGAAATAAAATCTGGAATTGCGTCTCTCAGTCACCACACTCAAGAGCCCGAAGAGGCTGGAGGTGGCCCTGTGGAACCATGGTCTAGCTGTCCCCTGCACTGCAGAAAGTGGCCTGGTGGCACAGGAGCCATCTGGCTGGCTCCCAATCTCCCTGGCTCAGAGACACTGACGCCCTACCAGGGCTCTGCTGCCTCACCCTCACCAGGAGTATGCTAGACTGCACTGTTTCTGGGCCTAGGAGGAACCCGAGACCACCCACTGCCTGCACCAAGCCTCCCCGATGTCCACTGCGTCTTGAGGCTGCCCGTTAGGAAAGCCTGGCATGTTCCACAGGCAGCAAGCACTCCCACCTCCTTCCTTGAGCCCCTGGGGCAGCTCCCGGGGGGCTGGGCGCCCCACTCAACCTGAACTCAAATCTACCAACCAGGGTCAGGATCCTCCAGCTTCTCCTTGAGCCGGGGAAAGGCGGGGCGCAGCGACTCGGGATACTTCAGGAACACCTTGTACATGATCAGCACAGCCTTCTTCCGGATGTAGGGCTTGGTGTGCGACATCTGCCAAGACAGCGGAGGCGTCTCCACCAGGCTCCTCCACCCCTGCCCCGCACCCCACCTGTGGCTGACCACCTCTGCCTGGAGGAAAGAGCCCCCAGTCCCTCTGGCTACGGCCTACACAACCCATCACACTGCCCACCACCTAGGGACCACAGAGCAGCATCTCAGAGGAGTGGAAACCTGCCCGTGTCCATGCCCAGACCTGGGCCCTGGAGGCCGACCCTCCTGCCTCTGACTGTCCTGCCCTGGCAGTCCCGGGGCCCAGGATGGAGGGCAAGGTCCAAAACAAAAGTCACGCAGGGAGCCCTGGTCCGCAGGGTCAGAGCTTGCAGCACCTCAGCACAGCTACCCAAGGACACTGAGGGCCTCCCCTCGGCTGGCACATCGTCCTCTCGTCCCTGGGGAGCCCTTCCTCACCTGTCAGGCCTAGGCAGCCCCACCCCTCCACTGCTTGGCCCTGATGGAGCTCCCAGCCCATGGTTTCAGGGCGCCCACACCCATCCCTTCTCTAGGTATTCAACTGCTCTAGCCTGGGGGAGCATACTACCCGTGAAGGCTAGTGACTGTTTCGGTTCTGCAGGCCAGACAGCCTCTGTCTAGGCCACATGGCTCTGCCCTGCTCTGCTGAAGCCACTGTGTACAACTCGGAAGGAAGGGGTGGGCCGGGCGCCTGGTTCACAGCAGCGGGGTGGGGTGGGGTGTAATGGACGTGGCCCTGGGCCACAGGCTGCCGACCCCGATTGGACAGACAGGGTCCAATCTAGAGCTGGGCAGGCTGTGCCCACAATCTCCTGACCATAAGCCGAGATCTACGCGTCTCCTCGTAGACAGGCTGCTGATGTGGGGCCAGCATCCCGAGGCGGAAGCTGAGCCCTTTTCCTCATAGGTGTGGCCCCGTTTAGTAAGTCAAAGGGAAAAAGAGTCCCACTAAACTAGGGACGAGCTGGACACACAACAGATGTCCTGAAGGCTGCCATTTCTAGGGGCTTCCATGCTCTAGAAGGTCCCTGGGGCCCCTGTGAGAGGACAACCAGCCCGGCTGTTTGCTTTAAGACCAGCTGGGCAGCTGTGAGCTACGCAGGGCAGACAGGGCCACACAGCAGCTCGTGGCTGCTGAGATGACCTCCACCAGCACCCACACCTCAGCAAGGACCCGATGTCCCTGACAGGGCCTGGCCCACCAGGTGTTGGTGGGGGTGACGGTGACTCAGCTCCCATCCCACCAGGCCACACACATGCACCCAGCCCGTTCTTGCAGGGCCAAGCTTCCTTGGTGTTACACTTTAACCTGGACACACAACTCACCAGCGTCATGATGTCATTTGCCAGGTCTCTGGCAAGATCTGGGGTGACAAAACAGGACAGACCAGTCAGTGCAACGCCAGTGTCATACTGGCTGGGGCTGCTCAGGTCCTGGAAAGGGAGGGAGAGGAGTTTAGCGGGTGGGTGCTGTGGATATGCATCACCGTGCACATCCCAGAAGGGGGTACACCTGTGCCCCCACACCCGCTGCAGAGAGCTCTGCAGCTAACCCTGGATGAACAGGAATGAGCTACAGTGCACTCGACACTGTCACCAAGAGATGAGCCAGGATAGGCCGTCTGGGGACAGAGTGTGAGGAGGATGTGAACATGCTGTACCTGAGAGCCCAGTTTCTGAGAGGTCACGGCTCTCAGGACAGAGGCTCACTGGCCACTGCATATCTGGGTGAAGGCTGTGCTGGCTCCAAGCACGGCCTGCCTCCCGGGGCTGCGGTCAGGGCTGCCCACCCCTGGCCGAGGGGCCTGTCCCCCTAACAACCTAGGGAAGAGAACAGGAACAACTCTTGTGGGTCCCTCTCAAAGCGTGGAAAAGCTTCGGGCTGGGGACAATTCTATCTTGGGACCATGAAACTCAAGGAAAAGCTGACGGCCAGCTGACGGCCACCCCACAGCCCCCTCTAGATTTGCACTCCACTTGCTAAACTTCATGGCAACGTCTCAAACACGGGCCCATGCCCACGCCCAGATCTGCACACCTGGAGAAATTCTCTCACTCTCGCAAACTTGCTCTTGGGAGATTTTCCTAAGTAGTGTGCTAAGAAACACTTTAAAAGCTCCCATATGTGGTCACAAATACGAAAACACTAGCTTTAAAAGCCACTCCACTTCCAGCTGAGGGGCAAGACGGCAGCAGCACCCGCAGTGCAACCCTCACTCCCTTGATGACTGACTGGATTTTTCATTCAGCACAGTGCACCAAAGGGCCAGAGGAGGGAAGCAGGGAGCCTGGGAGGCTGCCATAGGAAATTTCAGAAAGGTGTGTCCAGAGACATCCAGGTATTCGTGAAGCTGCCAGGAGACCCCAGCTTGACCCCAGGCCCCCGCTGGAGGTGTGTTTCAAAAGTCACGAGTTCATTTAAAATGACACTGGGAGTGCAAACACCTGGGGTGCGCTCCCATCAGGATCCTCCACAAAGGAAGCATATCAATAACTGGCAGCGAGAGCTGTGGCCACATAGACAGGCTCCTGAGTCTGGGGCCAGGACAGAGACAGGCAAAAGTAGGAACAGCGGAAGAGATGATGGTTAACTACCTGAATCACTCCTGATTTAGCAGAAGCACTGTGTGCTCCAGGAAAAGGAGTCTCAGGCTGGAACGCTTGGGTGGAACAGAACAGCCTTGAGCGACTTTCCCGGGGAAGCAGTAGGAGCCCTGGGGGCTGCAGCGAGGTGCCCACATGGGGGCCCGGCCAGGCAGCTGGCACCTGGGGGCCCAGGATGCCACACCTCCACCCTCCTCAGTCCTGTTGTCCACCCACTCGCCCCGGCAACCCTCTCCCCTCCCCTCTTGGAAGGCCCGACTCCCCTCCTGCTTGGCACCCTGACCAGCGCTCACCAAGCTGGACCCTCAAGCCATGGCACCTAGACCACAGACCACATGTGGCCGAGGCAGACGCCAGGCTCCATAGCCTTGCCCAAGATGGAGAGCCCAGCAGGGCCAACAGCGATGGGGTCTGCCCCACCCCCCATGCAGGGCATCACCACATGGCCAGCACCTACAGAGCCCACCCCTCAGCATGCTGGGAGCCTCAGCCCTCGAAGCCAGGTCACCTCTGGAGGGCCTAGCACTTGCACTGGGCACTTGAGGGCCAGGACTATAGGCCGTGGCTGGAAAGGGACAAGCTGCCCGCATAACACATGGCCTTGGTTCCCCAACACCTCCGACTTCTCCACAATGAGGGGGAAACAAAACATGCGCAAAGTGCTGTTTTCCTCCAAAGAGGAAATTTATTACTCGATGGGCTTCAAATACCATTTCAAATGTAAAAAAAAATGTACACACTACTGAAGGTACATGTATCAGGTGGCTCAAAAGAGCCCATGGATGGAAGGCCCCACGAGGGCAGGGAGGGGAGTGTGACCTTGGGAGGTGCTGCCACAGGGCAGGATGGAAAGAGTACGGGGTGACCAGAGGCCAGCTGAAGCGCAGATGCCTGGCGCCCACTGGCCTTCTAGGAAGTGAGGTTGAGAAGGGGGGTGTTCAGCAGCTCCCCAGCTCCCCCCCCAGTACATCTGCCAGGGAGCAGAGCTCGACCCACCAAGGCCACCTCTTCGTGTCTCCTGGGAAACACAACAGCCCAGGGAAGCCAGGCCTGCTCGCTAAGGAACTCGCAGACGTGGGATCTGTGGACCCTCGGAGCCCAGGGCTCCTGCTTCCTGCTCTTCCATGCGTGTGACGGGAAAACCAGCCCCAAGACAGAAGCTTGGCGGGGGAGACCCGCCCGGTGCTCAGCATGAGGGGAGGCCTACCTTGCGGATCTGATTCGTGGTCAGCATGATGACATCAGTGCCCTCGTGAAAGCTCTGGGAGGCAGCGAGGTAGCCGATGCGCTGTGGGGAGGACACACACAGCGTCAGGGCCACACCAGGGTGGTCGGTAGGCCCCCCACCAGCTGGGTGCCAGGAAGCCACTTGTGAACCAAGCTAGGTCTCTTCTGGCTCCAGAGGAGGAAATTCCCACCAAGGTTTGTCAAAGCCACCCAGTCCTGCTACTAATGTTCCACACTCGCTGGCAGCCAGGGACTGCTTTCCCACAGCGACTCTAAGTGTTGGATCTTAGGACAGCTCAAGTCGCTCTGCCAGGCTGAGGTGACAGCTAAAACCACACTCACAAATGTATTTGATACTTTAAACACACGTGCACAGGGAGCTGACACAAATTTTGGCAAATGCGATATTTTATTTCTTCATCAAGTATGACCCGCAGGCAGGGGATCAGGGCCCTCAGATTGGAACCACAGGGGGGCTCAGCCACCACAGGGTGTGTGTCCTGATGGAAGGTGAAGAAAGCTTTCACCAACACAGGACGATCCCAGGACACACACTGCAGGCCTAACGAGCCATGCGTGGGAAAAATTATTTTTGTGGGAGTTTACTGACGTGGCAGACGTGCTTATATGATACCAAAAATGAAATGACATCCAAAATTGTTTACAAGGGAGATCACTACAACATAAACAAAAAATTCTCAGAAAATGTCCAAGAGGCAATAGGACACGCTGACAAGTGGAGGCCACTAGGCAGGGACTAGCATCTGGCCAGGTTTTTGAGGAGTTACACATTTATCTGAATTTGCAGCCCCAAACCAGCATCAGCCCACTAAGGAAAGCTGGACCATGTCCCGTGCCAGCCGGGCCCTGGCCATAGGACGGATCTGCGGGGACGTCCAGTGGGGAATCCTTCCTTCCACCACCCTGCCAGTCTCCCCGTCCCGAAGCCCACCTTGAACGTGAACTTGGAGGCACTCATCACTTCTATGATATTGAAGGCGGCCCAACTGATGTCATACCCCAGCATTTGTAACTGTTGAGAGAGGAAGACACACTTTTACTCATAAGCCAAGGTAGACAAGGTGCTGAAGCCATGACATCAAATACTCCCTCCCTGCAAGTAAAGAATACATTCCATTCACAATCTCTCTCTCTCTCTCTTTTTTTTGAGACATGGTCTCAGTCTGTCGCTCAGGCTAGATTACAGTGGTATCGTCATAACTCACTGCAGCCTCCAACTCCTGGGCTCAGGTGATCCTCCTGCCTCAACCTCTTAAAGTGCTATGACTACAGGAGTGAGCCACCACGCCTGGCTCCATTCATAGTCTTAACACAGAAAGTTCACCCAACATGTACCCCTAGGGCCTTCTCTTTCTTGAGAAACGACTCTTATTTTTAAAAACTACAGAGACAGGCTAGTAACAGACCCTAAAAAAGTATAAACCCCTGCAATTGAGAAGCTAGTGCATCCTTGCACTGGCTGAACTCCCCTAATGCCCCCGGGGAATGGCCTGCTCACATGAGCTACATGAGACAAAGACTAACACCAGGGACTCCTTGGACAAGCCCTTTGCTCCCTATCTCCAACATGGAAACAGGCTGTGGCGGGGAGAGGGGTGTCCGTACTCTGCCTACGTGCTGACCTGGAATGGCAGCCAGGCAGGGAACCCGGCCCAGGAAAGTTCAGAGCCCCAGCTCCACCCAGCAGGCTTCCCAGCGGGAACTGAGACTGGAGGAGAGGGGTGCCCCTGCCCGCCTCCACTCAGGAGAGGCCTCCCAGGGCCACCACCACTCGGCTGAGTGCTGCCACCCGCCCACGCCAGCCACGTGACAATCGCAGCCCCCTGCACGGCTCACTGACAGCACAGACATAAGAGCTCTGTGCAGTGGCACCAGTGAACATCTGATGGGGGAGGACGGCAGGCACACAGCGGAGCAGAGTGCAGCCCAACAGCGCCGGGGCGTGGGCCCAGCGCCTCCAAGCAGACAGAGCACTTACATACGTCAGCTTGCAGACTGCGTTTGCCTTCACCGCAATGTTGTCCTGCTTCAGCTCCTGCTTGATTTCATCAATGCACTGAGAGATGTATTTTGCCTAAAAGGGGAAAAAAATAGAAATTACAAATGTTTAGCTAAAACAGTTAAAAATAACTATTTCAGAAAGGAGCCAGACACAAAAGGCCACGCAGTATGAGATTCCATTTATATGAAATGTCCAGAACAGGCAGATCCACAGAGACGGGATGTGGTTTCGTGGATGCCAAGGTGGGGAGCAGGTGAGAAGGGCATGGTTTCTCTCTGGGGTGATGAGAATGTTCTGGAACTAGGTTATGGTGGAGGGTGCACACACCCTGCCCTGTGTGCCCACTCCTCACACTGGATGCCCCACAGTCAGCTGCTGTGGCGAGTGCTGAGTGAACTTCTGAGCATCAGGTTTCGCAGCGGGTTTGTTCTAACTCCCTGGAGCCCACTTGCTAATCCAGCGTGTCTACTGAATACCACCCAAGACAGCCTGACCCAAGCAGAACTGACGCACTAGGTCCAGAGTGACGGACAGCGGTCCCTCTGGGAGTGGAGGTCTCGGGGCTCTTCCCACATCGTGAGAAAGAGAAAGGCAGAGCTGGCTCCACGTCGGCTCTAAAGAGAACCCAGCCCTCCCCAGGAGGAGAGGGTGGTCACCACGGGGTCAGGAGCAACTCTGTCAGCCCATGCATAAGGGCCCCACACCCGTGAGGCAGGCTTGGCTCTGGCCCCCAATGCCAAGTTCCCTGTGAAGCACAAGGAGCCCCCTCCATCATCTGACCACGAGACCAAGAGCAGCAACTGCTAGGACCCTGTCCTGCCATGCCCCTCCCCAGAGGTCCTCCTGTCCCAAGTCCTCTGCCCTCAGTCCTTCCAGTGTCACCCTAGGACCACACCTCAGCCAGCCTGAGACCCTCAGCTGCCACCAACACAGGTGCAGGGTAAGAGCCACGGGTGCCTGGGTGCTCTCCCAGCCCCAGGAAGCATGTTGAATATTTTACAACCGAGGTGCAAAGCAGTGGAACAAGCATCGCCATATCCTTCCAACACGCTTCAAGTTACTAAATCCCACGAGGGATCCTTAGCTCCTGTCCCTAGTGCATGGGTGACCCTTTACTGTACCCCACAGGTTAATCCTTGTTAATGATTTAAAAGCAAAAGAACAAAAAGGCAACCACTAGTGCTGAGAAGTCGGTGCCCCCCATGGCGGGAGGGCAGTGGACAGCAGCCTGGGGCTCCCCCAGAGGTTAAGCAGGGAGCTGCCACGTGGCCTGTGTGTGTGCCCAAGAATCTGAAAACCAGCACGCAGGTGTTCATTGTAGCACTATTCCTAACAGGTCAAACGGAAGCCAGCCAAATGTTCCTCAGCTGACGAACAGGTAGACAGGACGTGACAGACCCGCACCCACCAGTTTCCCCAGGCAGTCCAGGGACTCCCAAGTCAGTCCCAACCCTGGGACTCCTTCCCGGCTTTTTGACTTCTGGTAACATCCAGGTAGCTCCTCCCAGTGTGAACCTTCCACGAGCATCTTATAAGCACACTCCCAGGAGGCGCTGGGGACCAGCAAAGCAGCAGAGCTGGGTGGTGCCGTTTCTGAAGGCTCTTCCCTGTCCACGTTCTGCACGCCGACTCAGCCCAGATCTCCGGCTGACCCCAGAACAGCCCGCGCGCAGGACACATTTCAACAGCCCAACACACGCTAAAAGAGATAAACAGGCCAGGCGCAGTGCCTCACACCTGTGATCCCAGCACTCTGCAGCCAAGGAGGAGGGTCGCTTGAGCCCAGGAGTTCAAGACCAGCCTGAGCAAGAGTAAGACCCTGTCTCTACTGAAAATAGAAAAATTTAGCCAGGCATGAGGGTGGCACCTGTAGTCCCAGCTACTCAAGAGGCTGAGGCAGAAGGATCCCTTGGGCCCAGTAATTGGGGGCTGCAATAAGCTGTGATGACCAGCCTGGGTGACAGAGTGAGACTCTGTCTCAAAAAAACAAAAAAAAGGTATAACATGTAATAACTACATATCATGGACACTTTTTACAAAAAAAGGAAATTAGAGGTGCAACATGATGAAATTTCTTAAACACCTCAGCCAGTTCCATGCAAAGTTCACACTTCACACGGAGCAAAAGCACTAAAACACTGACTGGTTTCTGCAATAATATAATTGTTCTGGAATTTAATGTGGAACACAGGACACGTATTTCCTTTCTGTATGAACTCCTTGGGGCCATAAGATGCGCTGTTTCAACCCTAGATGGACATCAGGATTTCTGGGGCACGGTTTCTTTTTTTGAAGTTCAGGTTCTCCCCTCCCCACTGACAAACGGAGGCAGACTGTCTGGGAGACCAGAGAACCTGTATGATGGCAGGGCTTACAGCTGACCCCACACTGCCGTCCCAGTGCACACCAGCCAGGTTCCATGCTGTCGAGGGCCTACAGGGGGCCTTTGTAAAAAATCCCTGGGAATGGGAAAAGCGGACAAGGAAATAGGCCACAGCCATGAAGGGAGCTTCATGAAGAACGCAGATGGTTGACACACTAGAGGGAGGGAACCATGTTCACAACCAGGGAGGGGGATCACAGCTACACCCCACCCCACCCAGCCCTGCCCGGGACCGTAACCCCGCCGGGGGGCTCGCGTCCAGAGACTCAGACGGTAAATGCAGTGGCCGCACGACAATGCAGCACCAGCGACAAGCGCGGCTCTCATGGCAGGAACCCGAGAAGCCAGGCAGCAAAAACGTACACCTGCAGCTACATGACACTCTATGGTTTAGGGACACAAATTTAAGTGATAACACTATAAGCAAATTGAGGAAAGTATACTCATAGAACTCAAGATAATTAGATAATTACCATAATAATTACCTATAAGACATCCTATGCATTGCATATTTCATAATTAAACAGATTTAGAAGGGGAAAAAAAAGCAAATCTAGAAAATGTACCTTCTGGTTCCAACAACACTGTGACAATGTGGGGACGAGGGGGCGCCAGGATGAAAGGGAGGGCGTCCAGAAATTCCTCAGAAGCTGTTAAAATACAAGAACTACTACAAAACAGCCAGCACATCCTGAGGGTCACCTGGTGCCAGGCATGCCAAGTCTTCAAGTCACAGGCCCTGAGGTGGAGCCAGGGTGACCCCCAGCCTTGCACACTCTCACAGGCAGAGGCCATGCACACCTGAGCACAGGGCAGAGCCACACGGAATCAGCACTCAGCACTTTGAGGTTGGAGGCAACAGAAGGTCAGCACTGCCATGTGTTCTATCCCACCCCTCGATTATGGCCACCGTTAAGTTACCATTCTACACAATTCAACTAAATTTTAATAAACATTCAGACACATCAGTTAAATGGGCTGTAAATTTTTATATCCACGTGAAAATATCTTGACACTGGTTTAGGGTGGTAAAAATCCAGAAATAACATCCTTTTGGTTCTCTCACAAGTCCTGGGGCATGTGCACGCCTGCTCCTGGGGTGCTCTGCCCACATCTCCCAGGTGAACCGGACTCCCATGCCAGGCTCCTGGTCCAGCCAGGGAGGACAGAGCCTGGTCTGATGCAGCAGCCCTGGAGGGACTCGCTACAGACACTACACAAACTTGACACCACACAACAGACATGGCCTCACGCGCCAGTCAGCCAGTGCACGGAAGGCGTCCATCCAATCCCTCAACAGGCATCTCCTGAGCCCCCCACTGCTGCCAGCTGCTGGGCCAGTGACAAATTTGGCCAGGTATGGGGACAGAGGGACTCCGGGCCAAGGACAGGTGTACAAAGGCCCGAAGGTCGACAGAAGGTTTGGCAGGTTAGGGACTCTACTCAGAGCACAGCAAGGCTGGAGCCCAGGGCTGCGTGTGGCCGAGGGGGTTGACAAGAGACCAGGCTGGAAGGTGAGCAGGGTGCCGGATCACGCGGGCTAAGAGCCACACCTCCAGGGCAGATGGGCCCACACAGGGCTCTGGGGCAGGCACGGACTAGGGGAAGGCTGGGAGGTAACTGAGGTCAGGAGCCCAGCAAGGAGGTGGTTTCTGCAAACACGTGGGTGAGACAGGATAGTGGCCCAAACCAAAACTGCAGCAGGGAGCCTGGAAGCCCAGAAAAGATGCCAGAAATTCAGTGAGGCGAGTGATGGGGATGGCCTGAGGCTTTCCCAGAGCCAGGACAGGCAGGAGAAAGGACAGGTTGGGGCAAGGGAGGAGTCCATCACAACATGCTGAGATGGAAGGGTTCAGAGACGCCTCCATGGTGATGTCCAGGTGACAGCTAGACAGGCAGGTACAGAGTGCCAAGATCCTTGCTGGAAAGGAGAAATAGGTTAGAGGCAGGAGGTCAGAGGCAGAACAGGATGCCCAGAGGGCGAGGGGGCGGGGCCTGAGTAGACCATCCAGGGCAGGAAGAGGAGGAAATCAGCAGCCAGGGAAACCACTAAGCAGAGGGGAGAGAGGGAAGCGTGACCCTTGAGGCCCAGGATGGCCCAGGCACAGAGCTGCAAAGCCCACCCGGCAGCCACTGGCCATGTGTGGCCTTGAGCACCTGAAGCGTGCCTAGCCAGACCGAGATGTGCTGTGGGGACCAAATACACGCAGACACCCCCCCCAAGACCCCGCAGGGAACAAGAGTGTAAAGGAGGCCGGGCGCGGTGGCTCACGCCTGTAATCCTAGCTCTCTGGGAGGCCAAGGCGAGCGGATCCTTTGAGCTCAGGAGTTTGAAACCAGCCTGAGCAAAAGCGAGACCCCGTCTCTACTATAAATAGAAAGAAATTAATGGCCAACTAATATACATAGAAAAAATTAGCCGGGCATGGTGGCGCATGCCTGTAGTCCCAGCTACTCGGGAGGCTGAGGCAGAAGGATCGCTTGAGCCCAGGAATTTGAAGTTGCTGTGACCTAGGCTGACGCCACGGCACTCACTCTAGCCTGGGCAACAAAGCAAGACTTTGTCTCAAAAAAAAAAAAAAAGAGTGTAAAGGAGCAACTGGATAACCTTTAAGGACATTCTGAGAAACAGCAGCACCTGGGCTGGACTGGAGAAGAAAATGTATTGCTACCATTAACTAATGGCACCTTTTTCTCATAACAGAACTGCTGGAAAACCTTATCTGGCCACGGCTCCAGCTGTTTCTACGGGACAGCACTGCGGGAACAGCGGCACCTGTCAGCTCCTGCCTCCTGGCCCACCCCAGACGCTCGGGACTGGATCCTCCCGCATAGGCAGCAACTCATGTCTGGGTAACAGCGGGTGGGAGCCTTCCTGCTCCATGCTGTCGCATGTCCTCCACCTGCTTCTCCAGTGTCTCCACGGTCCCATGTCCTATGCTCATCAGGAAGTCCAGCTTCCTGAGGCAGGATAGACCTGTCCCCAACCAGCCACCCACCCTTGCATTTTTTTCTATGGTGGTTTTAGTGAACAGAAGTTTTAACTTTTACATAGCTGAATCTGCTCTTTCCACATGACTTCTTTGTAAAGAAGGGAGCTGCTTTCCCATGTATAAATGCTGATAAAGGGCCTGGCACAGTAGCTCACGCCTGTAGTCCCAGCACTTTGGGAGGCTGAAGCAGGAGGACTGCTTAAGCCCAGTAGTTGGAGGCTGCAGTGGGCTGATGACACCACTGCACTCTAGCCTGGGTGACAGAGTGAGACTCTGTCTCAAAATAAAAGTTTTCCCAAAAATATGAGAAGTAACTGAGAATAAATTATTAAAAGTCGTTTGGTTTTTTCTCAAGTTATAGCTAAGTTTTAGAAGCAATGGACATCCCCAGTGGCCTCCCCCCACAATCTGCCAACATTATCTTTGTGGCATCTTAAGGGTTCAAATAACACCAAGCAGCCGAAAAACCGTGCAAATCAGACCACTGCTTTGCAAACATTTTGGACTCATTTTAAGAAATACTTTTTGCATGGTAACCCAACTCACTCTCACACACAACACACACACACACACTCATGCACAAATCATATGCAGAAACAAAGTGTCAAGAAAGGACAGTGACTGTACATGCCTACTGTCCAGTATTTCCTAGTTTCATTTCCTTTTTTTTTTTTTTTTTTTGTAGAGATGGGGCCTCACTGTGTTGACCAGGCCGGTCTTGAACTCCTGGCCTCAAGCAATCCTCCCAAAGTGCTGGGATTACAGGTGTGCACCACTGCACCTGGCCTTCCTTTTTCTTACTTACCATAACCCACTAAATGGAATTTACAACCCACTAATGGATGACAGTATGAGGTTTGGAAAACAGTGAACTACACAATCTCTTAGGGCACTCTGGCGCTTGCAGAAGACAGAAGGCTGTGCATCCTCAGAACCGCTGGCAAGGAGAGAGGGACTGCCACCTGATGTTACAGATGATGACACAGAGCAGGGGCCTCTCCTGGATCACCTAGTTAAGGAAGTCCAAGAACTTGGACTCAAGTCCCCAAAACTTCATATCATTTCCTCTCAACCACGCTGCCTTTCCACGTGGCTTCTGAAGTCACTGCTAAGCCTTGTTTCCACAATGTCACAAGAAGTGTGAATACCTATTATAAAATGAAAACCTTTTTTGGAAATTAAATTGCTGCAGAAAAAGCACATTGTCAGCAATCTGTTCCGGGTGCGGTGGGTGGGAGGGAAGAACCAACAACAGTCTACATGGTAGCTGCTTTTGCACACGGGGGAGGATGGGACTACAACCGTCACCAAACCGTCACTTACTGCTCTCCAATCAGGAGACACCAGCAGTGAGACACATCCCAGGAGTGTATACCTGAATGATCACTCACCAGGCCATAAGGATGGTCTTCAAATGAGAAAACCAAGGCCCCAGGCACCACATGTCCTGCCTGGCACCGCCAAATGACCAACGGCAGGGCCCATGAGGAAACCTGGGACTTTCAAGGACTTCCAGCACCAGCTTGGCCTTGTGCTTTTAAAAACATGTTTCCACCACCAATACCCCGTTGAACGGGCCCAAGCCTGGGCGGAAGGTGCCATCAATTCACACCAATTCCAAATGAAGAAACCAAGGCCCAGGGGACTTCCAGGGATGACAGATACAGCCCCCGGAAAACCAGGCTCCCTGACTAGAGGGTGCAGTCCTCCACAGGGCAGACCCTGTGGCGCATCCTCAGGATCCCACAGCAGGCTGTTCAGGGCCACCTACTGAAGATGGGGCAGACCGAGGAGCTCCTACCCATGCAGAACAGTCATCTGGGGGAGCAAGCCATGTCCCAAATGTGCTCAGCCACAATTAGTAAAGAAAATCCAGGCCAATCAGCTACTCTTTCAACTCACAAAGAAACTGAAGACCACACATGAGTCAGTTATAGAGGATGCAAAACCAAGGAGTGGCCTAAGGGAAGGGGGCTGTGGAGACAAACAAATGTAACCTCATGACATGGCAGAGGAGGTCACACCACTTCTGAAAAAGTGCAACAACATGGCAAGAACTCAGGTTCCCAAGGAAGGGGACCTGCACTGAGGGCACCTCAGAGCAAATTCCTGAGCTTCTCTGCCCCTCCTGGGGGCCACTGTGAGGAGAATGAGATAGCATCTGGTATTGGGACCTGCAGGGTATCAGGATATCAGACAGCTGCTCTCCTTCAGGGACAGCAGGCAGACAGACAGACACTAGGAGGCTTTTCAATGCTTCCGCTACACCGGCATCCTTTGATGAGCCTGGATGCCTGGTGGCCCCCATTCTTTCCCAATCTAGGTCACATATTGGGGGAAGGGAGAGGCGGGAAGGAAAACATGCCCACAGTTACCATTTCACTTCTGGAAAACCATTTCCTTACTCTGGCTTTCGGGTTCCCCATTCCAGGCTGTTCTGGGCTGCTCCCTCACTGCTGTCCTCCCTGTCAGAGGCCGCCCAGGAGAAGAGGCCCTGAGACCTCGCTCACTTCCCAGCCAGGCCCCAGAAAGCAACGTGGACACGCATTTACCCTCCAAGAGCAGCCCAGGACCCCCTCCCTCATTCTTCCAGGGAGGGGACCCTTGGGAGGTTCTGGGACGCAGCCCTGGACCCTGAATTTTTCATAAGTGATGCGGAAACGCACACAGGTTAGAGAATCTCTCCTCGGAAACCTGGCAAGTCTCCTCTGGAGGGACAAGGCAGGCCCGAATCTTCCTCCGACCCAGGAAACTGAGGCACGGGGGGGGTGGCCACCCAGCGGTGGGGCCCGGGGTTTTCCCCCAGGGGATCCGACAGCCGCGGGAGCCCGGGAGCAGCTGCTCCAGGGCCTTTGCTCCTTGGGGTAAACTGAGGCTGGGGGAGGAGGTGCACAGCCCCCAGGGTCCGGAGCGGCGCGAGCCGGGGAAGGGGGGGGCGCAGGGCAGGGCCGGGCGGGGACCAGGCCAGGCCGCCCTGCTCGGCCCGCCGGGCTCACCTCGTCCTCCTTGTGGTTGCGGATGCCGCGGACCAGGTCCTGCAGGTTCTTGTCGAACATGCGGTCGATGCTGCCCTTGACCATCTTGAGGGCCATTGCGGCAGCCGACGGGCTCTGGCCCCGGGAGGCCCGCGGCCAGGAGCCGGGAGGGGGTCCGGGGGCTGCGCCTGCCGCTCGCGGAGCGCTGCGCTGCCGGCCGCCGCGGCGGGGCAAGCTCCCAGGCCAGGGCGGCGGCGGGGGTCGGTGGACAGCGGCGGCGGCGGCAGCAGCGGCGACCCGCTCGGCAGGGCCCGCACTCCCGCTCCGGGCTCCTCGCAAATGGCGGACAAGATGGCGGATGGTCAGCTGACGGCGGGCGCTCCGTCCCGGCCGACCCGCCCCCGGAAGCCCCGCCTCCCCAGAAGCCCCGCCTCTTCACCTCCCAGACACCGCGTTTCCCTGACGACGACAGGCCACCCAATGGCAGCATGGGCACCGCCTTCTCCGACTCCTCAGCCACGCCCCCAGTGGCTCAGAGCCCTGCGCTTTCATTGGCCAGTGGCCTCCGAAGCTCCACCTACTTCCTAGTTCCGGGTTCCAACCACGCCTCTTAGGAGCCCCTATAAGTGACAGCTGTGGGCGGGCCCTGAGGTGGGCGGGGCGCCCACGTGGAGCTTAGCCTGCAAGTTCCCGCAGACGACCCAACTCCGCCTTCTTTGAATCTAAACGCTGACGCTACCCGGGAGCCTCCAAAAGCCAACACTAGGGTGGACGAGTCTTGTTTCCCCCAGCCTCACAAAATCTTGTGATGTGGGCAGGATGGGATTAACATGCCCACAGGAGCAAAGTGAGCCCAGAGCTGGAACTCAACGTGGCCAACCCATTCAATAATTGTTTGATCCTGCTGTGTGCCAGGCGGGGCGAAGGGCAAACTGCAGTGGGTGAGGTAGGCCGAGTCCTTGCCCTCTGGGAATACAGCATTGAGAGAGTGAAAAAAGCAAGCCACACTAGCCAGTGTGGTGGCTCACGCCTGTAATCCTAGCTCTCTGGGAGGCCAAGGCGGGCAGATTGCTCGAGGTCAGGAGTTCAAAACCAGGCTTAGCAAGAGCGAGACCCTGTCTCTACTATAAATAGAAAGAAATTAATTGGCCAACTGATATATATAGAAAAAATTAGCCGGGCATTGGTTGCACATACACTTAGTCCCAGCTACTTGGGGCTTGAGGCAGGAGATTGCTTGACCCAGGAGTTTTGAGTGCTGTGAGCTAAGCTGACGCCACGGCACTCACTCTAGCCTGGATAACAAAGTGAGACTCTGTCTCAGGAAAAAAAAAAAAGCAAGCCACAAACTGGGATGAGATATTTACAATACATATATCTGACAAACACTTTTATCCAGAATACAGTTTTAAAAAATGAGCAGAACAAAACAAAAATGCCTGCAAATAACAGAAGAGGCCGGCCCGGTGCTCACCCTGTAATCCTAGCACTCTGAAGCCTAGCGGGCGGATGCTTCGAGTCAGGAGTTCGAAACCAGCCTGAGCAAGAGCGAACCCGTCTCTACTATAATAGAAAAAATAATTGCCCAACTAATATATTACGGAAAATAGCCCGGGTATGGTGGCACATCCTGTAGCCCAGCTATTTGAAGGCTGAGGCAGGAGGAGCCTTAGCACCGCAAGTTGTGGGGAGTTCTGGAGCTAGGCGTGAACGCCCACAGCACTCACTCTACCTGCAAACAAGCAGACTCTGCTCAAAAAAAAAAAAAAAAAAAAAAAAGAAAAGGACAACCCAGTTAAAACATGACAAAAGAGTAACACGTACCTCACAAAATATGTCATCCAAATGGCCACTCAGGTATATGCAATAAGGCCCTCCATACCATCAGTGAACATCAGGGAAATGTAAATTAAAACCACAATGAGATAAAAGTGCACTACAAGAATGGCTAAACATACAAAGTTTGACAATATCAAGTGTTCCAGGGATGTGCAGCAACTGGAACTCTCCTCTCACACACTCCAGGAGGGAACATAAAACACTGCAGCTACATTGCAAACTGGCAGTACATACAAAAGCTAGCACCTGTATACACTAAACCCCAGCAATTCCACTGCCTTTCTCAACAGGAATGCATGAATGTGTGCACCACAGACATGGACAAGAATGTTCAAAGCAACTGTCTTTATATCAGCCAAAAATCCAAAACAACTCACATGTAAAATCAGCAGAAAATAAATAAATAAACTGTGGTAGATTCATGTCTTGGAATATTATGCAGCAATGAAAAAGAGCAGATTAACGATGCAGAGAACAAAGTGGATGAAGTACACAGACTCAGTGTTGAACAAGATAAGCCAGACACAAAAGACTGTCTATGGTTATGATTCCATTAATGTGAAGTTCAAGAACTAATCTATAAGCCGGGCACGGTGGCTCACGGCTGTAATCCTAGCACTCTGGGAGGCCAAGGCAGGCAGATTGCTTGAGGTCAGGAGTTCGAAATCAGCCTGAGCAAGAGCGAGACCCCGTCTCTACTATAAATAGAAAGAAGTTAATTGGCCAACTAATATATATAGAAAAAACTAGCTGGGCATGGTGGCGCATGCCTGTAGTCCCAGCTTCTCGGGAGGCTGAGACAGGAGGATTGCTTGAGCCCAGGAGTTTGAGGTTGCTGTGAGCTAGGCTGATGCCACGACACTCACTCTAGCCTGGGCAACAAATCGAGACTCTGTCTCAAAAAAAAAAAAAAAGAAAGAAAGAAAGAGCTAATCTATGGTGATAGAGTGCTGAATGTTCTCCAAAATTCATGTGTTGAAACTTAATCACCAAGGTGATAAGAGTTACAGCCTGTGGGAGGTGATTAAGTCATGAAGACAGGGCCCTCATAGATGGAAGTAGAGCTCTTATAAAAGGGCTTCAGGGCCTGAGCACAGTGGCTCACAATCCCAGCACTTTGGGAGGACGAGGCAGGAGACTCGCTTGAGACCAGGACTTAGAGACCAGCATGAGCAAGAGTAAGACCCAGTCTCTACAAAAAATACAAAAAAATTAGCCAAGTATGGTGGCGATGGTGCCCAATTGTAGTCCCAGCCACATGGGAGGCTGAGGCAGGAGGATCCCTTGAGCTCAAGAGTTCCAGGCTGCAGTGAGCTATGTTGACACTGCTGCACTCTAGCCTGGGTGACAAAGCAAGATCTTGTCTTTTTTTTTTTTCTCACTTTGTTGCCCAGGCTAGAGTGCCATGGCATCAGCCTAGCTCACAGCAACCTCAAACTCCTGGGCTCAAGAGATCCTTCTGCCACAGCCTCCCAAGTAGTTGGGACTACAGGCATGGGCCACCATGCCCGGCTAATTTTTTCTATATATTTTTAGTTGTCCAATTAATTTCTTTCTATTTTTAGTAGAGACGGGGTCTCGCTCTTGCTCAGGCTGGTTTCGAACTCATGACCTTGAGCAATCCACTGGCCTCGGCCTCCCAGAGTGCTAGGATTACAGGCGTGAGCCACCATGCCAGCCAGGATCTTGGCTTTAA